TATGAATCTTTCCTGAAGAGCTTTAAAGTGATCTGATCTTGAAAATCACATTCCATTGTCTAAAGAAAGAGTTTTGTTTTTTATGGTCACTGTGGTATCAGTATTGAGTATCGAAATCAAGTTTGAATTTTAGTATCGTGACTATTAACACTATTTGTCCCATATCTTGCCTATATGGGAATAAATGTGTTTTTCCAGCTCATATGTAAATAAGAAAACCTAAATGTTGTCTAAGTGTTGTCTCATTTTAGGCTTTCTTTTGATTGTGTTTTATCTTATTAATTTTTTTAACTAGATAAATTATCTCAGGTTTTTGGGCACCTGAAAAGTAACCACTTAATTCTTTGAAAATCCTGGTATACATTTATTTAAAGCTAGCATTTTTTTTCTATTTTGAATACATTTAATACATTAATTAGCAAAAAAGGTGCAGATTCAAATAAGATAACATACAGTTACTCTTGCTTCCATTGCTTTTCATTTATTCTTGTAAGAAATGTGTGATCTATACTTATTCTTCAACCGTTATTTCTCTTTCCAGGAGTTGTACGGCAAAGTCCTGGGCGTGGAGAGGTACCAGGACCGCATGAGAGCCAAGGGGCTTTTCAGCAAAGACGACCGGAAGATGTGAGTCTAACGCTTAGAAATAAAATCAGATTATGCTTTGTCACTGAATTATCTGACTTGAGTTTCGTGTGATTTCCAGCGTACTTGGAACCAGCCGGTGGTTGAGCAAAGAGGAGCTGGAGGCACAGTTAGTAGAGACCATCTCCTCCCAGGATGTAAGGAAACCATGAAACACTTTTGGAATTGTATAAACCTACTAAAAACAACTGACAACAAAAAAGCAGTAGTATTAAATATAGGTAAAGTCCATGCATTGCTGAGATGATGGAATGGAGGACAGAGAAACATGAATTGAGAAGCAGTGGGATAGACTGCACTTCCCAACTTACCCACCAGATGCCACTAGTTCATAATTTTTGAGGAATATGCAACATACAGTTTTGCTGTTACAATTTTAACCTTTAAACTTTCATGTATTTTTTGTACAATATTTTAACCTTGAGGACAGAAGTTGCATTCTCTCACTGAGCCCAATAATGTTATTCATGTGAAATGCCATTCCATTTTTGCCAAGTCTTTTTAATTGTTTCCATGGTAACTTGTGCAGAATGGAAAATATGATTGTAGAAGGTGAATAAATATATAAAATTGGACATATTATTTCCCTATCAGTACACTCGCCTGATCCAGCTGATGGAGCGGCTCGTGGCCATGCCGTATGGCGCCATAGAGCAGGAGTTTGTCATGAGTTTCCGGCAGCAGCTGGACTCTCTGGCCAAGAGTCAGGTGATCCAACCGCTCCAGAGGGACGAGCAGGGAGTTGCCTTCAGCACAGCAGAAGGTATGTCATTTCAGTTCAAAAACTGAAAATTGAATTGTCTGAAACAAAAAGCAGAAATATTCTTCTAGGAAGATCAACTGTTTTTTGGTAAGATTTGAGTGATAAAAAGTTCTTAAAGTTCAATACCCAATTATTATTATAAACTAAACTTGTGTGGACCTGGGCTGATGCAGAAATGCATTTGATTACAATTCCAGGGCTTACAGTTTTAATTCAGTTTTTAATTATAATACAGTATAGTATCTAGTATCACCAAGTGAACTTGTGTTGTGTGCAGGTCGGCGGAAATCATCCACCTGCTCAGTGCTGCTCAGAGACTGTGGCTCTGGTCAGATCTCCATTAATGGCCTCAGCTACATCCTCTACTTCCCTGTTCTCCAGGACAGGTACAGGCCCAGCTCCTTCCACGCCTCTGCTTTATCAAACCTCTGTCTGTGAAGAAAACACAAATACTAAACTGACTTTCTGAAGCTCATCATAATGTTGTTCTTCATCTAAAACACTAGTATTTGTTTCATTTCCACATAACCACACCATTTTTCCTAACCTCTTGGCATTACTTGTTATATTATTTTAATGCTTTACTGTAGAGCGTAGATCTGCTGGCATCACCTTGGCAGCTGGAAGGGTTAAAAATATTGCAGTAGAAGTCATCGAATACCTAATACCATTGTTCAAAAAGAACAAACTGTTGCCAAAGAAAATGTTTTTTTATGCATCTGGAGTAAATTATCTCAAGTTAGATAGTTATGACCCATGCAATTATCAGAGTATATGAAAGCCAGAGTCCTTTAAAACACTTTCTACCACTAGTTTTTAAAGAAGCTGAAGTGCTTTGCAACTTGGCGTGTGTATTTATCTGCTGCTACTGAGTTAATTACACAGTTGAGCGCATGTGTGCTGTGTGAGTGTGTGTGTCTGTACTGTCATTGAGTGCGGCCGCATAGACCCCGTAGCAGCTACAGACCGTACCAGCCGTGGGCAGCTGACTCAGATCATACAAAGAGAGACGTACTGTATCTTTTGAATAAAGTCACTTCTCTGAGGTCAGGGAATGGACTTGTGAGCATATTGTAGTTGGCAAAACAGTGACTTGAGAATCCAGGTTATTGCTGCACAGCATTTCATGGGTCTTTAGTGTTAAGCGGAGACAAAGGAAAGAAGGGTGAATACTGCTAACAGAGTGCACGTTTGGCTGTGAGGCAGTACACAGAGCAGCTTTTGCTCTTAAGCATAAAAACATGATCTAAAATGATGGTGGATTATATGTATCTAAAGCCCTGTCTGTCTTATGCTCGTGTGTCAGGGAGCAGCTGATGTTTCCGTTCCAGTTCACCAACACTCTGGGCCGCTTCGACCTGCAGTGCACTGTGGAGGGAGGGGGGCGCTCAGGCCAGGTGGGGGCGCTGCGCCTCGCCATCTCCCGCGCCCTGCTCAGCTTTCTGCCAGAGGAAGACATGGAGAACCTCCGGCAAGGTGAGCAGCAAGATCTTGACATGTACACCATGAAACAATTCAGGAATACTGCAAAGTGCAGGCATGTCATTTTGTGTATCTTAAATCATGTAAATGGTAAAGTTTGTATCAACTGGACAATTGTGAAAGGCCTATCAGGGAAATGGGTTGGACAAAGAATCAGTGTCTCTCAGATTCTGTCTATAAATAGTTTATTATAAACTTACCAAAGTATCCTGTCTGATATGGAGATTTATGCTGATATTAATGCTGATATTAATATTCCTTGTTTGAATGGAACTAATTTAAACCTTGTAATTTCTAATTCATTTGCCCTGATGTGAGGGCCATGTTCAGCCTGACAGTACTGACATTCAGTCAGCAGGTGGCAGCATTTACGCTCTCATAGCCTTTGTATAGTATTTTAATTTCATCTTCTTTTCCCCATCCCCTGTTTAGCTGGCCTGTTGACCCCTGACCCCAGAGTGAGGGAGAGGAAGAAGCCGGGTCAGGAGGGAGCCAGGAGAAAATTCACCTGGAAGAAGCGCTGAGGTCTGCTCTGTGACAGCAGCCACTCTATTAATATTCTATTAAACTCTTGTAAATGTGCCTGAAATAAATATTGTTTTTGTACAATTTCAGTCTTTTTATTGTTTAATAGATCATCAGATTATGTACAGTCAAAAGCGAAATGTTGTACAAACAAGTCACCACAAGAGGTCAGTGCTGCCACACACTTGACACGACCTGTTTGGTCAGAGCATAGTTCTTATTCTAGATCCATGGCTCAGACTAAAGGCCTGCACTTCATGAAGTAGACTTAATCTGTCAAATAAAACTGGACTTGAGACACTTTATGCTCAGAGCTCATAGTGCCTCCGAAAATCAAATAAAAATTCACTGTGGGGATCCCTCACACTGGGCTGTTTTTCCACCAGTGCTTTGGCCTTCCTCTTGTAATGAAGGCTCTCACGATAAACACTCATTTTGGATACAGGCAAATTATTCATTGCATTAGTGGCCACGAAATCTGACAGAAGGTCTGTTTTCAATTGTAACAAGTTCATCATTATGACTCACAGCATTTTTCACTAATACTTATAACTCTTCTCAGAAACAAATCAAGACAAAAAACTAACTAGCTATCCCTTGAAGGTTTTTGGAGCAACCGTGTGAGGGTCTTGAATGAAGAAAGACTTGATTTCTGGAAAAAGGCAGTGAATGTTTAACAAGATCAACAAGCTTCACAGACGCACCACACAGCACGTTCTGTAAGGCTCATCAGTGTTTAATATGAGGTTAGATTTAGTTCAACTGTGTTAACATCAGCACATCTACTAACAAACCTTCAAAAGTGTCTTTGGCAGCGTCAATACAAGGAGAGCTCTCAATTTCAGGCCTTTCAAATAAACTTACAGAAACTGAGGAGTGTGAACACAATCTTTACATGTGATCTGAGTTCTTATAATCTTATTTCTGTCATTTACTCATCTACATTTATTTATCTCCATGTGACACATTTCCCCCTCACTTGGTGAATTTTTAGGCCCCAATGAACTAAATATTTGCCATAACCTCAGTCTATTAATAATATCAGAATGTATTTTTAAAATAAAGACAGTGAACTGATGCTTTCGTGAGAACCATTATAAAATAAAGACTAAACACCAAGAGTACAAAAACAGGGAGCTGGTGGCATCCATATAACTAAGGGTGCTTATGAAAAAGGACACTCTGTTAGAAAATATTTAAAGTCTTTATTTTGAGAGGGCAAGTTTAGTCATCCTCTTCATCAGTGCTTGGCAGGTCCTGTTGTATTTCTTCCCCCGAGCATCTACACAAGAGCATTTCAATGTTCTTCAAGTTGTGTTTATATTTGTCACACATTTGTAGACTTTTGTGTGGGCTGTGGCAGTGACGTACAGGCCGACCTGGTGTGGGCGGGGCACCGTGAGCAGAACCAGCTGCACAGACAACAGTTAACAGTGATCAGAGTGTTCAACAAGTCACAGTGAATTTATCCTGAGCTCTAGTACTGTCTGATGTGAGTGACTCTAGTAGTGTGTAACATGTGAGTGTGGGCGAGACTTTAACACACCTGAACATAGTGGGCGTCGCCCACGTGCAGCCACAGCGAGGGCAGACCACCGCCAACCTGCAGGCTGATAAAACAACATACATGTTATTCTACATATACAAACACATCAGTGAGACTATGGTTACGTTTTCTTTAACCTCATGATTCAGATTATATAGAGAATAGCTGCTCTAGGAGTGTGTGTCTGACTCACCGGGGGGTAGGGGGAGCCTGGTGTCCACATCTGAAAGACAGTCACAGGGGCTTCCTGTGGGGCAGAGTTCAGGGGCTGTGGGGGGCTACCGCACATATGCTGACCAGCAAGAGGCAAACGTGTTTGTTTTTCATACAGCATTTAAGCGTTCTTTATAATGGACATAAACAGTGTCTTTTGTGAAGGGCTTACCTGGTGAGCACCACCACGCTGCCCACCCACAGGGGGCGCCAGAGAGGAAGCAGAGGGGGGTCCAGGACTGCGGCTCCTAGGCGGCTAACTGACATAAAAAAAGAGTACATTTATGTAGACTAAATTCATGTATGTCATCTTAGATTAAAAAAAAAAAACATACAAAAGACAAAGAAGAGACTGACCTGAAAGCCAGAGCTGTGCACAGGTGAGACAGAGGAGGAGGGTCCAGGGTTGTCCTCTCTCTGGAGCTACAACATCACAAACACAAAGGTCACACACATGTTTCTACAACAACACAACAACCACACTACTGTCTTTACACACACACTACTGTCTTTACACACACACTACTGTCTTTACACACACACACTGCACACTACTGTCTTTACACACACTACTTTACACACACTACTGTCTTTACACACACACTACTGTCTTTTACACACACACTACTGTCTTTACACACACACTACTGTCTTTACACACACTACTGTCTTTACACACACACTACTGTCTTTACACACACACTACTGTCTTTACACACACTACTGTCTTTACACACACACTACTGTCTTTACACACACACTACTGTCTTTACACACACTACTGTCTTTACACACACTACTGTCTTTACACACACACTACTGTCTTTACACACACACTACTGTCTTTTCACACACACTACTGTCTTTACACACACTACTGTCTTTACACACACTACTGTCTTTACACACACACTACTGTCTTTACACACACACTACTGTCTTTACACACACACTACTGTCTTTACACACACTACTGTCTTTACACACACACTACTGTCTTTACACACACACTACTGTCTTTACACACACACTACTGTCTTTACACACACACTACTGTCTTTACACACACTACTGTCTTTACACACACTACTGTCTTTACACACTACTGTCTTTACACACACACTACTGTCTTTACACACACACTACTGTCTTTACACACACACACACTACTGTCTTTACACACACACTACTGTCTTTACACACACACTACTGTCTTTACACACACTACTGTCTTTACACACACACTACTGTCTTTACACACACACTACTGTCTTTACACACACACTACTGTCTTTACAGAGACACTACTGTCTTTACACACACACTACTGTCTTTACAGAGACACTACTGTCTTTACACACACTACTGTCTTTACAGAGACACTGTCTTTCCAACACTGTCCCTAGAGAACAGAGTCGATGTGAGCAGGCCGACCTGTGTGGAAGGGGGAAGAGTGGACCCTCCCAGGACCCCCACACTGGGCTCTCTTAGTGGGTCCCAGGCGTCGGAGACCTCTTCTTCTTCCTGCTGCACTCCTGTCAGACAAAAAAACACACAAATCAACAAGGCAAAATAGATAAAACTGGGCTGCAAAATTAATCTCAGTAAAAATTGAAAAAACGAAAAAGACTGAAATTTAAGATTAAATAAAGTCTTAAAATACACTCTCATATTGTGTAAAAACATGATTTTTAATTATTTATTTATCCATCTATCTGAGATAGATAAGGATTTATATTCAGACGCCTATAGTCAATATTGTCCTGTCAGTTTTATCAAAACACTGCTTTGTACATTCCTCCACCTCGGTCCTAGAACACAGCTCTGCTCCATCCTCCGGGCCGATGTTGTGCCATGAATTCCATGAATGTTCGGAACAGTTTTCCGGAGACACTCGGGCCTCGACTCTGCTCCAGACCGCGCCCCGCGGGGCTCAGGGCAGCTGACACCCGATCACGCTTTGTGGACACCCTGCTCCACAGACTCAGGCTTCTCGCTCTCTCATGTCCAAGATTAGTCCTGGTTTAGTCCTGGTTTAGTTCTGGTTTAGTTCTGGTTTAGTCCTGGTTTAGTTCTGGTTTAGTCCTGGTTTAGTTCTGGTTTAGTCCTAATGTAGTACTGGTTTAGTCCTGGTTTAGTCCTGGTTTAGACTCTGGGAGGCGCTGTATCACCCCACAGCTAAATCTTTTATTCCTTCTGCCATAAAACTTTTAAATGGAAAGTCCATTTGCTCTTGTGTCCCTGATGCACTGAAGTTTGATTGTACGGCGTCTGTTTTTCTTTTTCTTTTATGATTTCTAGATTGTGCTCGACCAGAGATGTGTGAACTGAACTGCCCTTTGGGATTAATAAAGTTGTTGATTGATTGACTAAGATCTGGGCAAAACAACAACATTCAAACCAGTCTCTGAACCTCTGACCCCGGGTCTTTTGAAGGGTAAACCACTGATATGTCTCCATGGAGACGTGGAGTATTGCAGTAAACCAAACTATCTCTATAAAGACAAAATGAGAAAGCTCCCAGGTCAAGTTACAAGTCAGATCTGTGGAGTGACAAGTGTCACATTCATAATGTTATACACACACTTAAAACAGCTCAAACTTATAATAAGTTTCATAGATACATTTAGTGATATCCTGTCTCACTTTCCAGTTAAAAGAATAGCATCTCCATGGAGACAAGCAAGTAGCGGACTCCAATCAGAAAAGTTACATAATGCCCCTTTAAGTAAACTGTAATCAACAATACAATGTACATGTACTTTAAAAATGTTTATTTTTTTCTTATTTTTAAAAAAACAACAGAATTTCAAATCAACCTTCTGTTTATTGACAAATTTCTGTACATTTTTTCAGGGTGGTCTTCTGATCAGCTCCATCTCTGGTTCTTCTCGTCAGTTTCATCAAATCACTTCTGATCAGCTCCTGTTCTTCATCTTCTGGAGACATGGTTCTTCTGGTCAGCTTCATCACGTCACTTCTGAGCAGCTCCTGTTCTTCATCTTCTGGAGACATGGTTCTTCTGGTCAGCTTCATCACGTCACTTCTGAGCAGCTCCTGTTCTTCATCTTCTGGCAGTAGTGGACTGGCAGTTGTTCTGGAAAAACGTCTGTCTGCTGGTGGACCGGTCTTCAATTTCCACCGTGGGGGAAAATTCCAGGGCTGTTTTTAGGTCCCAATCTGCCCCTGTCTTCTGGAGATACAGTTCTTCTAGTCAGCTTCATCAAATCACTTTTGATATGCTCTTGTGCTTCATCTTCTGGAGACACGGTTCTTCTCGTGAGCTTCATCACGTCACTTCTGATCAGCTCCTGTTCGTCATCTTCTGGAGACATGTCTTTTTCTCGTCAGCTTCATTAGATCTCAGGACCACAGGGCTCAGATGGCCCCTCCAAACCAGTCACCATGGGAACAGAAACAGAAACAGAAACAGAGTTAAAGCGTGTGCACATTAACATTCTAAGCTACTATGGAATTATTTCTTACCTCATGTTTGTTTATTATTAGAGTCAAGTGATTTTAATAAGTCAAGATGACTTACAATAAAACACCTAAACCTAGAGAGGAGAAGCTCTCCCATCTCTCAAGTTACAATTCTTAACAGTACTGTAAAAAAATGTACTGCCAAGAATTGTAAGTGCAGAGATGGGAGTGAGTTCACTGACTTTTACAAGAAAACAAAACAAACACCCAATGTAGAGAAGTAGGGAGTGTCCCACTGACTGGTGAGTCAGTGAACAAACCCACATCTCCAGATACAATCATTCAAAACAGTACAAGTCTCCAAAGAGACTGTTTACAAAGACTTTCAGTAAAAGACACATTTGATTGGATTTGAAATGGTACGGTCCAGGCCGTACAACGTGAATCCAACACAACAAGAACAGGAGATATGAGTGAACAAAGCCACACCTCCACACTTTCTCATTATTCTCAGAGTTATTAGAAGGAGATTTGCAGTTGTTGAGGATATGGCCTCACTGCCTTCAAGCTCCGTATAATAGACTTTTTTTGTATAACACAGTTAGTGTTTAGTAGTTGTAATACTAAGTACTATAAAACACACTCTCACCGCTGACCCTCCTATGCCCAGAAAAACACACGTTTACAGTAAATGCAAGGTGTACTATACAGGAATTTCTGATTTCTGATTCAATTGAAATCAATTAGCACCCGAGCACTTTTTCAGTACAAACTAACCTTGTGTATTACATGTATTATAATAAGATAGTTACCAATCACTCACTTCAAATATAGTCAATGATAAAACTTTACATTTTATCATCAAAGTTTTTATGAAATCCTATCTAATAATCCTTGCTTTTTTCCTACTTAAAAACTATAACTCATTTTCACCTCAAACTCAAGGAACAGTAAAAAGTCAAGGTGCACTATGCAGGAATTTCTATCAAACTCTAGTACTCAAATACAATTTAACATAAATTAGATTTTTTTAGTCTTTGAAAAGAGTAAAATGTATTATTATTATTATTATTATTATTTAATTAATATTATTATTATTATTATTATTATTGTTGTTTTGCTTGTTGAAATCCTACATAGTGTTCCCTACTTTTTTGTACTTTTTTTGTTTCTTATATATATATATATATATATATAAATCTGTATAAAAATCAAAAATCTGTATAAATCAAAAAGTATAAGGTGTACTATGCAGGAATTTCTGTAAAACTGCAGTACTCAGATTTGAATTCAGAATAAAAATTACAGTTAATTCAACAAAAAAAGGTTATGTCTTATCACCAATGTTTGTCGTTTTATGAAATCCTACATAGTATTCCTTACCTTCAATCTATTCATTTTAAAAAATCAATCAATCAAGAAATCTATTAATAAATCTATCAATAAATCAATCAATAAATCAATCAGGAAATCAATTAAGAAATCTATCAAGAAATCAACCAAGAAATCAATTGGATGATGGGCGTAGTTGAAGGTGGTAAAAATTGAGCCAAGCTCTGAGTCTCAGAGGCTGAGTTCAGTCCTCGTCCGACTCCGAGTCTTGGAGCAGGTGGTGGTACTGGAACCTGAAGTGTCCAGACGTCCCAAAGGAGGTGGTGGGGCCTGGGTCGGAGGTGGTGGGGCCTGGGTCGGAGGTGATGGGGCCTGGGTGGGAGGAGGAGAGGCACGGTCGCTTGGAGCTAGGGTCGTCCTGTTCTTCATCATCTTCATGCTTCTTCTTATTTGACTCATCTTACCTTCGGGGACGAGGTCCCGGTGGTCGAGGAGGAGGGTGGAGCCGTAGGTCATGGTGAAGTTGAAGTAGTTTCGGTTTGGTGCTTTTCAAACCTTGAAAACAGTGAACAGAGAGTTAGTGAGTGTTGTGACTGAGTTTTAGAACCGCTGATGGGAGAATAAGAGATGAAAACCAAAGTTACTTACAAGTGTCCGCAGAGCGTTCAACAGGTTTTCTCTCAGGTGAGAAGGGAGCAACTGAGCGCGCGCAGCGGCTTATATAGTGCGTCTGTTCTGTTGCTATGGCCCCGGCGCACCACGCCCCTCCTGACCGCGCGTCTTTACGCCTTTGACCTGTCAGTCTAGTCGGAGTACTCAGCTCATTTTAATTCACAAGACACTGAGCTTTATATCACAAAATTAAATCGATTAAACTTTACCGACCCGTATAATGCCCCCGGGGGTTTTTAAAAATATTTCCGCTGAAGAAGAAGAAGAAGAAGAAGAAGAAGAAGAAGAAGTCCCAGATCTGCAGGAAACCACCAAACCAACCAAAACTGCTCTGATTGACGAGCCTCTGTGATCAACACTGATGTTCCTGTTAATACCACGGCTCTCCTCATCTCAAGTGTCATCATGAACTCATCAAATAGAAACATGTAGAACTTTGTACAAACTCACCACATCAGCCCGGAGCAGAAGATGGTCCAGAGGTTCCGTTCTCCATGTGCTGGGTCCAGACGGGGGAGAGTAAGACCAGTGCTTGATGGACTGGGTCCGAGCGGTTCCGTGTCGTCGTCTGCGTGCTGGTTCCGTGCGGGGAAAGAGAGAATGTTCTGTGGACTACAGATCCGGACGGTCTGCTCCGGTCCTCCGCGCTCAAGAACCGCGGCTGGTTCCGAGGTGGAGCAGCATCCGGACAGAAGCGTGAGTCCAGTTTGGTTGGTTTTATGTTGTTCTGAGCGTCCATCCTCCGCGCTCTTGGTTCTTCTCGGGGAAAGTTCTTCTCAGGCCGAGACACCTCACACCACTCCCCGCTCCAGCTCCTCTGAGCCTGGACAGAACCGGAGCTGCTCCCGCTGGGTCAGGACTCTGGTTTGGATCTAGTCCGACTGTATTTCTCACACTAGACTAAAAGCAGGACATTTTTAAAGTTGAATCAGTTGAATAGGCTATTGCCTATTGCCATAAAAAGATTTGGTTAATTAAAAGTCTACGATATAAAAGAAGGAGAACTTGGCACATCAGTTACTTGAGCTGGTGCGTTGGAGGAGACGGAGCCCAAGAAAAAAGAGAAAAATCACACACGTCTTACTTGTAAATTGTGAGATTTATTAGGACAAACTGCGCAACGTTTCGGCACTAGACCTTCGTCAGGTAAACAGAATGAGAGCTCAGGTGGCCATCTTAAATAGCACCCAAGGGTGACAGGTCATAAAGAAATAGTGTACCAAAACCCCCAAATTCACAGAACAAAGACAATCAACATGTAGTGTAATAATAATGATTCTAATAATAATACTAATGAAATATTAATCATAGTACAAAAATCATAGAACAATAATAGAAAAATAAGAAGAATATCTGGATACATATAGTGAAAATATACTGTCTGTATTTGCCTGACGAAGGCCTAGTGCTGAAACATTGCACGGTTTGTCCTAATAAATCTCACAATTTACAAGTAAGACGTGTGCGGGATTTTTCTCCATGTTAATTAAAAGTCTAAAATAACAAATCCTGGTTGCTACGTGAACACAGGGAACGCCGGGGCCTCTCAGTGATCTGTGTGTGCAGAGGTACACACCCCCATTTTTGACTCACTCTGGAGCCACACGTTCACACTTTGGTTCTTGCTCTGATCTTCGTGTGTTACTCTGTTTTGGCCATTGTTGGCAAAATAATTCGGAAATGAGTCTGGAGAACAATCTGGTATTGTGCTGGAGTCGTACAGCGTGAGTCAGCCGATTTGTCAATTACTGCCAAAATGGCGACACCAAGTGCGTGACGAGCCGGTGTGACGTCAGCTCCCGGAGCTCTAGAAACAGCTCTTGAGGTCAAAATAAGACCATCTAAGGCAGGAGTGTTCACACTTTTTCATCATGTGAGCTATTTACAAAATGACCAAGTCAAAATGATCGACCTAATACAAAGCCAAACAAACTGCACTGAAACACTCTGTGCCCCTTTTTTGGACCCTCCCCCACAGTTTGAGAACCTCTTCTTTAAGAGAACTTCCTCTGGCACTTTACACAAAACTGTGAAAAAAGTGAAGGAAGATTTTTAAACCTGTTTTTTAAAGTTCCAAACTGGAGTTACATTCTTTTCTGGTTTTGCAGTGATATTTACCAGCCTCTGCACGTTTACCAAACCAAACACACATCGTGACAAACACAGATGCATTTGTCACTTTTGTTAGACAAACTTCAGCCAAATGTGGCAGTAGGTCTGTTCTGTAGATCCGCTCTATGCTGTAGACCTGCTTTGTGCCAACACTGGAACACAAATTTAGACTGGTTTTTGCTTCACGTTTGGTCTTGCTCTTCTAATCAGCCGCACTGTGGGAGGGGCTTGTGTTCGCTGTACGCAGGAAGGAGCGAGAGCGTGAAAAGGCGAGGGGCGGCGTGCTGACGTGAGGCAGATGGACAGGTAGGATGTTTAGGAAGTTGAACCTGCCCTGTGATGCACGCTGGTACACGAGGGCACACGCTGTCGCAGACGAGCCGTGCATAGGGAGCGTGTGTGTTTGTGATGCGCCGTAGAGTCTCCGCGGGTTTCAAATGAGCGCACAGGCTGCACTGAGACGCCCCACACGCTCCTGCACCCGCTACAAGTTTATTACCAACAGCAGCAGCCGTAATGAAATATGATCACACTTGTTGAGTGTCAGACCTCGAGTGAGAGACAAGACCGAGTCCAAACGCGAGTCCGAGACGAGACACGGCGATCTACCCACATGACCTCGGCGATTGACGTATTGAGCACCCCTGATCTAAGGACATCGAACGATAAAAACTGGATGTAAAATCAGAAAGTGCCAACTTGAGTAGTCTCCCCAAATATTTTTACTCTTAGCTACTTAACCAATTTTTTGGACTTCTACTTTTTACTTAGACTTGAGAAATATTTTTTTGAAGTAACATTACTCTTACTTTAGTACAATTTGTGGCTACATTTGATTTGAGGAGAGAGGCGCTGTAAAACCGTGTAAAACCAGGACAACAGGTGACAACAATGAAATAAACATAAGAGACATTATTTTACCACCAACATGTTTGTATTTATCACTTGAAATAGCTCATAAATAGCAAAAAGTGACAAAAGCTTTATGTTCACAGCAATAAATGAATATGAATATTTTTTATGTTTCTTGCAGCGCTCCTTCAGATATGATTTAGTTTTCCCCATTTCTGTGTCTATCTTTTGAAAATAACAAATCTTTAAGTTATTCTTACTTGAGTAGTAGTTTTTTCAAATATTTTTTACTCTTGAGTAATTTATAGGACTGCTACTTTCTACTTCTTTTTTGAGTATTTTGAAGTATTACTATCAATTTTGGCTACTCTACCAACCTGTGCTTATATGTTAAATAAATGTAAGCTTTTTCTTTGCACTTATTACTTATTTTTGAAGTACAATAACATTTGTACTGAGCTGTATTAGAGGGTCAATCTATTCATTCATCTGTCTAGTCATGGCTGTGGTTACATGCACATTCAAAAACTGATTGAATATTGGAGTTATAAAAATATTGAAATGACATAAGAAGCCAAATCAACTCCTTTCTTTCTGATCACGGTCCCTCTGAAAACAAACATCACATTTTGCTGTTTACATGCCATTTTTGCAGGGTCTAAAAATCAGAGTAGAATCATATTTTGGTGTGTGTGTGTGTGGAGGCATAAAGTAGTTCAAATATTAGAACTGAATGTGGTATTTTCTGTGGCAGTACATTGGTATTGCACAATTATGATTTAACTTTCCCTTGCCTTTGTTTCTGAAGGAAGGAAGAAGAGATGCTGTTTCAGAGAGACGTTTGAAGACATTATAAATTACTGTGGTTGGCAGTTTCTAGGTTTGTAATGACCAAAAATGAATGAGTGTAAACACCCACACAATATGATTCTTTTCTGGTCATAGGTCGTCCACAGTTTTAGGAGCATCTGCTGACACATCTGCTGAATAGAGAGAGACTGGTAGGTCCACAACTCAACTACAAACAAGATCTGTGTGTGAAAATGAAATATATTACATAAAAATAGAAAGCACTAATTATAACGAGTGAGTGACAGGTCTCCCACTCTTTAGCCCTATTCAGACCGTTTTATCTTTTTAATACACTGATACTTAAGATTAAAAACCTATCAATAGTTCATTGATTTAATATAACAAATAGACCCACTTAGAAATTAAAACTCTTTTCTGTTAAATTAAAACAGGCATTAACCATTTCTTTCTTTATTGGTGCAACTGTACAATGGATGCAAGTGTACTGTATGGAAAACACAGCCAACCTAATTGGTTAAAAACACTTTAAAATATACACAGTATATACACATGGACAGACAATTCACATATCCATTTGTTTTCAGTCATTGTTTTCACAAACTATGACTTAATGCTCCTTCTGACAACAATAAAATATGTTCAAGGGAATAAATAATTAAGATCTTCTCTTTTAAGGCCATAGTGATAATGTCACATTACATAGTGTATCACATATGCTGTTACTACACTAAATATAAAACAGAAGTTATAATTACGCCACTTTAATGACAGTGCTTACTTGCGTCTGTCTTAAGGTCAGAATGTTTTGTGTCTTTATCGTTGTAGAGTCATGTTATGTATATGTGCACGCACTGCTAATCTTGGAGTTTACATCTCTACAAACATGTTCTGAAGCTGAAAGAAAGGGCTCACAGAAAACAATGTAATAACATCACTCCCCCTTCAGAGCACTATTACAATACAGTCTGCATGGATCTCGCTAATCAAACAACTGCACATGGCATCAATTGGGTGATGTAGGCTTGCACAGTCTTACAGCTAACCACAAGGAGGGTTTGAACAGAGCCCGGGAGAGATCGCTAACTTACCAAAACATGTATGGAGGACATCTAAAACCTCTTAAGGCACACTTTTGATGAGGGACATTATAACATGGTTATAACATGAACAAAGCTAAAAGGAAAAAAAATAAATAAATAATTCATTGACATAGACCTAAAAATCACTGCTCATTGCTTTGGCTTTGGTTTCACCGGAGTATTTTGACTGTATTTTACCGGTGTGTTCCCATGTGTGACCGCAGACCCTTCGCCTGAATAAAGGCCCTGCCGCAGAGCGAACAGCTGTAAGGTTTCTCCCCTGTGTGTATCTTTCGGTGGTCGCTCAGCTGAGATTTCTGTGAGAAGGCCTTCAGACAGAAGGAACAGCTGTAAGGTTTTTCACCTGTGTGCGTGGTCATGTGGGCTTTGAGATGAGATCTCATCCGAAATCCTTTGTCACAGACTGGACAACTGAGCGGTACTTCTCCTGTATGTGTTACTAAGTGGTACTTCAGTGCTGCAATTTGGGCAAAAGTTTTATTACAGACAGAACAGCTGTGTGGTCTTTCCCCCGAGTGAAGTCTAAAGTGGATTTTTAAATTTCGGTTTGATGCAAATCTCTTTAGACAAATAGAGCATTGGTGTTTCTTCTTCTCTGCTCCTTCGGCTGTTCCTGACATGTCTCCATTGTCGTCACTGGTCTCTGGGGCAGACTTGTATATGGAGAATAGACTGGAGTTTTCTGTAGTGGCTCTGACCTGGACTTGGTTGTAGTGGTCTCCATCAGCCTCTGAACAGCTGAATGGAGCTCTGCAGTCTTCATCATTGTCAAAGAGCTCTGTGTCTCCCTCAGTCCTAATGTCCTCTCCCAGTGTGTCCTCTCTGGGTTCACTTTGTCTTTGTTCAAACAGTGGGGACGCTTCTGTCTTCACATGGACTCCACTGAACTCTGGGACAAGCCTGAAAAATAAATCACAGTGATACTTAATTTAATTATAAAATATGTTAAAGCATTATAAAAAGGTCCTAAATTATGCTGAATTGACTCTTGTGAGCTTTAAACTATGTTTAAATGCTCTGACTTCATCAAAAACATACCCAGAGTTGTATTTTGTTTCATTCACGCATGTTTGAATAACCCTTTTAAAACTCCAAATGCTCTGTTCCACCTTGTGATGCCATGAAACGATACTTTTCAAATTAACACCTATCATCTGTTTGAGAGAAAAACTCTTAATATGTAGAGTTTGTGTGTTAAAGAAATGTGAATGCAGTGTGTCAAATCCCTCAGTCGTCCAGGTAGAATCCAAGGCAAATGGAGAAATTCAAATTATCAACTGGATAAAAGTTTATTTTGGTTAAACTGAAGAAACAGCTTGGATGAGCTGCAGAACATATTCGACCAAAATAAACTTTTGTCCAGTTGACAAATTGAATTTCTCCTTTTGCCATGTGTGAATGAAACAAAATACAACACCAGGTCTGTTTGTGATGGGGAAACAACATTAGAACAGAACAGAAAAATCAGAGTAATATTACACAATGGATTTGATGAATGTCTTCTGTGATGCTTAAATTAGGGTCGCACAATTAATCGTAATCTTTTCGAAATCCCAAAATGAATGGACACAAGTAGCAAAATCACAATTTTTTTTCCAAATACCATAATTTCCTTCACTAATAAAATGTCCAGTTTTATTCTGCATAACAACTGCTAACCCTGTAGTCACATCTGTACAAACATGTTCTGAAATGTGATTCATGGATTAGTTTGTCAATTCATATTTTAGTCTTTTTGTCAATTAATTCTTTGCAAGTTCTTATCTGTATGAAACTTCTTCTCACAGTTTAGAGCCTGCACTGTTCACAATGCAATATTTGTGAGTATTATTTAGTTAGGTGTGTTCCAATAGTTGACACTCACACTTGTAGCTGTTCTTCCTCCTGTTTGACGGTCTGTTCCTCTGGCTCCTCTTTAATCTCATCAGGGACAGTCAGAGTTTTCACTGAGGGAATCTGAACGCCTGTAGGACAGAATGGACAAATAAGAAATGCAGAAATGAAGCAATTCATATGACAAACATCATCATAAAGGAGTAAAGGCAGTACTGGCGGTAGATGAGGGTGTAATCTCATATGAGTGGGGTAATAGTGGCAGTCTGGACACGGACTGTGCTGGTGCCGCTCTGTGCAGCACGACTCTCGGGTTCAGAACCGAGTCCAGGGCCTCCTGTTTCCTCTGGTTCTCCTCTTTGGAGCGGCGCAGTTCCTCTTCATATTCCGCTATCGTCCCTTCAAACAGCGCAAAGATCTCCTCCGCAGCCGCAATCAGCCTCTCGTTCAGCAGATCTCTGAGCCGGTGCATTTTCAACACGCTCACGTTGTTTTTAGCTTTAGCCTCGAGCTAACCGCAGAGAGACGGGCGAGGGGGATGTTGTGCGCATGCGCTAAAAAGACAACCAAAACCGCTGTAACTAAACAAAATACTTTTAATTATTTGTAACTTATAGTGATGGCTTTGTGTCTGTGTCTGATATAAAGAAGACAGTAATGTAGCCTTTAAATAAATCACCTTTTTACTGACAAAACGGCTTTAATGGGGGTTCCAGGTCAGGTCTGTGGAAAGGCTACACGGCTCGCAGTACAGTCAGTGTTGGGGAGTAACAGATTACATGTACCAGAGTTACATAATCAGAGTACAAATTATGAGTGACTGTATTCAGTTACAGTTACTGTTTCAGTGAGTGGTAATTGGATTACAGTTACTTTGTTGAATTAAATGGATTACACGGCGATATTTTCCTGTTTTCACATTTTGGGCTATATCCCTTTTTTTTTTTTTTTCTTTTCTTTTTTTTTCTCGGTAATTCCACTCATTGCCGAAATCTAACCTACATCTCCATGAAGACAACTAAGTTTAATGCCTTAGCGTGGAACATTTTACTAAACCTGGTCTAAACCAGGACTAAACCAGTCTAAACCAGGACTAAACCAGGACTAAACCAGGACTTAACCCAGGTCTAAACCAGGACTAAACCAGGACTAAAACCAGGTCTAAACTAGATCTAAACTCGGTCTAAATTAGGTCTAAACCAGGACTAAACCAGGTCTAAACCAGGACTAAACCAGGACTAAACCAGGTCTAAACCAGGACTAAACCAGGTCTAAACCAGGACTAAACCAGGACTAAACCAGGTCTAAAACAGGACTAAACAGGTCTAAACCAGGTCTAAACCAGGACTAAACCAGGACTAAACCAGGTCTAAACCAGGACTAAACCAGGTCTAAACCAGGACTAAACCAGGACTAAACCACTAAACCAGGTCTAAACCAGGACTAAACCAGGTCTAAACCAGGACTAAACCAGGACTAAACCAGGACTAAACCAGGACTAAACCATGCTTGTGGACGTGTCTCCTCCTCTTCTATCAATAATATTTTTGTATTTGGTTCAGTAAAGTCTGGGCTTTTCATTTTCTTTTAGCAGACAAAACTTATTATGTGAAGAAATCCGAGTCTTTGCTTCTCTACAGCAAATCAAGTAATCCAAAGTATTCAGATTATGTTACTCACTTTAAGTAATTTAATGGATTACATTACAAACTACATTTTGGTGTATGTAATCTGTAATCTGTAGGGGAATACATTTTAAAAGTCACCTTCCCAACACTGAGTACAGATGCATGTTAATAATAAAATAATAATGCATCAGATGTATTTAGCTCTTTCATACAAGGCAATGTAGGTGAGGTGCCTTTCCTACAGACACAGCAACAGTGTTAGTGACGGGCGCTCCACTGTGGCACCTGGAATTCCCAGTGCTCTGTTATATTTGTTAGCCTATATTTATAACATACCAATTTTTTTTTTAAAGAGATGGATTTTTATAATTGCCAAGTTTAATGCCATACTGTGGAACATTCCGGACAAAGCTACAACTTCTCTAGAGGGTTGAATAAATAACTTCTTTTGGGCTACTCATTGTGTTTCATTCTGTTATCTGTCTTTTTATTTATTAAACTAGATAGTCATGTGAGCAGGTATCTGGGCTCTAGGTACAAATCATCTTGGTGGGCCCACACTCGTTGTCTAATGAACAATGTATATTCAAAGACTTTGTGAGGGGCCCCTCCTTGCACTTTGCCCTGGGGAAACAGTATCCTTTACCCGCCCAAGTCAACGCCCCTGTCGAGTCTATTCCTTAGTATCCAAATCGATTTTGAAATGTTAGTATCATGACAGCACAAGTCAGAGGCATAAAGCAGTTCCAGTATTATTATGAAATTATTGTGTTTCCTGTAGCAGTGGATCGTTCTTCAAAATGTGTTGTTGTGATAGACCTCATTGAATGAAGGTAGACTTGGGTAACTTTTGGCTTTACACAATTTGTAACTTCATTTTGTTTTTGTTTCAGGAGGAAGGCAGAAGAGATGCCGTCTTTTCTTCCAGACTTACTGTAGCTGACAGTTTAAGGTTTGTAATTACCAAAAGTCCATTAGCATAAAACCCACACTGTATTAAACATATGTCTGAGTGTTCTTTTTTTGGTTATAGAAGGTTGTCTACAGTTTGAAAAGCATTTGTTGACACTTCTGCTGAGTAGAGAGAGCCTGGTAAGTCCACAACTCGACTTGGGTTCAATAATATATCACACTTATTAAAATGAAGTACATTGTAGTACAGTACAATGTCATGTAAAACAATGCCATGTTAGTCAATAGTTTAAATGTAGAGAAATGTGGCATGCACACTTTACACATGAAACAAGATCTGTGTGAGAAAATTTTATGAAAAATAAAACCAAACAGCAGTAGTTGTAACAGGTCTCCTACTCTATATTAACATAAGATAAGATATTTCAGATTGAAACCTAGAAGAAAAAAGTTCATAACCATGGTTCAATACAACAAATAGACCCACTTAGAAACAGCCCGGCAGTTCTGTTTGAATGGCTTGAATGTCACTATGTGCTGTGGTCTCCATTGGTGCGCAGTAACGTCCCACACCTCGCGCTTCACATGCTCCATGATTTGCCTGTACTGGGATACTATTTTGCCAGTCATCAAGCACATTACAAGTGGCACCACTTGTACTTGCCATGGTCTCGGGAAACTTTTGAATGTGCCAACAATGTAAACATCTTGACACCTCCTGAGCTTAGAAAAATTTTCATCACTACAAAAAAAAAATAAATAAAAAATACTCCCCATCCATTGTCCTAATGAGACAGAAATCTCGATCCACACCATGTTTCCACTCATTCATTTTCAATGATAAAATCGTCCACATTATTAGGAATCAGAGGAAAAAGTGATGCTCGTTTTCTGTTCAGTCTGGAACGAACATTGCTAAATTCAGGTATCTGGTCAGGATCTGTATCAGCGACGACTTCATTATATACTCTTTTAAGGGATTTTGAAGGGTCAGCCACAAGCTTCTCTACCATCTTTTGTTTTACGGCACTGGACCTAATGACATCCGTGTCATCTGGATGATTGTGATTTGGCACTGGTTGGCCTAGAATCCGGATCTCTGGGTTTTGCTCCTCGAGGTCAAATGCGTTTGTTTTCACATAAGCATTGCAAACCTTTCGCCAACAACGCCAGTAGATTTTGTCCGGTTTGACTTTATTTTTCTGATATCTGTGGCCTTCATGTACCAAAATCTTCCCTCCGCGATTGCCTGGCTGTATGAATGCAAATGGTGAGGACTCTTCTGGCTTCACATCGACACCACTGTAGTCTGGGACAAAGCTGAAAAATAAATCATAACTTTATTTTATTATAAAATTTACACATACTAAAGCAATATTAAGCAACACATTTAGTAATGTCTTCTGCGATTCTTAAAGAAGACATCGTGCTTGTGTCTACATTATTTGTGTCATAATCTTTGACACCTGTGGAACAATTTGTTATAATTTGGACATTTTAAATGTCCAAATATGGATCTAAAACAGCTTCTTAAAACAAACAAGTTAGCTGACTTCTGTATTAGAAAACTGAGCTGACATCGCCCTAAACGTCATCACAAGGAGCAGCGCAGCTATCAGCACCTCTGATGGATGCTGCACATCACACTAGTGAGCTGCAGATTTTTTTTTTCCATTTTTACCACAATGACTGCGTAATGCTGACGAATCCTATTTGTATCACTAAGAATATTAAATTGGGGTGTGAGTGTGTGTAGAGCAGTGGACTCATGTCAGTGGCAGGAGTTGATAAAATGGGGTTTTGAAAATTAGTCGATTTTGCACAATAGGTCTGCTTTAAATTAGCGCTGCACTGTTAATCTAATCGAAGTTGCAAATTGAATGAACGCAAGTAGCAAAATCACAAAGGCTGCAGTTCTCCAAGTACCATAATTTCCTTCACAAGCAACAAAATATACTTTCTTATTCTGGATAAACTACTGCTAACCCCATCATTTAAATCTGCAAGTATTTTCAACAGGTACATTTTTAAATATAAAAAAATATTAGTTTCTATTGAACTTTTTCAAATGTCATGTATGCATAAATCTGTGTTTTTACATTAATATGAAGCATTTATAATTTTTTTTTTTTATGTACATTACTTAGCTACGTCCTTAAAAAATCATGTGGTGCGACCAAGAACAACCTTAACATTGTTTTATTTTCTAAAATGCTTGGGATTTTAGTCTAAATTGTGAGTAATATGAAGTGTATAGAAACAAACTGTTGGCATTTCTTTTGATTTTTAATGCATATTGATATTTTCTTTTGACGTTCAATGAGTCACCTGCGTGCGTTTAATTAACATAGTACTTTTTGCTGTTAATTGCATAAAATAAAAAAAAATCCCTAAAGAATACCATTCACCCGAGTATTATTAAAATTTCAGCCATAGAATTGAAATACCATATTTTTGTTTTAAGAAAATTACTGCTATTATTGGTCACACCATATAACGCATGATCACACCAAATGACGGGAAAACCTCATATTGGTCAAACAAATAACAATAAATTAGTAACAAATAAACTGCATGAAAAATGTATAATTACATACAAATTTATTACAGTTTAATACCCAGTGAAGATGAAAATTATCATTTTTTTCCCCGTTTCATTTCTACAACATTGTCATTTTTTCCTCACATTTAATTTTCATTGTCACTTGCAGTCACTTTAACAACCATAACACTTATGAACTTCACATTTGTGGCCTTTGTTGATATTCGTAAACAGATTTAATAAAAATAATAATAATTTCAGTTAAACAAGTGAAGGCAAGTGAAGACAAACTTTCATTTTTTTCCATTGCATTTCTACTTTTCTCATTAACAGTGCTTTCATTTTCATGACATGTCTATCATAATTTTTTTAACTCACAAACAGCTTAAGTTAACTTTGACGGATGTCTTTTAAAAAAACATTTATAAACAGATTTTATTTCCACTTTTCCTTTACACAACATTCTTATTTTTAAAAATGACAGTAACCTTGTGAACTTCACTTGTGAATTCATGGCCTAAGGAGAGCTGGTGAAATAGTGTCCATAGATGGCCGGGTGAGGTTTAATACCAGGTTTGCCATCTTTTTTCTGTTCCTGTAAGCCTTGGATGCAGCCTTCCATTTCTCTCTCTGCTTCTTTTTCTCTTCTTCTTGCAGCTCACTTGATTTAACATAAGGACTCTTTCCTTGTTGCTTTTTTCTCTGGTAGCTGAAACAGTTAGTACTGTATTATAAATCTATGGCATAGTCTCTTGTGTATAGTGCTGATGAAATGCATGTCCTACTCTGAACAGAGATAGTACGTATTACTATTGAAAATATTTCCTTTTCCACGTTTCAGAACAAACCTTTCTCTTCTCCTGGCAAGGTACTTTGCTCTTGCTGCAGGGTCAGAATTGACACGCTCCCTGTAGCGGGCAGTCTTTGACAGTGGCATCTGAGAAAAATAGATTTAAATATAGTTAAAAATATATACATATAGTCACATATGTTTATATATTTTCTCATTATACTGTATAAATATGAATTACAACTCATTGTTCCTGAAATACTAAAAAAGAAAAAAAAAGGCAAAGTCTTAAAATAAATCATTATTAATTGAAAATAACTTCAAAAGCAAAAAAAAAATTAACTCTGCAATGTATATGAGTAATGGAAAGTATCCTACAATGGTCGCACCACATGATATTGGATGCAACAAATGACGTTTTTTTATTTAGATTCAGTCAAAATTTACAGGCAAAGCAGTAGGTACTGTACAAAACTAACTTGTTTCTCACAAAGGGTCACCTTCAACTACATTATCAAAATATACATGTGTAAATCAAACTTCATTATTGTTACTGATTTCATTCACATGACATCCAAATGTGGCAACTGCATCCCAGTACTTAAAAACATGACTTCTTAAAATGAATGAAAGAGGGTTACAAACCTGCTTGCTGATTCCATGTGTCCTTTGCCAACTGGTCAATGATGCAACTTCCGCTCTTTCAGTCGAATTCAAAATAAAAGTCATAGTTATTTCTTGATAGTCGCACCACATGATAATTGAAACACGCTCGGACAATATTTGTTTGTATATTATGGGGGAAATACCTATTCAAGAAAGCGGAAATTTCATGTGAGACTACAAAACACCTCAGAAAATATTTCCAAAAAGAAAGAAAATAAATTTGATTAGATTTAGAGTCATTTTAAAGAAGTTTAAAAATCAGCAGTTAAGGGCGGACGGTTGCACCACATGACATTTTAACACTTAAGTACAAAAAACATGCATAATAACTAATGATTTCTTAAAAAATTATTTGGTTCCATGGAGGTCAGAGGTACTACAGATATGTGGTGAATTATTATGAAATTTCAACCTTTTTAACCGAAGAAATTGCAATAGATGCATCATGAATTTTGGACTTCCGCTCATTTTTTTTTCAGAAAAAATGAGCATCAAACCATCATGTTTGTTTTCCCAGTGGGATGTGTTTATTGACAAAGTCGATCTTTTCAAGTCTTTTGAACATATCACTTTTGTTTCTGGTTCTAATATTGTCATATTTTAGTTTTGGGATTCGGACGTTGTTAATTGCGTAATTGTTGGATCCTAACAGTGGAAAACGGCTCAAGAAATTTGTTTGCGAACTCCATAAATGCAAAAGGGAATCAGATCTGTGTGAATCTATGTGAAACCTCTGTTCAGACTGTTTCCCGTCCCAGCGGAATTGAAAAATAGTGAAAGGTAAAGTCAGGAAGGACCAAAAAAGGAAACCTTTGACTGCCTAAATCATCCAGAGTTTGCATTTTGTATGTAGAGCGCTCAACCTCGGTTATGAATTTAAAAAGTCAATGCCAAAGTGAAAGTCACCAACTGTTCACCAAGAAACACCTTCTACTACAAAGTGACCAAGACATGATGTTGTTGTAAAACCACAAGAACAAGAAAGTGCAGCTCAGTCTGTTTGTCTTCTGCACCTCTCGCTTAACAAACAGGATTTTGTTTTGTTGTCGCTCCATATACAAAATGTTCATTGCAAACTCGGGATGATTTCTTAGGCAGTCAAAGGTTTCCTTCTCGTCCTTCCTGTGGATCAATTCTGCCCATCGCCTTCACCTTTCACTATTTTTTCAATTCTGTTGGGAAGAGAAACAGTTTGAATGGAGGTTTCACATAGATTAACACAGATCTGATTCCCTTTTGCATTTATGGAGTTCGCAAACTTCCGAAGCCCATTTCCCGAGCCGTTAGGATCCAACAACCACACAATTACCATGTCCAAATCCCAAAACTAAAATATGACAATATCAGAACCAGAAACAAAAGTGATATGGTTCAAAAGACTTGAAAAGATCGACTTTGTCAATAGGCACATCCCACTGGGAAAACAAACATGGAGGTTTGATGCTCACTTTTTCAGAAAATCCTTCCCCGTGTGCATTGTGCAGTGACTGGAAGTCTGAAATTCCATGATGCATGTATTGGACAGAAAATTTAGGCGTCATGTCATTGACCTGCATACATGTTCGGAAATGTGATTCTTGTTTTAGTGAACTAAATGTGAACTCTGTACAGAGTCCTATTATTAAATTATAGATTGTAAATCTAATCACAATTCTTGCCAAATTAAATATTTTCTCCATGTTTTTCAGCCCCATCTACACGTGTCATCTACACTCCTGCACTGTTCACAATGCAATATTATATTTAGTTAGGTGTGTTCCAGTAGTTGACACTCACACTTGCAGCTGCTCTTCCTCCTGTTTGACGATCAGTTCCTCTGGCTCCTCTTTAATCTCATCAGGGACAGTCAGAACTTTCACTGAGGGAATTTCAACGCCTGTAGTACAGAATGGACAAATCAGAAATGCAGAAATGAAGCAATTCATTTGACAAACGTTAGTATAGACGAGTAAAGGCAGTACTCGAGGTAGATGAGGGTGTAATCTCATATGAGATAAAATCAGGCAGACTGGACACGGACTGTGCTGATGTCGCTCTGTGCAGCACGACTCTCGGACTCAGAACCGAGTCCAAAATCTCCTGTTTCCTCTGGTTCTCCTCTTTGGAGCGGCGCAGTTCCTCTTCATATTCCGCTATCGTCCCTTCAAACAGCGCAAAGATCTCCTCCGCAGCCGCAATCAGCAGCTCGTTCAGCAGGTCTCTGAGCCGGTGCATTTTAGACATGCTCACGCTGGTTTGAGCTAAAGCTTCGAGCTAAACGCAGAGAGACGGGAGAGGAGGATTCTCATAGAAATATAATCAAACATGAAGATGAATCCAAGATGGCACCACAGTATTGTTTTCAGTGGACTGTGCTCATTGGCTCACGGGACTCCCAAAAAATGTTCACTTCCTCAGTGCGGTGCAATGTCGCCACCAACTGATGAGGAGGGCGAACTGAAATGTGATTTACTAATCTACAGTAATGTACTATATGACATGATATGATGTGATACAATACAAAATAAAATAGAATAAAAACAGTGATCAAATAATAACTAAAGCAAAAATAATGAATCAAATCCTGTTCATCAAATTAATATCCCTAACAAACTTAAATAAATCGTAGAAACTATTCCTTGGGTGCTGCTGCAATACTTCTGTTGTGGAAAAAAATATGTATCTCTTGATGATAAATAATTAATCCATTTACGAAGTCTGATGAGTTTTTGGAATATAGACCTAGGTTTATTCTTGTTACAGCAGATATGGACAGGGCCTAGTCCTGCCCTGGCCAGAAGTATGTCCCTACTCCATTTGAGTCTCTCCCCAAGCATCTGCCCCAGAGCATCTGAGTTCTGAGTATTTATACAGAAACACACGTTACATACATATCAAAGCAGAGTGACTTTGGTTTCAGAGGCTGGTGCAAAATGAACATACAGTTGAGGACAGGTAAGACAGCAAAAGGTCTTCCTGAAGGAGGAGACAGTTGTGTCCGATGAACCTTTACACATGTTAATGACTGCTCTGGTCTCAGGTAGAAATCACATTCATTTACACAAAGACAGATTGAGGGAAATCTTTCCACAATGTACATTTCTATCACAGTTCTAGTCAGATTTCATTTTAAGGTCCTTGATCCCTTTCTTTTTTATATTTCTTTCCCCTGTGTATGTGCTAGATTATAATTTGCTATTTGCTTGTGGTGGTAGATCTCATAGAGTGAAGATATACTTCAAAGTCAGGGTGACTTTTGGCTTTACACAATTTGTAGCTTCATTTTGTTTTTGTTTCAGGAGGAAGGCAGAAGAGATGCCGTCTTTTCTTCCAGACTTACTGTAGTTGACAATTTAAGGTTTGTAATTACCAAAAGTCCATTAGCATAAAACCCACACTGTATTAAACATATGTCTGAGTGTTCTTTTTTTGGTTATAGAAGGTTGTCTACAGTTTGAAAAGCATTTGTTGACACTTCTGCTGGGTATAGAGAGCCTGGTAAGTCCACAACTCGACTTGGGTTCAATAATATATCACACTTATTAAAATGAAGTACATTGTAGTACAGTACAATGTCATGTAAAACAATGCCATGTTAGTCAATAGTTTAAATGTAGAGAAATGTGGTATACACATTTTACACATAAAACAAGATGTGTGTGAAAATTTTATGAAAAATAAAAACAAATAGCAGTAGTTGTAACAGGTCTCCCACTCATTTCAACCTGTTCCATCTATGTAGTACCCAAATATTTAAGATTAAAAACCTAGAACCAAAAGTTCAGAACCATGGTTCAATACAACAAATAGACCCACTTAGAAACTGTAAACTCAAAACAAGCATCGTCCATTTTTGAACACTTTCTTTATTGATGGAACTGTACAGTTTTGAATGGAAAACAGGCTCCACCAACCTAATATTGATTAGAAAAGTTGAAAATAAACAATGAACAGACAATTCACATAAGAGTTCATTTTCAGCCAAACTATGACCTAATGTTCATTCTGACAGCATTTAAATATGTTCAAGGGAAAAAGAGCTTCTCTTTTAAGGCCATAGTGATAATGTCACATTAAATAGTCTATCACACATGCTGCTACTACAACAAATATAGATACAGAATACAGAAGTTATAATTACACCACTTTAATGACAGTGCTCAGTTGCGTCTGTCTTAAGGTCAGAATGTTTTGTGTCTTTATCGTTGTAGAGTCATGTTATGTATATGTGCACACACCGCTAATCCTGGAGTTTACATCTCTACAAACATGTTCTGAAGCTGAAAGAGGGGCTATTTTTACTTCTCTGGGGTATTATCTGCTAACACATACTGTATTTAGATGACCATGTTACCTTTTATTGTTTTGAAAATCTTACTTGTTGAAAATAGTGTGCTCTCCACGCTAAGTCACCCCGCTTCAGAGCACTATCACAACACAATCAGCGTTCATCCCACTAATGAAACTACTGCACATCTTATCAGGTTTGTCAAGTTGTTGTGTAGAGTTTTGTATTATGTTTTAGTTGATTTATGGACAGTTGTCATGTGTGGGCGATGTAGGCTTGGGGGTGGAATATTGGACAGAATCTTACAGCGAACCGTAAGGAGGGTTTGAATAGAGCCCGGGAAAGATCATTCAATTCTTGAAACATGCATGGATGACATCTAAAACATCTTTAGACATGCTTTTGATGAGGGAACAATGTTATAACATGGTAACACAGAAAAATGATTTCACAAAATACCCCCTCTTTAAGAATAATTCAATGATGTCATCAGAGAACGGCGCTTGTTGCTTTATCCCTGCTGTTTTTTTACCGGTGCGTTGCCATGTGTGACCGCAGACCCTCCGACCGAAGAAAGGTCCTGTCACAGAGCGAACAGCTGAATGGTTTCTCCCCTGTGTGTATTTTCCTGTGTATTGTCAGATGACTCTTCTGTGAAAAAGACTTCAGACAGAAGGAACAGCTGTAAGGTTTTTCACCTGTGTGCGTGGTCATGTGGGCTTTAAGATGAGAGCTTATCCGAAATCCTTTGTCACAGACCGGACAACTGAGCGGTACTTCTCCTGTATGTGTTACTAAGTGGTACTTCAGTGCTGCAATTTGGGCAAAAGTTTTACTACAGAAGGAACAGCTGTGTGGTCTTTCCCCCGAGTGAAGTCTAAAGTGGATTTTTAAATTTCGGTTTCTCGCAAATCTCTTTAGACAAATAGAGCATTGGTGTTTCTTCCTCTCTGCTCCTTCGGCTGTTCCTGACATGTCTCCATTGTCGTCACTGGTCTCTGGGGCAGACTTGTATATGGGGAATAGACTGGAGTTTTCTGTAGTGGCTCTGACCTGGACTTGGTTGTAGTGGTCTCCATTAGCCTCTGAACAGCTGAATGGAGCTCTCCAGGCTTCATCATTGTCAAAGAGCTCTGTGTCTCCCTCAGTCCTAATGTCCTCTCCCAGTGTGTCCTCTCTGGGTTCACTTTGTCTTTGTTCAAACGGTGAGGACACTTCTGTCTTCACATGGACTCCACTGAACTCTGGGACAAGCCTGAAAAATAAATCACAACTTTATTTGATTATAAAATATTCATATATTAAAGCAATCTTAAGCAACACATTTAGTAATGTTTTCTGCAATGCTTAAAGAAGACATCGTGCTTGTGTCTACATTATTTCTGTGTCATAATCTTTGACACCTGTGGAACAATTTGTTATAATTTGGACATTTTAAATGTCCAAATATGGATCTAATGTGACTTCTTAATAGAAAGAAGTCTGCTACTTCCGCATTAGAAAACTGAGCTGACGTCGCCCTAAATGAGTTGAATTGAATGAAGACAATTAGCAAAATCACAAAGGCTGCAATTTTCCAAGTACCATCATTTTCTTCACAAACAACAAAATATACTTTCTTATTCTGCATAAACTACTGCTAACCCCATAGTTTAAATCTGTGTAAACATGTTTGGAAATGAGATTCTTGTATTAGTGAACTCTGAACAGAATCCTATTATCAAAATATAAATTGTAAATCTAATCACAGTCGCAATACTTGTCAGAAAAAATCTCAATTAGATATTTTCCCCAAATTGTTCATCCCCATCTCAAGTGTCCAAGTGTCTCTGTGGGCTCTAATCTGTATGAAATCTGCTTATCACGGTTTAATATTATTTAGTTAGGTGTGTTCCAATAGTTGACACTCACACTTGTAGCTGTTCTTCCTCCTGTTTGACGGTCTGTTCCTCTGGCTCCTCTTTAATCTCATCAGGGACAGTCAGAGTTTTCACTGAGGGAATCTGAACGCCTGTAGGACAGAATGGACAAATAAGAAATGCAGAAATGAAGCAATTCATATGACAAACATCATCATAAAGGAGTAAAGGCAGTACTGGCGGTAGATGAGGGTGTAATCTCATATGAGTGGGGTAATAGTGGCAGTCTGGACACGGACTGTGCTGGTGCCGCTCTGTGCAGCACGACTTTCGGGTTCAGAACCGAGTCCAGGGCCTCCTGTTTCCTCTGGTTCTCCTCTTTGAAGCGGCGCAGTTCCTCTTCATATTCCGCTATCGTCCCTTCAAACAGCGCAAAGATCTCCTCCGCAGCCGCAATCAGCCTCTCGTTCAGCAGATCTCTGAGCCGGTGCATTTTGTACATGCTCACGTTGTTTTTAGCTTTAGCTTCGAGCTAACCGCAGAGAGACGGGCGAGGGGGATGTTGTGCGCATGCGCCAATCTTTGCTAGCTACAAAAAACAAAAACGCTGAGCTCAATCATAAGTTAAGGTCGTATTAAATATTGACAGAACATATTAAGGAGAGTAGAACCTCTATAATAGGCCTATATGTAAATCACCTTTTTACTGACAATTAAAAAAAAAAAAAAAAGGAGTAAAACTGTCAGGCTTTAGAAACAGGCTTTAATTATGCTCTACTCCAGTCCCGGGCCAAGTTCCAGGTCAGATCTGTGGAAAAGCAGAGTTGGCAGAGGCACAGAAAGGCACAGAAAGGCACAGTAAGAATGCATGTTATAAATGTAAGTTATGTTTAAAATGTTTTATTTGAAAATTGAGTTTATAATTGAAAATTGCTAAGGTTAATGCCATACTGTGAAACATTACAGGTAAAGCCGTAACTTATCCACAGAGGACTCCCCAAAAGAAAAGTTTCATTGAGCACTTTTAATGTCACAACTTTTGATACTAAAATGATTAGGTAGGTCAGACCTGGACATTGTACAGCTCCCTGGCCCCACACGGCCCGTTGATCGACTGTGACCGGCCCGGTTAAGATCATCTGGAATTACAAAATAAACAGATTTTACATTTTTACCTCATGCATGAACTAAAGCTGCATTGCTTTGATTTGCTTTTATTATAAGATGTATTTTTTAAAGACATTTAGGCAGTCTCACTTTTTCATTGCTTAGTCATACCATAAACTCTTTCCAGTCTGACCAGCTCGTTAAAAACAATGCTATTTACTTTTTTTTAATTTTAATTTTATTTTTTTAAGAAATGCAATTAATATTAGGCAGAATTGAGTTGAGCATTTTGGCCTGACCCTCCACAAGATTTTGTTTCTCATGTGGCACCATGGAAAAAATAATTGCCCACCCCTGATTTAGATAATCCATCAAAGTTATATGCCTATTTATTGAACAGGCAAGTGTTATGTCATTAGAACATGTTGTGTATTTCATCTTGCAGATGGAGTTGGATTTTTCAAACAGGCTACGACCCTGAAGAAAAGAACTCACTGAACATGGAGGAGTCTATCCAGGTGAAATTTTATGTCACATATATCTTATTTGTTTCTGTTTTAGTTTTATAAAGTTATAATCCAATGTGTATGCCTCTCAAACCATAGTTACAGAATGGTTATTTCTTGAACCTGGCTTGATCTTTTAGCAGAAGTGGGTTAGAGTGGCCAGAAAATACTGAGTAACGTTGCTTCAAAATAATATTATAACTATCGGGACCTACAATCTGATTTATAATTTAAAGTCATTGTAAGTAACACAAATGGTCAAAGCATTTCATATTGTCAACAGATAGCTTTTGTTGCTTGTAGAGTTAAGAAGAATGAGTGTCACTTTAATAAAAAAATATTACTCAAGTAGGAGTAAAAGTATGCTGCAAGAAAAGTACTCAAGCAAATGTAACTGAATACTACCCATCTTCATCTTTTACCGACAGACATGCCAAGATAACAGCTCCAAAAATCATATTCACTTGTGACTTAATAATAAGGAGGAGGTCATTTGTAACTTTGATGAGGACTGTTTCTGTGCTATGGTGGGTGCGGAAACCAGACTGGAAGGCTTCATACCACTGATTGGAGTGAAGAGTGGAGTAATCTTGAAGCTGGGTGGATATGGAATGTTCAAGGGTTTTGGATAGGAACGGGAGGTTTGAGAGTTGTTTGGGTCGTCATGATCCAGACAGAGTATGGTGGTGACTGCAGCAAGCTTGAAGGCGGGGGGAACAGTTCCAGAGGTGTAAGTGATGAGTTTATAATGTCAAGGATGAGTGGGCTGAGGCAGGGGAGACATGTTTTGATCAGTGGAGGGGGGATGGGATCTAGTGCACATGAGGTATTTGGTGAAATCGGAGGTTGAAATGGGTGATAAGGTGGACAGGCAATTTTGTGAGGTACTAGGCAGGACAAGTTGGGAGTCAGAACTGGGAAGAGTGAAGGTAGTGTTGAGGAAAATAACCATTTTACTCGTGTGTTTGTTAGTTTCTGCTTACACTACAAAAATTACACTTGGAACAGAAATAAAGTCCAGATAATTTACTTATTCCAAAGTCATACTTGTACAAGGCGTCTGTGCTGACATTCCCATGCAAAGACTGAATATTTACGCCTATACAATGATTTTTATACTATAAACTATAGTGGGAAGCGACCGTGGTTTAGACTTGGTGCCTCTTCGTTGGTGCAGTCAGGCCTCTTGGCACGTTGCACAATCTTATCCAATTGTGACAAGGATCCCCCGGATTCATCTCACTCCCCTTACAGGAGTCTTGCTGGTCTGATCAGGGTGATGAGTCGTGAGTCAGTATATCCCTATCAATAAGTCCTTGCCCTATTTAGTTAATTGATTAGAAGTAAGAAATAAAATATCTTGTACATGAACTGAATCTATCTCTGTATCCCTCATCTGTAATCCAGTCCCTGTTTTTCTGGGTCATTGTATAATGAATTATAATAGTACAATAACAAAATATAGTAGTACATCAATAACTGTATAGCAGCACATCAGTTACATCATAGCAGTAGTTATACACCACCTAAGCCTAGTTATTTATCCTAACAGCAGATAGTTGCTGGTGGATGTTGTCAATTTTGGACTGGGAGAAAGAGAGGAAGGTGTTACATTTGTCTGTGGTGAAGTAGTGGTAGATATTGTCCATGGGCTTGAGAAGGTTGTTGTACAGTGTTAAACAGTGAATGGGGTTAGAGGATTCATTGCGAATTATGCCAGAATAATATGCTGTGTGGGCGGCTCAGAGTGCGGTTCTGTAGAGATGGGTGTGGTCTATGTAAACTTCAGTGCGTATTGTAAGTCTGGTTTTCTTAGAAAGGCGTTCAAATTTCCTGTGTTGTTGTTTGAGTGGGTGAAGTTCAGGGGTGTCCCGAGAGCAGAGCGAGTGAATGGGACCAGTTTGGTTTTGACAGGGGCAACATGTTGGTTGAAGTTGAAGCTATTTAAAATGTCCATAAAGTCATGTACAGTGTTACAGGAGTCAGTGTGGATGCTGAAGTCACCTAAGAGGGTGGAGGTAGAGTATGAAGAAAGTTGTGTGATAAAGTCTGCAAAATCTGACAGAAAGGATGGGTAAATGATGTGATGGTCAGTGGAGAAGAGCCAGGGAGTTGAAAAGTGAGAGTTCAAATGTGGGGGCTGGAGGGACAGGGAGAGGCCGGTGTCTCTCCTTGTCAGCAGCAATACCCCCACCCCGGCTGTCAGGACGAGGTTTGTCCAGGTAGGAGAATCCAGAGGGGTGGCTTGGTTGAGAGAGAAATAATCCAGAGTTTTTAGCCAGGTTGAGAGTCCAGGATGAATTCGTTGATGATAAGTCTTTTATTGCTGAGGGATCTTGTGTTTAAGCGTCCGATTTTCAGAGGCTTGTTGTGAAGAGCTGAGGCAGGAAATGTTTTTTTTTTTATTATGATACATATATACAATATATACAATATAAACACATAAAACAGACATTCACAATTATTCATAACATAGTGGAAAAAAATAATGGAAACATAAAATAAAATAAATTACGGTAGATAAAACCTAATAAAGGAAACTAAATGACAGAAGCATCAGCTTTAGGGGGGGAGGGGGAGGGCATCTAACTGTTTATTATTTCTTTATATAGGTTGGTTATTGATAGGGCTTGATATTTATTGATAAGTGGTGAATAGAATGTAAATGATGATTTCAGTTAACAGTAATGGAAAATAATTTTTTTGAGAATTTTGCTCTGTGAATATGGTATTTACCAAGAAGAATTAATGAAGTAATGCGTTATTAAAATTTTTGCTTTTTGATGTGTATAGTGACTAATGATATTTTCTTCTTTAGAGGTTATTGGGACACATCAATTTTGAGATAGATAAACTTCTAATTGTTTCCAGTAGGTGTAGTGAACTGGGCATAAGGCAATAAATGAGTAATGTTCTCGGGGTGTGCCAGATAGAAATGGAGTAGAGTCACAGGTCGTGTGAGTTCAGCCTAGAGGAAGTGGGGTGCGATGGTATAGACTGGGAGGCTAAGCAAAAGATGTTCATTTTGTCTTCTTTTATACTTTTACTTCTTGGGTTCTTTTTAAAGACAATGCAGTAAAGTGTATTTACCTTGTTGACATGTTTCGGCTGCTGCATGTTCAGAACTGTAACCGGTGTTGGTGGTGATGTGTCGTATATCAGCTGTTGTTACTTCCTGTAGGCGTGGTCAGCCTGATGGACCTGGCAAGTCGCTAAGACTGACCACGCCTCCCGTCGCCCGGTGTCCCAGGTGTGTGAAAGGAGGAACGCTCCGTCATCAAGGTTAATGCTGTCCGTGTCTCGTTTTCTGATTTCAGTGGCCTCCTTGATCCAGCGTTTGAACTTGTTGTTTTCCGATCCAATGATCCGAGCCCCGTCCCAATCCATAATGTGGTTGTTCCTTTTACAGTGTCTGATGTGGCGGATTTTAGGTTTTCCTGTTCTGCTTTGTCTTTTTGTGTTCTGGTGAGTCTCCCTGACGTTTCCTTCTCGCATTCCTTTTGGTGTTCCTTTTTTCAGATGTGAAATGCCCGGCCTGTTTCCCCTATGTATGATTTATTGCATGATTTGCATTGGATTTCGTAGATGGCATTGCATTTTTGTTCTTGTGGGATTTTGTCCTTGGGATGTACGAGTTGTTGGCGGAGTTTTGTGTGTGGTTTTACTACAGTGCTTATGTTGTGTTTTTTCATGGCTCTCTGGATGGGTTCGGTTATGCCTCTGATGTATGGTAGTGTGACTATGTTCTTGTGGTCCTGCTGCCCTGTGTTGGATTGTTGTGTTTTTTTCTGGGGTTTGTTGGTTTTATTGATAACTTGTTGTCTGCCTTTGTTTATGGCCCAGCTGGGATACTGACATTGTTTGAGTGCTTGTATGATGTGTCTCTCCTCTTCCTCCCTGTCAGTGTGGTCTGTGATGAGTGTCTCATCTCACACGACGTCATATCACTGTTCACTAAAACACCCGTGGATGTCACACTACGCATAGTACAGGAAAAATTTAAAAAGGACAGAACTCTCAAAAAACGCACAAATCTCTGGATCAAGGAGGACATTGAAATCAGAAAACGAGGCACGGACAGCATTAATCGTGATGACGGCGCGTTCCTCCCTTCACACACCTGGGACACCGGGCGATGGGAGGCGTGGTCAGTCTGAGTGACCTGCCAGGTCCATCAGGTCTGACCACGCCTACAGGAAGTAACAACAGCTGATATACGACACGTCACCACCAACACCGGTTACAGTTCTGAAGATGGCTTGCAGCTAACAGCCGAAACATGTCAACAAGATAAATACACTTTGCAGCATTGTCTTTAAAAAGAAAACAAGAAGTTAAAGACTGGGAGGCTGTCGGGCACTGTATCGCAGAGCCATGGATTCGGTGGTTGGGTTTGTGACCCAACATGATGCTGGGAAGACGGGCGAGGCGCTCGATGCTTCAGGTAAGCTGTTGCATATAGCTACAGCATAGTAGCTATAACTGAGTGATTATTTTAGCACTGTTAGCTCAGTATACACACCCTCCATTAGACTCGGAAAGGAAGCGTTTGCAGACCTAATGTGAAATGTGTAATGTGTAGACAGTTATTTTAATAGATCCATGGTGCAGACACTATCATAGCGGTCATTATTTCCACTAATGTTGAAAAGATTCAGTTGTAGGTGTGCTTGTCATGCTCATAGGGCGGTGGCCAACATTCATTTTAACCAAACAGGACTCTAATCTTGGCAGAGTGAAGTAACCAGGATTTGACCAAGTCTTCAGAAGTGGCTTATTCTATCTTTTATTTTTGAATCCATAATACTTTGTATGATGATCTGTTCGAAGTACTTAAAATACTTCTAACAAAGGTATTTTCTAACACACATCAGTAGGCCCTACTTGGGTCAGGCCACTACAGTTCAACCAATGAGTTAAACCCTACTTTGTCAAATTTTGATGTATATAGGTAAATCATTGCCAGTAAAGCAAAAATTTCAAGTTTTAGGTTTAGGTTAAATTTTAGGTGGTCGCCAAATTTCAAATTGCATTTGCTCAGCAACTACTGGTCAAATCATAAGCAATCCAAATCTGGCATTTATTTTTGCATTTGAGCACTTTTGAGATGAATAACCTGTTGACCTATATTTTGACCTTGAAATTGACAATAAGGGACATGCCCAGTCACAATGACACCAGCAGAAAAAATATAGCCCTATATGTCTACTACAGCATATTAATCTGGAGCAGTTTTATTTTTTATTTTCACACAAATTTACCTAGAAGTTGACTTATCCCCATCTTAAGACATGCCATTCAGTGTATACAGCTGTACATTTATACACACAGAGTCCAAGCTGATATACTCTAAGAAAAATTGTCAATCACCAAGCGATCATAGTAACCCATGGTTACCACAAGATTTATTCTTGATTTTGTATGGATAAAGTTCACAAGGATCACAACATTTTCGTTTCAGAGTAGAATACATCAAAAGATGAACTCATGATGTAGGCATATTGTCCAAATACCCTTTGCTTTATCCTACTACGTATCATCAGCAACTTATACTCCTCATGTTGCTTTTTGACTGCCTGAATTCTGATTTTCTTTCTATACGTTGTTAAGTAAGCAGTTTGGTGACAGGGGTCATCATCAGAATGGAAGCTACAGTTCCACATTTCTGCGACAATGGCACCTAAAAGGTTCATGAAAGTGTAATGTACTTACAAGTATTACATGTGGTATCTGATAAAGTATGTATACATAAATGGACTAGAAAGTATGACTTTGTTCTTCCTCTGTTTTAAAGAAACTAAAAACTTTAAATGTATTTTTCTGGCCAAGCTGCTAACAGGGTGTGACCAGCACAGCCTTCTGTATACGTGTTTATGCTTTGGATTACAGTATCGATGAAACCAGAAAAGTGATATCACATCATAGAAACGAAGGACAAAGCCAGATGGCAATAAATAACTACGAAGCCAGATAAGAGGTCAGAGAGTAATTCGAGACCATACATTTGTAACTGCAGAGCAAACATGTGGGCTCTATGTGTACTATGTTCATTTTACACATAATTTACCAGGGATTGAGGGGTAGGTCTTAATTCTATACCAAATTTCCTAAAATGTGGAAAGAAAGGAAACCCCTCCAGACTTTTTTATATGTTGTAGTAGACATATAGGGCTAAATTTTTTGGATTCCTTATGATTTCCCCTTTCCAGGGATACCTTCATTTTTTTTTATATATCAGACAAGTAGTTGCTGAGTAAATGCAATTTGAAATTCTGCAAAAAAGTGAAAAAAATGAAATTGTGACATTTCAGCAACTGTTACTCCAATCATGCAAAAAATTGAGATTTTATCTTTCTATCATATTGGAAAGAAATTAAATGTGTTTTTGTTTTTTCCAGCACCTCCCTGTGAGGAGGTCTTTATCTCCATTGGAGATAAGCTTATCCTTTCCTTTCCTCAAGGAGAGTGTCTAAAGGGCAATACCTGGGCCATCCGTGGGCCTAAAGGAGATATCTTAAGTTGCAGAAACGATTTTCTGGACTATAACGATGACAAGGTTGAGGTTCCCGATCAAAAGTGTTCACAGGAACCAGACTACACTATCGAGCTGCGGTCTGTGGAACCTTCCAGCTATGAGAAACTTTGTCTAGAAATAGATGAAACCACTTGTAGCTGCATCTGCCTGGGTGAGATTGGGTTTAGTCCTCCGTTTATTTTGGTTTAATCAAATTCAGTTCCTGATCTAGCCCACATTTAAACCTCCTGTGTTTTGTAGAGAATGCCTCCAGTGTGGACAAAGGGAACTCAACCACAGCTCCAATTGTAACTACCGTGCTGGTGAGAGGTATGTTTGTGAGTTAATATGGGCTATTTAAGGACTTTTTAACATTTTGTTGTTTGCAGGGACGATTGATTCAAATGTGGACGTGACCACCAGAGATCCAAGAACCATCATCCTAGTTTTACTTGCCATATTAGGTGTTATACTGATTCTGATCTTTCTCAAAAAAAAAGAAAGAAATCTGTAAGTTACATTTTTATAAATGACTAAAGTTCTCACCTAAAACTTTCTCAGATTTTTAGCCAGAACCTTATTTATATAAAACAAATGTTCAGTCCCAAGCCTCAATTTGTGCAGAAACTAAGTGAGGGTATCTGGCATGAATACCTTTAGGTGGTACTGGGTTTATCTAATCCTCTGCATACTTCCTCAGGCAAATTCCTTACCACATGTCTCAGAGAGCAAGGGGATAGTGGGAATCCTATGGAGAAGAAAAAAAAGAATGACCACAACCAGCTGAGAGAGGTTGTTTAATGAAGAGAACAAGGGTTGAAAAATTGTGCCTCACTGCGCAGTATGTGAAATTAAAAGCCCAAATAACATTGTAAAAACATGCTCCAAGAGAAAATTGAAATTCAGGGATTATTGCACATTTTGTGACAAATAAAAATGATCCTATCCTATCATCTGTGTAATTAATCATTCATCCAATGGTCCTGAGCCCCAGTGAAGGAGGAGGAAGTCAGTGAAACCTTTCAGGAAATGGAGTCAACATGACTGAAGTTTTAGAAGTTTGTGGATGACATCCCAAAAAGTACAGAGGGAGAAATGTATTTTATTGTATTGATTGATAGTCCCACTGAGATTAAGAATCTCTCTTTCAGGGGAGTCCTGGCCACACACGACATCATATTGTACATGTTTTCAGTAGTAGGGGAAACCAAAGCACCCAGCGGAAACCATACGCAGGCACTAGGGGAACATGCAAACTCCACACAGAAATGCCCTGCACCTCAAACCCGGGACCTTCTTGTGTGAGGCGAGAGCGCTAACAGTTTTGCCACTGTGCTGCTCAAATGTGAGTTGAAATATTTTGTAACCTGTATTCTGTATGGCTACTGTCATTAAAAACTGCCAATCTGGTGCAAATTGTTCAATAATATATTGGCTATATATTAGGTGCAGCTGCTCCCACCACGTTGCTGCTGTAAAACACTGATCCCATGTCCAGTGAGTCAGTTCAGACAACATCAACGTAGGATACATTTTTACCACCTACATTTTTGTATAGATTTTTAGTTTGAAAAACTCATAACTGAAATTTTATTGTAATTTTCAGAGTACTTTTCTAGCAATGTACTTTTACTCCTACTTGAGTAATATTGGAGTAATAATACTCTTACATGAGTAAAAGTTTTCATTACTTTTCAGTAAATCTACAAGTGACAAAAGCTTTGTATTAATAATACTCAATAATTTGTGTTCTTGCACTGCTCCTTCAGATATGATTTATTTTTTATTATAATAATATAATAATAATCTTTATTTATATAGCACCTTTAAAAACAGTTTACAAAATGCTTCACAACAAAGTAAAAACACAATACATACCCAGAAGATAAACTAGAAAACATAGAAAACACAAAGAAAAGATACACGCATAAAAATAGAGACATGTCATGAAAAGGCCTGATGATAAAAGTGGGTTTTAAGAAGTGATTTAAAAGATGGTAGTGATAGTCCTAGTCTTATCTCCTCAGGCAGGTCATTCCAAAAATGGTTAAATCACCTTTTGTCTGAAGCCTGTACTTTGGAACAGTCACAGGGACCTGCCTGAGGATCTAACACTGAAGAGGAACACCCACAGGGACCTGCCTGAGGATCTAACACTGCAGGAGGCTCATATGGGGTTAAAAGTTCTGAAATGTAACTGCAAGATCTAAACAATCTTTAAACATGATCAGTAAAATCTTCAAATTGATTCTAAAATACACAGACAGCCAGTGAAGGGAAGTAAAATAGGTCATGCGTTGATGTCTGTTAAACAGAAGAACGGAGCTGCTGCGTTCTTAACCAGTTGGAAGTATGAGAGAGTTTTATTGTCAAATGCTGAAGAGGAGGGAGTTGCTGTAATTGAGTCATTTTTTTCACATGAGTTTGAAAAGTGAGATGGGAGTAACTTATAACTTCTAACTAATAATAACTTCAGATTTGGGGGTTTTGAGCGGAAGAAAGTTCTGCACCATCCAACTGTTCAAGTCTTTGAGGCAGTGTAACACAGCAGCCAGGCTCCCAAGGTCATTTGGTCAAAGCGGGAGGTAGATCTGTGTGTCGTCAGCATAGCAGTGGAAGGACACATTATGGTGGGCTATAACGTGTCCTGGGGGAGCATATATATACAAAATAAAATGGGACCTAAAATAGAACCTTGCAGCACACCATAGGTAATGGGGGGCAGAGTAGGAGATCAAATTACTCATGCTGAACGCAAACATTCTGTTTAAAAGTGTGTCTCATATGTCAACCCACGATTTTAGACACTAATAAAATCATGTGGTTGCAGTGCTCAAGTCTAAAAGGATTCAAATGGAGCACTCTGTCTGTGGGTAAAAGTGGAGGGTTCGATTGAAAGTTCTCAAATATGACCTTTTCATTCAGAATAAATTCAATACGAGTTTGGAATAAACTTTTTCTAAAACTTAAGATAAAAAGGGGAGTTTAAAAATAGGTCTAAAATTGTTAAAATCTGAGGTTTTTAATTTGGGTTACTTTAAAGGAGGTTGGACCATGGCGTGTTTAAAACATGAAGGAATCTTTCCTTCAGAAAGTGACTGACTGGTCCAACTACATTAAAAACATCTTTGAGAAAATGGGTGGAGATGAAATCTAGACTGCACGTAGTTTACTTCATTTTTTCTTAATTTTGTGTTTATCCTTTAAAAATACCAGATTTTGTGCATTATTTAATTTATTTTAAATGATTTGTCCTTCAAAGGACATTACCTTAAATTAAAAAATCAGATGCTTATGCCTGAAAGTTATTTTTTAAGGTACTCTTACTTTTCTCAAATATTTTTACTATTGCTTGAATCATCACTACTACTCTGTAATATAATCTCAGTAATATTTTGAAGTTGCGCTTACAATTTTTGGTTATTCTTCGCACCTCTGCTTATATGTTCAATAAATAAAAGCTGGATCTTTTTGGCAGACTCGGTATTTATATTGTGACTTTTTTCACTTTTTTATTATTTTCTGGAGTACAATAACATTTGTATGGTTGAATAAGTAGCTTCGATAGACATTTTTCACAAGGGCACACAATGTAGGGCAAACATAAGTCCCCGTTAATGGTTTTCTATGGCAAAATGCCTTCACAACAGCCAGAAGTGCCGCGATGTAGAGTAAACATCACTTACGTTAATGCTTTTCTGTGGCAAAATGTCTATGTAAATGTGTGTGTAAATGTGTGTGGTATTCTCCAGTAGCTTCATAAATCTGCTCCATCACCAAATCTTCAACCAACAAACTCCACAAAGAATAAACATTCTAACATGAACAATTTATCCACAACTATCAAGAGAAGAAAGACCAAAAGTTAAAGGAAACAACGAGCCACATTAGTGACACACTGAACAAAACTAATGTTATGGTCATGAATAAAAAAGGAGGAATTTGTTCAGTTTCATGATGTGGATATTAGCATAGACAGAGAGATTTGTGCAGTTGAAATGCTAGACATGTAATCTGTGAACATCTGTAGCAGTCAAACTGCACAAATCTCTGTCTATGCAAATATCTGCATCATGAAATAAATTTTTTATTTTAATTCTAGAATCAATCGGAGTTAACAAGTTACCTATTAATGAATTACTTATTGCTTATGTTTTATTCATGACCATAACATTAGTTTTGTTTAGTTAGTTCACTAATACGAGTTATTATACAGCTGTACATTTATACACACAGAGTCCAAGCTGATATACTCTAAGAAAAATTGTCAATCACCAAGCGATCATAGTAACCCATGGTTACCACTTTTAAAGATTTATTCTTGATTTTGTATGGATAAAGTTCACAAGGATCACAACATTTTCGTTTCAGAGTAGAATACATCAAAAGATGAACTCATGATGTAGGCATATTGTCCAAATACCCTTTGCTTTATCCTACTACGTATCATCAGCAACTTATACTCCTCATGTTGCTTTTTGACTGCCTGAATTCTGATTTTCTTTCTATACGTTGTTAAGTAAGCAGTTTGGTGACAGGGGTCATCATCAGAATGGAAGCTACAGTTCCACATTTCTGTGACAATGGCACCTAAAAGGTTCATGAAAGTGTAATGTACTTACAAGTATTACATGTGGTATCTGATAAAGTATGTATACATAAATGGACTAGAAAGTATGACTCTGTTCTTCCTCTGTTTTAAAGAAACTAAAAATTTTAAATGTATTTTTCTGGCCAAGCTGCTAACAGGGTGTGACCAGCACAGCCTTCTGTATACGTGTTTATGCTTTGGATTACAGTATCGATGAAACCAGAAAAGTGATATCACATCATAGAAACGAAGGACTAAGTATAATAAATAACTAAGAAGCCAGATAAGAGGTCATAGACTGAAGCGTTGAATACTTTAAGTTGAATAATAACTGAGCTACATTTATTTGTGCTGAGGTAATATTTGACTAGTCGGATTTGTATTTATGCACACACTTTACTTCATGTATTCATTTAGGACAATGCATAATTTCATAATCCTGACAGCAAAGATGTTTGTCCCAGATTCAGTCATTTGCTCGTACATCATATCACTTATGTTATTTTTTTGAAGCAGCTGTATATGAAGAGGTCTCTGTCTCCATCAGAGATGAACCTGTCCTTTCCTTTGCTCTGGGAAAATGTGTGGTGCACAATATCTGGGCCATTACAAAGAATAGGCCTAATGACGCCTGCTACAGTCATGGACCAAAACGCTCTCACAAGCTTAGGGGAGAGTGTTCACAGAAGGGAAACCTACGCTGTCCGACTGCTCTTTGTGGAACCAATTGACTATGGGAAATACAGTCTGGAAATTAATAAGATCACCTGCAGCTGAATACTCCTTAGTGAGACTGGATTTAGCCCTAGGTTAGACCTGGTTTAATCCCACTTAGTTCCTGATCCAGCCCATGCTTAACCTCTTATCATGTTTTGTAGAGAAGTACCCCAGTGTAGACAAACAAGGCCCAGCCGTTGGTACATTTGTGATCCTGAGTTTATTCTGGTTTAGATCTTTTTAACCTCTTGTTGTTTGTTGGGCTGAAGAATAATTCCACAGTTAACACTCAGATCATATGAATTTTTGTCAGTGGACTGCTTCTTTGTGCAATCGTGTTCTAAAAAAGAAATAAATCTGTAAGTCACATTTTAATGAATTTCTAACGTTCTCACCTACAACCTTTTCAGATTTATAAACAGAACCTTAGTTATTTGAAACTAAAGTTTGGTCCCTAGCCTGAATCTGTATTGGGGCTGCAACTAAGAATTATTTTTCTAATAGATTAATCTAGCAATTATTCTTTCAGTTAATTGATTAATTGCTTAGAATGTGCATTTTAATCAGTTTCACCCAGATGAAGTAGAGCCACTTAAAGCCATCATGTTTTAGTATATTAAGAGACAAAATTTACACATTCACCAAGTATATACAATATTTAATGCAGTTATTGCTCTGTTTTGGTCCTAAAAAGTTTTTTGTTTTTTTTTATTTTTTATTTATATAGCGCTTTTCACAGACATATGTCACAAAAATGCTTTACAGATCATTATTCATTCTCTCAATAGTGGTGTAAACTACTATTGTAGCCACAACTGCCCTGGGGCAGACTGACTGAAGCATGGCTGCCAATCTGCACCATCTGCTCCTCCGACCACCATCTCACACACACACACACACACGCACGCACACACACACACACACACACACACACAAAACACACACACACACACACCACTTTCATACTACGCAATGTGGGTGAAGTATCTTGGTATATGGCTACATACCAGCTTGTCAACTCTCTTAGTGCATGGCACGTTTGGGAAACTGTGTATAGACCATACACTGTATATATACTTCTTTATACAGTCCAGATAACAATTATCCAGTTTGATAAGTTGATTAACAATGATTTCAGTAATTGATGAGTTGCAATTTTGATAATCAGTTAACGTGTTGCAGCCCCAGTCTGTACAGGAGATCAGGGAGAGCATATGGAGGAAGTTCTGTGATGGTTTGTGTATTTCTACAGGTGTGTTTCTCCAGGCGTGCGTCACATGTCTAAAAAACCAAACAGAGCGGGGCCTCTATGGAGATGATGGAACTGAATGATAAACCTTTGGATGAGAACCACCTGAGAGAACCAGTGCAGGTCTGAAGGAAGAGGAGGACAGGGGTGAACCACGGGCCTCTCACTGTGGAATAAGTGAAATGCATGAATCAATGAAAGCTCGTTGAATGTTCAATAATCTTTTAAAAAAATAATAACAATAAACAGCAGATGGCGACAGAGCATTGCTGAACTGAACTGATTCCAAGGAAACCATCAGGATAACTCGTGGAGCTTTCAGGCAAGGCGGATGTTGGCGGTGGATGCTGGCACTGAGTGGGCGTGTGTAACGGGAGGAGGGGCATATAATCCCCCGGGACAAGACAACCGGAGAGACTACCGCCACAGAATACTGAACCAACGTGTAGGCGAGCAGGCAGCGGCACCGTAGCGCTACCTGTCCGCCCTTTTCATTCATTTCCCGAGCGCTGCCACGACTGGAATAGACGTTTTTTACGCATTTTGGAAACAATGGAAACAGCCGTGTTGAACCTCGCCATTATGCCGGAGATGGTGGACTGCAACAGCAACACCTTGAACGCCGAGCTGGAAGTAAAGAAGCTGCAAGAACTGGTGAGAAAACTGGAGCGTCAAAACGAGCAATTGCGCACCCGGGCACAGCCTCCTCCGTCCCCGCCGTACGCGCTGGGCAGGACCGGGGGGCACCGTTTGTCCGAGTTGGAGGCGCGGTATTTGGAGTACTTGCAGCCGAGCACGGGAGAGGACGGAGCGGTCAAAGAGGAGGACGAGCAGGCGCTTCTGGATGATCTGGAGCTGCTGGATCTGGACTCCATGTGCTCCTCCTCGGAAGACTCGCAAGAAACATGGTAAGTTCACACGTGTCTGTGCCAGTGCCCTTTGTCTGAGCAGAGTTGTAAAGTGGGGCAGGCAGGGCAGACAGGTGGCAGACTCATTGATCTTATGCCACTTAAAGATGCAGGCAGAGTATGTGGCTCTTTGTGTCAGGAAGAGCATCTCATGTAAAATCTAAAAATCGTAATAGGTTCACTGTGGCACCTGTTACACGGACTAAAAGAAGGTCATATGAAACTGTATGTGGACTGTACAGGTCATCAACACAGAATTTTGGTTGGATCCTTCATGGTGCCCAAGTAATTTCCCCTGTAGATCAATAGAGAGACATTTACCTTTTTAAATATGCATAAGGTCACTTTTCTGATGGGGTTTTTTGCCATCTGTTTGTCTCTGTTATCATTATTTGTAATGTTTCACAGTATGGCATTAAACTTTGCGTTTTATCAATTACAGGTATTTAATGCTCTGAAACTGGGGTGGCCAATTATTTTTCCATGGGGTAACACCAGAAACAGGAAATATTGTGGAGGGCCAAAATGCTTAACTCAATTCTACATAATATTAATAGTATTTCTTTATAAAAAAAAAAAGCTGTAAATATCATTGTTTTGTCGAGCTGGTCAGATAGTTTGTTATGTTTGCATGATATTTTGTTATGTGAGGTTGCCTTACAGAAAATGTCATTAAAAACACCTCTGAAATCAAAGCAATGCAGCTTTAGTCCATGCATGAGTTCAGATGATAAAATAAAATGTATTTTGTAATTCCAGATGAGCTTAAACAGGCCGATCAGAGCCAAGCAAAGGGCTGTAAGTGGCCCTGGCTCTGTAATGCCCAGGTCTGTTCTAAAATATGTGGTCGCCTGTCCACAGATCTGACCTTGGCCTGATGATGTCAAATGCTTATATCCATGGAGATAAAAAAGTTTAATGCCATACTCTGGAACATTCCAATTAAAGCAGTAACATTTCCATGGAGACTAGCAAATCATGAACCCTTCAGCAGAAAAGTGGCGAAGTGAACCTTTGATATAATTGGAAATCAGTCTCCCAATCAAAAAAGCCATCCTCGTTTGCCACCTCTTGAGTGCTGTGTGCAGACCTCTTGTCCCTGTGTTTAAGCGGTCCTTCTCACCTGTATATGTGTAAGTGTGTGTGTGTGAGTGTGTGTGTCTGCAGGTATAATGTATAATTCAGATGAGCACATCCCTGGGAGCTCCACTGTCACTATAATCAGATGAGCCTTTGAAGCAGCAGCAGCAGCAGCAGCAGTAGCAGCAGCACAGCTCTGTGTATGTGGAGTCTAATCCTCACACTGCTCTGACTCACAAAGGAGACGCATACAAATCACTGCATTAGTTTTCACCGCTGCAGCATACTTCATGTATTTGATGCTAATTTCTTTTCTGATTTGCCTCTGTAGAGCTCTCATTTCAGACTAAAACATGCTTGTAAATAAAGAGTTCTTACAGGTGCTGGGCCGGTCTTGTGCTGTTTTCTGATGTATGATGTAATGTTGTTTCCTCATCATCAGACTTACCTGGAATTAGTTTTGTTTCATTCACACATGTTTAACACAGAAATCCTGCATATTTAGGATGAGTTCTTCTCTCATACAGAAAACACTCCACTTTGTGATGTCATGTAGTAATACAGGAAGTGCTCCACTGTGTTTTTAAACTCCATGCAGCTTCACTAGAATCATTTGGATGATTTCAGCCCTTTTCAGTCTCTACTGAACTAAAGGTAAAGGAGCTGTTAACTTGAAAACTACTTCTACATGATGGACAAGGTGGAACAGAGCATTTGGAGCTTTGGAGATGTAGACCGACTAATAAACTAAACACGTGTGAATGGAGCTCAACAGTGACCACCCACCACTGGTTCCTGAAGTACATATCCCGTTCATTTTTTCTATAGACTTTTACAAAAAAATAAAATGGTGCTTAAAAGCTCAGCTATGTGGTAGCTAAACACTATGCCACAGGCCTGTTATTTTAAAGAAAAATCTGTTTGTGAAACTTTAAAGTTATTAAATCATTTCATCAAATGTTTAATTTGACATGGTTTTGGACTGTAAATGACCACTTTATGGACATTTGCTTCCAAATAACAGTTTAAAGCCACAGCTAATATCTGGATTATTTAACCATCTAATATCTGGATTATTTAACCATCTAATATCTGGATTATTTAACCATCTAATATCTGGATTATTTAACCATCTAATATCTGGATTATTTAACCATCTAATATCTGGATTATTTAACCAGCTAATTTCTGGATTATTTTTCTTCAGGAAAATGAATGGGTAATTTACTTCTGAAATCACAGCAAGTGGACGGGACTGTTGAGCTCCAAAAATGGACCTGGAAACTAATCTAGACCCATCAAACTATGTTCAAATTGAATATATTTGTCTAACTCCAAGCACTTAGTAAAATGAAACCACCCAACTGCTCCTACAAGAACGAAAGCCTAATTCTTATTTCTGTCTTCCATGTTTATTGTTTAGGTTGTACATGACCCAGAGGCCTGGAGAATCGTCTGATAGTGCCCTCACTCCTCTGCAGTGGTGTCGACAGACTCTGGACAGCCCCAAGTCAGAGCTGGAGGCCACCAGGAGATCTCTGTCCCTGCGACTAGAACAAGGTACCTGACCTATATCAGTCTAGCAATATACGAAAGGCACTAATGTTACACAAAATAATAATAATAATCATGCATTAGGCTTGTATAGCTTTTCTAAATGCTCAAAATTGCTTCATTCACTCCACGCTCAGTAATGGTAATGTACGTCTACAGCCACAGCTGACCTGGGGTAGACTGACTAAAATGAGACTGCCAATCCCCACTATACTCCGACATACGCACACACACACACACACACACACACACCATTTTTATATCTAGCAATGTGTGTCTGTGTGTGTTGACATTTTAACTGTAAAATTCTACAGGGACTAAACCTGGACTCAGCTGGGTGTGTAGAATCAGACATGTACTGGAATCATGCACATCCTACTCTAAATTATATATATTATTAAGTTGATGAGCATTAAATGAAACGCATACTCAAGTGTTATTATTCAGGATGACCTCTGCGTGTCTTCTGTGACCAAGCGTAATCTGTCTACTCGTCAGCATTAGCAGATCAGGGTCAGAGCCAGGCCACATGACCATCAAACCATTTACTCTCACTCTGCAACAAGGCCACGGAGACATTAGAATTATTTATTGTACCTTTATTTAACCTCTAGCAGGATGATCACTGAAGATCGCCCTATAAATGCAAATATTCCCAGCAAACAAGTCTTCTGTATATCTGTGGGCCTTTACTCTCTAGAACACATTTTCAAATATATTTCTGAAGAGAATGTAGAAAATAAACATAATATTGAAACAGATTTATCCCACTGACCCGCCCCTGACCTGAAACAAAGCAGGATTATTCCAAATGGCTGCGAAAAATGAAATACTTTAGTACTTTGGATACATCTAGAGCACATGAAAGCAGTTTTTTTGTTTGTTTTTGTTTTAGTTATTTATTCAACTCTCTTCATCTGAAATCTAGAAAAAGAACAAAACCTTTACCTAAAAAAAAAAAAAAAACTATAATAAAGCCTATTGATGGTATCTTTGTTGTTGAAAATATGTATTTGTTGATTCTTTATTTTATTTAGATTGTCTTAAACACTTTTATTCTCTGGCTTTTTACACCGTGTGACTTATGTGGTTCTCTGTGTTTTTTATTTATTTTTATGTGCTTTTATTGGTCTTATTTATTTAATTTATTTATTTCTATTCTATAATTTTTTATTTTTTATTTTTTTTATTTTACTAGTTTCATTATTTTAAGACTAGTATTATTTTAGTAATTTATTTTATCATCTTATTATTGTTGTTATTATGTATTTGTGCAGCACTTTGGAAACTGTTTGTTTGTGAAATGTGCTCTAGAAATAAAGTGGATTGGATTGAATTGGAAATGATAAGTATTTATATGGGACCACCACAGAAAGGAGAAGATAGTGAGTGAGAGAGTTAGATTAAACTTGTGAAGTATGAGTATAATCTGCCTTTTTACAGATAAAAATACCAAATCTTCAGATGCCTATATGAAATTTCCTTGTACTTTTTTCTGCATAGCTGTTTTTGTATGAACGTCCCCTGCAGGTGTAGTCTTGTGAGTGCAGTTTGGATCAGATACATATAGATGCACACTAGTTTTGTGTAGGGTTGTCAAAAGTATCAAAAATCAGATACTACTGTATTTTACGCACTATTAGTCGCTCTGGATTATAAGGCTCACTGTCATTAAATGGTCTATTTTTGAACTTTTTTCACAAATAAATCACGTGGGACTTTAAAGGAAACACAACAGTGTGATGGGTGAGTGGTTTTGTTTGTTTGTGGTGTTCACAGTGACTCTGGGCTTTGTTCAGTTGTGGCGTGTAGGGAGGGTGCTGTCTGGGACCAACGGATTGTCGGTGTGTTCGCAGTGACTCAGTTGTTCAGTCGTGTCTAGAAGTGGCACATTGCACTCGCTTTTTTGGTTCGTTCCTCCGTTCCCTTCCTCGTCGGCGTGGAGTGATGAGTGTGTCTGTGGGTGTGTTTGGCTGTGTGGTCGCTGTCTGCTCCGTGTGTGTTTGTGTGTTCTGTGGGTGGTGTGTCTTTGTAGTTTACTGAAGTGGTGCTGGGACACCCGAGTGGATTCATGTATAGGGCGCTCTGGATTGTGGGGTGCGTGGTCGTTTTTTAATGCGGTTGGAGGCTTAAGAGCGCGTCTAATAGTCCAGAAAATACAGTAATTCATACTATTATACTAGTAGCAAAACTAGATACTCATTTAATTACTCATACTCATTTAGTATCAATACTAAAAAAGTCACATTCACAGGACAGAAATGAACCTGAATAGCTTTCAAATGATCTTGAATTGTATCAGAACATATACATACATATACATATAACAAGTAGAAGAGCACATAGACTAGTATGGAGCACTGAGGGATTACACATATATAAGACACATGGGAATAGAAAAGAAAGTACTATTTAATGTTGAAAATCACATTCTATCGTCTAAAGAATTTTTATTTTTTTTTTTAAATTATCATCATAGTATCAGAATCAGTATCGAGTATCAAGTCTATTAATAATTAGAATAGAGATTATGTGAAATGTTTCGTGATATCGATCTATCAAATTTTATATTTAAAGCTCTTTTCATACAAAAAACATAACACAAAGTAGTTTACAGTGATTAAAAACAATCCCTCATTTCCTTGAGCCTACTCTTAAAAACATGAGCGTTCTTTTTGGCTCTGAACTCCTCTGCTAGACTGTTCCAAACACGAGGGCCGTAATATTGGAAAGATGCCTCTCTGTGAGTGTGTGTCCTGACTTTAGGATGACCAGGAGCCTGCAGCCAAAGGAGCGTAGGGTCCGAGAGGGTTTGTAGGGTAAAAGCAGTTCTGAAAGAGGCCCAAGACCATTAAGATGTTTAAAAAAAAAAAACGTAAAAGAACTTCACAAACGATCCTGAGACTCACAAGGAGCCAATGCAGTGATTCTAAAACCAGAGTAATGTGATATCACTAGTTCTGAGATCTTTTGACACTCTCCCTTTTTTAATTTGACAGATCAATCAGCAGGACACGTCTTTAGTTGACCGAGAATTTCTTTAGCCGACTACAGCCCTGCAGATAATAACAAATTAAATGGCTGCCAAAGCAAAATATATTTAGAAATCTCTGCATTAATACTTCATCTGAGCTCTTGTCTATTCCGCGCACACTCCCACATGTTCGTCCCGGCTATGCGCATCCTTAATGAAAGCGTGGGCAGAGGTTTAAAATGCTCTCGCGCCTCTCTCCCCTCTGCACTGCGATGGTCAGTTTCAAATCACCTTGCCTCACTGTACCTCCTAAAGTGACAGGTTTATTAACACCGAAAAGTAGGCCCTCTGAAGTTGCAGCATCCATACACCTCGTTGCATCAGCGACCCGGAGCATCCACCCACCGGCTCCCACAGTTGCCATGGAAACGCGGTACATGAAAGTGCCTGTCTTGTTAAGTGGCATGTATATTGACAGGTAGCAGCAGCTGAAATCCCTCCACCCCGACACTGTGCGGAGTTTGTTCTGAAAATAGTGCCAGCAGACTCCAGGATCAGAAGTGCTTTTGTCTTCTGTAGTTGTTGTGAATAGATCAGTCGGTGGCAGTCACACTGCGGATGAGCTCACACAATACGCCCACTGTTCCATGAGCTACAATGGTATGTTTTTTTGGGCTTATTGTAGAAAGCAGCTGTGTAATAGTCAAACCTTGAAATAAACATTACTATAATCACTGGACTACACTATTCAACAATGTCAAGAAATAGTTTTTATTGTGACCTCTAAATTTTCTTTGCTAGTCTGAAACAGTCAGCTGATTATCTACTAATGTTTATTAATCAATCATTTTTACATCTGTAGAATTAATGAAATTTGTGAGATGTGCTTTTACTTTAATATATCAGTATCAGAAAACACTATCAGTCAGTGAGGGGAAAAAAGGACAAATAACAATAACAGCAAAATATGTCTAAATATGAATAAAAGGCATGAAATAAAATGTAGTAGTAGTTAATTTTTTTCTGTCGTGTATTTAATCATGTACTTCATGGACTGTAATGAACATTTCACATAAAATTATGACCAGAGGGGTTTAGACTGAAGTAAAATCACTTCTGAATGCCTGACTCCGTTTACAAATGACCATGCCAAAAATACAACTGTCAGCAAATGACAAGCTACAACTTGGATAGAACAGAGAAATTATATATACACTATGAGTTACATACTCATGAGTTCAGTACAGCAGTTCTTTTGAGTGAATTCTATTCCACTTCCTACACCAAAAAAAAAACAAACTTCAAAATCATCAGCATTTATCCTCCACACTCAGCTGCTTCTGTGGCCTACAGAATCTGCATTCAGGGTTCCCACAGTCACGGAAATCCTGGAAAAGTCATGGAATTTTAGTATCTCTTTCACGCAACTCCAGTGTTCTGTTAAGTTCTTATGAGGTTATTCTGATTATTTCTGAACGTCTGTGTCTTTTGTGTAAAAGAGACGACAATAAATGCACTGACAGGATTTAGAATGTTCAAAAACTATAATCCCAAACCATAAAGTGAGTGGGAAGAGCTAACATTTCATATTTAGCCCTAAAAGTCTGATCAATTCTTTACATGTAGGTGCTGTAAAGTCATGGAAAATTCACTTTAGGTCATGAAAAAGGCATGAAAAATTTTGAAATTTTGTCAGTGAAAAAAAGTGAAAACCCTGTACATTATTATCTTATTCTCTCTATATGCAATAAGAATATGTCTAAAATTAAATCATTCTAGCGCTCTATATTTGTCTATAACATTAAATTAGTATTTTTTTTAAATGTCTTTATTGATATCGATCCTTTTAACCTGTAATCCAGACTATTCCATAGATCTGCTCTTCGAACTGATGCATGTCTACTTTTGGTGTTGGTCCTGGCCTTATTTATTTATTTTTTTTATATATATACTTCAGTTCCTCTCAAATTATAATGACAAGTCTCTGTGGGTTTGAATCTCACCTGAACACAGTCGGGATCATGTGATTATGAACTTTATACAGAACAGCAGCTGTGTTTAGGTCGACTATGTCCTGTAACTTTAAGGTTTTAACTGAATAAACAACGGGTTTGTTGTTGGGGCAGAATAATTGGCAGTTAACAATTCTTATGGCTTTTTTTCTGCAGTATAAAGATGGGTTCAATAGTTGTTTTGCAATTGTTCCCCCAAATTTCTACACAACAATATATTTCAAAATTAGAGAATTATATAACAAATGTCACCAAAGACAGGAAAAGTACATTTATATTGAGGTTCCAGGTTTGCACTATTGTCTGATGCAGGGTTAGGGTGCCTGAAGTGTGACCCATGGAAGTACAAAAGTGTTGATTTGTAAAGAGTATTTAATTTGTGTTGAATTTTGTGTTGAAATCGGTATCGGTAGTTAGAAAGAATACCAAACTGAGTCTATTCCCCTATAAAACAATAATACGGTTTATAAATTCAATCTTAAATCTCTTTGCAGAAAAATGTTTTAAATGTTAACACACAGTTCCGTTTGTGGGCACTAATGTTTGGGTCTAATGTGTTTTGCCTGTATCCAGTCTCTAGGTGGCGTAGTTCCCTGTCCAGCCCGTCAAACGCCTCCTCTCCTCCCCCGTCTCTGAATCGAGTCACTGGAATGTCCCCAATCAATGCCTCCCCCTCCACCAAAACCTGCTCCACTCCACAGTCTGAAAGACACGGTAATTCCGAAAAATCCCTAATCCTATTTCATAAGATTATGCATCACTGGTAACCGTAGCACAAAGTATCATTGTAATATTTTTTCATAAGGGTCCAGTCAAGTGATAACGGAGGGAAACAGGGTCAGATTTTTGACATTCAAATGTCTCTTATTCAGAAACTAGAGGGACTATTGAAAGAAGTAAAGTATCAGAATGTAGGAAAGAGTTACACTCCAACAGGGTCAAGTTAAACCTGTGATATTCTTTCAAGTTGTTGACAAAAAATTTAAAAACTCATGTTGGTAACGGAGGGAATGAAATATGCAGCACTTTTTGGGTAATAAATCCAAACAGTGATAACTCTTGGTTCTCACTTCCATATCCTTAACAAACTGGTTTGAATATTTGCTTCATATAGTTTTCTACCATATGGTACAAGATTAGGTTGAAAAACCTCTTACTTTTTGACTCATGAGATTTTTTATTAAGAAAGGTCATGGTAACGGAGGGAAAATTGTACAAACAAGTAGAAGGTGCAGGATTTCGCATAATTTGTCGCTTTTTTCTTCTGAATACTTTAATATTACTTCAAAATGAAAGGAAACTATTTCTATAAAATATGTCAGTCCTTCCAAGCAAATGTTTTTCATTTTAAATACATTTTTAAAAAAAATCATATACCTTCATCAACAGTTCAAAGATGGAATAACACAAGATATGATGAAATACATCCATTTATTTCCATGATTTGCAGGTCTTTGAAATTTGGGAAATAATTTTTGTTCCATGTTTCATACATGGTCTGTTTAAAACGTATGGAACTTTAGAACCTAAAATGGTACAGAAAAAAGGTCAACAGTTTCATAAACTAGAGTACATATGTATCTGTTCAATACATTTTTATATCAGATACATTAACTTGAATTTTTGACTTTGCTGTTTACTTCTGCTTGACCGGGCCCATAACCAAACATTACCCTGTATAAGCTTCTCTCATCTGTCCTCAATGTAAAGGAGTTCCCCAGTGATTGGCTCTTGCACCATTGATCTTTACTTGTGTTTACGTAGAAATAATCCAATGAAATATTTTGGACATGCTTTTACTTTTATCCAGATTAAATTCCTTTTCTCCTTGACTTTCCTCAGCCCCCCTGTCCTCCCCGCGGCACCCTGTCCACCAGCGCACCCTGAGCCCCGTGCCCAAGGACCTGTCCCCTGTAGCAGAGAGGACGCCCACTTTTCTCCCTCACCTCTCTAAACGCAGTACGTGTGTACAATTTTTACTGAAATCTGATTATGAGGCATTCTATAAATACAAATAAAAATGTTGTGATGTTGTAGGCCGGAGTCTGCAGCGCTCCGTGTTCAGCCCTCAGTCTTCTGTTGATGAGGAGGACTCTGTTTGTGTTGGGTTTAAACTCCAGGACCTGACGGATGTTCAAGTTATGGCCCGTATGCAGGAGGAGAGTAAGTCACCCAGAAGTTACAAATTTCATGTACTGTCTAATGTTTGGTAAAGATTAAAAAATTATATATTGAATTCAGCAAACTTTTCATTTCAAATTCATCCAACACAACAACTATATAAATATAAATAGATGTACAAATCAAGCGTAATTTAATGTACTATTAGGGTTTTTTTGTTTTTCTAATGTAATATTTCTTTTCTATTACGTCCCTTTATTTTTATTAATCTGAATTTAACTCAGACCTCAGAGCCCACCGCTACTTCAGCTTCATTAACCCTCAGAGTGTGTGTGTGTGTGTGTGTGTGTGTGTGTGTGTGTGTGTGTGTGTGTGTGTGTGGTGTGTGTGTGTGTGGGTGTGTGTGGTGTGTGTGTGGTGGGTGTGGGTGGGTGGGTGGGTGTGTGTGTGTGTGTGTGACTCCAAAAATGAAAGAAAATTGCTAAAAAACCCAAAACAATGGTAGAAGTTAGGATCATTGTCATAGAAACGAACAGAAATTCTTTGAATGGTCAACTATTCTCAAACTGGTGCCATGTAACGAGACACTGAAACCTTTGAATGAGCACTCTGATTTGAGTTTTATTTCTCTGGGATGGCACTTGCTGAAAGGAAAATGCAGAATGTCATGACTTAGGACTGTGCAAAGTATTGAAATTTGTTATATTTTACTCAATTATTTTGTCACAGCTACAGTTTTGTAGCTTGTTCAGAGGAAGGAAACTCGTTTATGCGACACATTTGACATTTTCTCTATTTTGATAGTTAAAATGTTTGTTTCATATGAACTTTACACAAGAAGTAGTTTAATTTAATTTTAGATTTTATTTTTTATTGAACAGTATCGAATCGATTTGAAATGTGTCGTACTGAATCGTAAGCTCACTGTATCAACATATGCATCATATCGTGGCCTGTGTATCGAGGTCTGTATCGTATCGGCAACTTCTGAATGACACCAGCCCTAATGACTTATTTGAATCTGATTGGTTGAAGCGTCGCAACAGCAGAACAAGCTGAAAAATCCAACTTTTCTTATGTCCAGTTGAAAGAAAAGCTTAGACCTCTACTTCACAAAGAGTTTTACCTTCTGCATGTTCTTCACAAACAGAATCATCTGTATAGATGCCAAAATAGGCTGAAGTACATCTGAATCCATGTTGCTGTGTAAGATTCAGTTGGGGGACACATAAACCTAAAAATACAATTAGCATTTTCCATTTTATAGAAATAGAATTTTAAAAGGACAATAAAATTACAAAAGGAAATCATCAAATCGTCATACATATAAACCCTCATGACTCCCCATGTGTGCCGGGTGCTGTGTGCTGTGTGCTGTGTGCCGGGTGCTGTGTGCCGGGTGCTGTGTGCCGGGTGCTGTGTGCCGGGTGCTGTGTGCCGGGTGTTGTGTGCCGGGTGTGTGTGTGCCGGGTGCTGTGTGCCGGGTGCTGTGTGCCGGGTGCTGTGTGTTGTGTGCCGGTGTGTGTGCTGTGTGTGCCGGGGTGTGTGGCCGGGTGCTGGTGCCGGGTGCTGTGTGCCGGGTGCTGTGTGCCGGGTGTTGTGTGTCGTGTGCCGGGTGCTGTGTGTTGGGTGCTGGGTGTTGGGTGCCGGGTGTTGGGTGCCGGGTGTTGGGTGCCGGGTGCTGTGTGTTGTGTGCCGGGTGCTGGGTGCCGGGTGCCGTGTGTTGTGTGTGTGTGCCGGGTGCTGGGTGTTGTGTGCCGGGTGCTGGGTGTTGTGTGCCGGGTGCTGGGTGCTGTGTGCCGGGTGTTGGGTGTTGGGTGTTGGGTGTTGGGTGCTGGTGTGCTGGGTGCTGGTGCCGGGTGCTGGGTGCCGGGTGCTGGTGCCGGGTGCTGGGTGCCGGGTGCTGGGTGCTGTGTGCTGGGTGCTGTGTGCGCTCCTCCTCACCTGTCCCCTCCCCCAGGCCTCAGACAGGAGCTGGCCTTCCCCGCCCGCCGCAGCCACAGCCTCAGCTCGTTCCCCCTGAGCGCCGGCGCCCCCTCAGGCCTGGTGCGGGAGGACGACGAGGAGGAGGAGGAGGACGACGAAGACTACGCTCTCCTGCCCCCGCCCGCCCCCCGCCTCACCACGCGCCTGCCCCACTCCCACACCTTCCATACCCTCAGCCAATGGTCCGGAGGCAGCCCCAGCTCACTGCCCCTCTCCGCTGGATACGACTTCCACACACAGGAGCTGGAGCGGGCGCTGGGCACCTGCGCCGACCGGGGATATACACCTGGACCAGGTACACACCATGTTCACTGTGTTACTGCATAATGTAAAGACTGAAGGGTAGTTTGCTAGATCCGTTTTTTGAACTGTTGACTTATAACGTTGTTCTGTCATCAAAAATACACCTGAAGAGGTTTTGGGTGTAATCCATGCATGTTTCAGTTATTTAGTGATCTTTCCCGAGCCCTATTTGGACTCTCCATATGGTTAGTTGTAAGATTGTGTCCAAGGCTCCACCCACAAGCCTACATCACCCATGCTCCTACACGACAATTCTCCATAAATATACAAAAACATGATACTAAACTGTACACGTCAGCGTATGTGATGTGCAGCAGTTTCATTAGTGGGATGCACACTGATTATGTAATGATAGCGCGCTGAAGGGGGAATAACTTAACACAGGGAGTAAAGTAAGAGGGGGGGCTCGTAGCATGACAAACAAAAGTAAAACTTATAACACATGTTAATATGTTGTTTTGGGTGAATATGGCATTTTCAAACCAGAAAAAGTAACATGGGGATCTAAATGTGTTACATGTTTGCAGTGAATACTCCATAAAAGTAAAATACCCCCTGTCGTGGCCTGAAATGATTGGAACCCTGCTCTAAAATACCCTAAAACATGTATTCTTACTCTTATTTGCTTGTCTCTCCACAAATTTGATCAGTAATTTGGTCAGGTTGCGTCACCAGCTTGTCCCCAGGCAGATGAATAGGTTTAATGCTCGATTGTGAAACAGTCCAGGGAAAGCAAAAGGATGTCCATGGAGAAGAGCAGGTAGTGCACCCAGAATAGTTGCATGTGGACGTTTAAAACATGATGATGGTGCAGTTTGGCTTCATTAAACAGGAATTTTCTGTACTTTGAGATGGACAATATATATCAATGCTAATACAGAAAACTGATATGAGACAACCAACATCCTAAATGCAGAGGTGGGACCAAGTTGTTGTTTAGCAAGTCTCAAGTGGCAAGTCTTTGACCTCAAGTCTGAGTCAAGTCCAAGTCTGCTTTGAGCTTCAAGTCATTTCAAGTCTTTAAACCAAAATACCAAATCCATCTTTGGTTTTTGCAATTTATATGAATTTGAACCTAAATTGTACTTAAAGTCATGGAATATTTATATATGCATATTTATATAGTTATAGAGTTGTAGAAATGCACATTTTTAAAAATGTCTGGACAAGATCTTGTGTGACTCAATCATCATGTCAGAACAGAAAGAATTCAGATTTAAAAGTGCTTAATAACAGTTATTTTCCCGTGTAACTGCACTGAAATGGAAGGATCATGCTTTGTGTAGTTCCCTCTGTTTTACTATATTGTACTGTATATTACTGTATTGTACTGTATATTACTGTATTGTACTGTATATTACTGTATTGTACTGTATATTACTGTAGTACACTTGATGACACCATCTCACAGTACTTCAGTTCTATCCAAAGTAACAAATAGAGAATGTTCCAGTTTGTTCCTGTAAAATTAATCACCACATTTATCGACTGTAAAGAGAACAGTATTTTCTAAAAACATCTCAAGTCACAGGCCTTAAGTCCCAAGTCACTGACCTTCAAGTCCAAGTCAAGTTCCAAGTCTTAGTCCATTTTACCAAGTCAAGCCTAAAGTCTCAAAAATAGTCTGACTTGAGTCCAAGTCATGGCTTGCAAGTCCCCACCTCTTCCTAAATGTAATGTGACCGGGGCGTGCGGGGCGGGGCGTGCGGGGCGGGGCCGTGCGGGGCGTGCGGGGCGTGCGGGTGCGGGGCGTGCGGGGCGTGCGGGGCGGCGTGCGGGGCGTGCGGTGCGGGGCGTGCGGGGCGGGCGTGCGGTGCGGCGTGCGGTGCGGGCGTGCGGTGCGGGGCGTGCGGCGCGGGGCGTGCGGTGACCCATGGGTTTGACCCTCTGTGCCTGTGAGTGGAGTTAATCTGCTTGTACGAGCTCTTAATCCACTGTTCCATTCTGAGAGACAGACACAGTGATAGAATTAGACTCTGCTCCTCTGTCCGAACAGACTGTTGTGTAAAGAGATCAGACGTCTCATGCACCGTGAGGGTTGTAAGAACTCCCCTCTATTAAAAGGCTCCGTTTAAGTCCTGTTAACTCAACTATTGCAAACTGTTACCTAAACCGAATTAGGACTTGGTGTGGTGCAGTAGTACATGTGGTCAATATTTATCATAGTTTTCAATCAGTTTAGTGGCAGTTTGTGAAGAATGATTGTATTTAAAAAACTTAAAATAATGTGGAATAACATAAGTAAGGCTAAGTGAGAGGTCTATGGAGAGGCGAGTTCCCTCACTAAAAGATGCATGTTTTTTAATGTTTTTATCACTCACAAATTGTAATTGATTTTGTGCACAATGAATTTGCCACTTTAAAGAAAAAGTAGTTTCTCCAGGACTATTGTGTAATGTCACTTTAAAAATCTAACCCAGATTAAGTTCTGACAAAGCAGGTGAGATCTTTGAGATACTTAATAGTCTGATATGTTCTGTGTCCTCAGATAAGGTTCTTCGGAGCCTACCTAACCTGGTGCGTGCTCCCAGCATGCCCAGTGTGCCCCTGCCCCCCTCCCCCTGTGCCAGCCCCAGAGCCTCCCCCTGTCTGCTCCGCACCAGCCACAGCTTTGACCTAACCACCGGGCTGTCCTCGCTGCATTCGTCCAGTGAGTACTGCACCCTCTGCACTCAGATTATTCATACAATTGTACTGCCATTTTCTAAAAGTCAGTGATCAGCTCCGATTCAGGCTGGGCCATGTCAGGAGAAAAACATCTATCAGGTTTTTTCTCATAGATCAAGCTCTAAATTTTATTTTGTCTTTTCAAAAACAATAATTAATTTCATGAACATAAACAATACAGACTTTTAATCAGTGACAGTTTTCACAAGAATAGTCAGATTTCTTCCTCTAAAGTCTAAATGGTGACGTCTTAATCCAGCCCTGACTCGAATCTACACTGAGCGTCTTCTGAAAGCGTCTGTCTCATGTGTCCCCTGTGTGTCCCCTGTGTGTCCCCTGTGTGTCCCCTGTGTGTCCCCTGTGTGTCCTCTGTGTCCAGTCCCTGCTCCGGCCCCGCTACAGTCCAGAGTCCACAGTGTGGGGAGTTTCTGCGTGTCCAGACCCACAGTGAAGGCCACCGCCTACGTCAGCCCCACCATCAAGAGCCCCGCCTACAGCACCGGGCTCACCTCCAGCCCCCTGTACTCCTCCAGCACCGGGCTCTCCTCTAGTCCCCTGTCCTCCTTCAGTCCTGGTCTGAGTCCTGGTCTGAGTGGGATCCCTCTGCGGGGCAAAAACACGGGGTCTCCCACCTCGCCCCGCAGTGCTCTGCCACGCCCCGCCTCTTTCATCGCCACCTCAAGCTCCACCCCCCGCAGCAAACTGGCCCAATCAGGACGCAGGTAGGCATTAATCACTCTCTTAATTAGTTTTCAGTTAAAAAACATTCCACGAGACGAGACGAGTCTGATAAGTAACAAGAAAAATGCATTGTACTGACAAAAATAATATGAAAAACAAAAATGTGCAATAATGCCAACAATAAAATTAAAATGAAAAGTGTGATCTCTGTGTCCCCTGTTCCAGCACATTTATACAAAACCACTGATTTGTCTCAGTTTATACAAGAAATGTCCCAGATGTCGATATTTTTGACCAGTTTGATCCCTGCCAACAGTAAAGAAAGACATACATTATCATTTGTTTAGGTAAAATACAGAAAGAGCTGCTTAAAAATTACCAAAACACAAAGAAAATATGACTATACTGACTCACATATTAGTCGTGAATAAGTCATGAACGGGCCAAGTGAAGAACAATTTTCCTTAGTCACTCGTTTCACAATTGTATTATTACCAACCTTCACAAACCAGGGATGTCCCAGTTTTTGATTTTGAAAATCTGGTCACTCTACATAGACAACATGTCATCTCTGATTTAAACTCAAAATAATATTGTGTCGATCATCTTTCATGAATTTTAAATGTGCTGTAAGAATGTGTGTGTCTTGTTAGTTTCCTGACGCCTCCAAAGAGCCTGTCGGCCCTGAGCGCTCTGAGGGACGGCGCGTGGAGAGACGGGTGCTACTGACACGCTGGAGGAGAGCACCCTGCTGGACGGGGACACGCACTCACACCAAAAACACGCTGCACTGGGGTCCCACGTGATTCTATGCACTTTTGTGTTCGGTAAAATGCGGGTGGATCGGACCGTGCCAAAGGGAAACATTCGTGGATGTTTTGTGCAATAACCCACTGGCTCCAGGCTCCACGCGCTCATCCTCCGCCTGCGCCAACGCCAGTTTTTAAACGACTACTAATCTAATTTATGAAGCTATTTATATATTTATTATTAAAGAGTATTTAAATACATCAGGTGTTGTCTTCAGGCTTTTAAATGCCACGCTGCTAAAATGTACTTGGGGTCAATGTTAAAATATTGTAATTCCTGTAAAAAGTGTCACATTTCTGTATTTATTCTAAAACACGATTCACATTTTGATGATAACTGTCACAAAACTGCCTAGTGTTTTCACAAGTGTCTGATTTCTACACAACCTCTAATTTATTCCTGTTTTTTCTTGCACTGTGTGTGTGTGTGTGTGTGTTACCAGTGACTGCAGTTTGACACTCGTCACACACTGGGGTTTGGGGTGTGTGTTTTTGGAGAGTTCAGTTTCTCATCAGACTCAATGTAGCACCGTTTCTTTTTGTAATGACGTCACCGCTCACAAACTGGCTTTTTGTTGTTTGGACAAAAGTACATTTGAATAAAAATCAACATCAAGTCTTTGTGTTGTGTTTTTTTTTTTTTTTTGTGTTGTTTTTTTGTGCTGTTGAATATAAAGTTTTAAACTCGGAACGGGAGGCAGGATGAGCTCGTGCGCAAAAGGCAGCCGTTTGGAGTCAAAGTGCCTCATGACGTCACTCCGTGACTGCCTCACTCGAAGTTTTTAAAATTTTTGTCTATACGTGAGTTATTTTCCTATATCGAAGAAGGTAAATGTACGGACATTTTATTACGGGGATATAGCTCAGTGGTAGAGCGCATGCTTTGCATGTATGAGGCCCCGGGTTCGATCCCCGGTATCTCCACGTTTTGCGCCTTGTTTACTGAAACTCTGTAGAACCTTCAATAACCTCCAATAACTTAATACTTCACACGAACAAACTCTGACCTGCGCATGTTCAGCTCCACGGTCACAGAGTCCATTGTTTGACTCTGATCAGCCCTTCTAAGCGCATTTGGAAACAAAAAGGACATATTTTATCGTTTGACCTCATGCCTGGACTAAAGCTGCATAGCTTTTATTTTAGAGGTGTTTTTTTTTTTTTTTTAATGGCATTTTTTATAAGGCGGTCTCACTTTTTCATTGCTTAGCCATAACATAAACTCTTCCCAGTCTGAGCAGCTCGTCAGAACAATCCTCTTTATTGCTTTTTATAAAGAAATACAATTCATATTCTGCAGAATTGAGTTAAACATTTTGGCCTCCACAATATTTTCAGTTTCTCATTTGGCCCCATGTAAAAAAGAATTTCCCAGCTAAGTGGACTAAGTGAATATGAAAAGCACAGAAGCTCAGAGCGTATGTATGTAATGTATCACTCATCACTCACTTTTGTACTTCTTTATTTAAACCATGAATTATTGTTCCTGCTGATGTGATTTATCTTGAAGTCTGTGAGTTCTGCAGTGTGCGTGTTTGTCCATCAAATTAAAAATGAACCATTATCTTGCTCTGACTAAAGACAATTTGAGTTTCTCCTACTGCCAAATGTGAGCTATGTCGCCCTCTTCTGGTTAAACTTTACAATAGCAACTTTATTTCAGATTTCTTGGTAACCCCTGTATATATAAACACATTTCCTTTCTCAACGTTTGGGTTCATTTGTTCTCTGAAAAATAGTCAGTTTTACAATATCTCGGTCACAGCGGTTAAAAATATCCACATTTATTGGAATGTCAAAAAATGTCCACAGAAAAAATACTTTACAACATATCTACACTTAGTTCACAGTAACGGCCTCGCTCACACATGTGCACGATCTGGACAGTGACTTGTGTTTTTTCCATGACCATTTCTCAGTAGCTTTAAAACGTCTTCAAGTTCTGGTTTATTTCTCACCATTTTATAACCATTTTATAACACTTCCTGTCACAATAAATCAACTTAATTTCAAGCTTTCAAACAGGAATAAAAAACATCTTCAAGATAAACCCTTGTTGGTTTTGTGCAGATTAAAAGCACCAGTTCCTTTTGTCCTTCACGTCTATGGCTTAAGTCCTTCTCGTCCATAGCAGTTTTCTCGGTGACGTGTTCCAGATCTTAAAATAAACACATTATTGCAGTTTTCATTGTGTCTGTCGGTTGGAGGCGGGGCATGAGCTCGGGAGCACGCCCCTCAGCAGGTGGGCGGAGCTGAAGTCCAGGAAGTGGCTTTGGTGAGATTTGGCGAGCTGGATGTTCCTCAGGCAGCCTCGGAATGGAGCGGCGACCGTCAGGCAGTTCTGCTTCACGTCCGCTAAAAATCAAATGAAAAGATATTACAAACTGAATAAAACAATGACCAAACACTGCTTAGAACTAACTGAATATACTTCTAATTTTTTATTATTACTGGCAAATGTAGAAGCTTCATACCAGCAATTTCTTATCAGCTCTTTAATCCTCATTAATTATGGTTATTATGTTTCACTATTTCAAAAATAACACATATTAGGAATTACTAAAAACAAAATATCAAAATTATTCTAAGTGGTAAATGTAATATTTCATTATTCAGTTGTCAAATTTATATATGAACATATGAAAAATTGAAATAATGTTCTAGAATTAATATATAAATCAAATATGAACACATAAATAATAAAGTTTATGTGGAATTTTTTTTTTAGTTTTTAGATTATTTTATAGATAATGTGTATTTACAATTCTACTCATTATTTGTATGTCATTTATTTATTTATGTACTGTATTTTTTATTAATATTATTTTTTATATATATTTTTTATTTTTATTATTTATGTATTTTTATTTATTTATTATTTTAAATGCTTTATTTTTTTAACACAGTCCTTTAAATCTCAGTCTTGGGAATCATCCAATATTCAAACAAACCTTTAAATCAGGCAGATTAAATGATCTTGGAACAATAAACTGGATTTTCATTTTTAAATCTTCCACATAATCGTGGTGTAAAAGTTACGTGCAAACTGAAAACACGTCTTGAGTGGTTGTGCGTACCCGGGTGTCCCCCCACGTAGACGGGGTTGTTGGTCTCTGCAGAGGTGGATTGTGGGTAGGGGTTGGGGGTGTTGTAGAGCCTGTGGTCGACGGTGAGGCTCATGGCGTGTTTGGTTTTCTTGGCGGTCACAGAATGCCAGCGTCCGTCGCACAGGAAGGACCCAAGGGAGCGCACGGAGACACGGCCCGCGCCATTGTTCACGTGAAACACCACCTGGAAAAAAAATAACACAAAAATACACTTTTATATCTGTAAAATATGAATGAGCAGGTACTATACACAGGGTTGATTTTGTTTACGCTGTATTTGTTATAATCATTTAAATTTTGCAGTTTTCTGGTCAAAAACACCTAAATCTAAGTAGCTGGTGACATCACGAAAGATGGCGAGGTGTTTCAGATCACAAACACCGGGTGGAGTCTAGAGTCTGCATACCTGTTCGATCAATCACACAGACCACGTTTACATGATGTTTTTAAATTCTGAATTAATTGTTCTGAATTAAATAGTTCTGAATTAAAATATTCTCCTTTGAGTTTACATGGAATAATAATTCTGAATTGAGATTTACATGAAAAACTCATTAAATCATCTTTATTTAATTCCACTCAACGTCTGATCGGACAGGAACACCAACATATTTACGTCTTTGGGAAGAAAACACATACTTCAGCTGCTCCCGGCTTTTCTGTCATGTTGGATTGTTGTTACGTCACAGACACAAACATGAAACAAAGTTTGCAAAGGTTTGGGAGCAGGAGTGCTACTTAGATATACAAAAATGTGTAGAATTATCCTTCTGATGCTCTTCAGTGTGGGGACCAGTCTCAAATACAAAATAGGAAAAAACTGAGGCAAAATAACGAAAAGTCTTTCATAGCACATGGCAGATAAAGTTCAAATCACGCCAACATGTTTCAGCCCTTCAGTCTTCAGCAGGACACACTCCAGATGCTGTCACTGTGCACATTTAAAGTCAGAGGAGTAGGTCACATGTTCAGTGTGGGCTGGACCAAAGTCCACTGGTGCATGATGGGACATGTAGGCTGAACAGATTTTAGTTACAAGCTATTCAAGTTCAAATATAAAACAAGATATAAATAATACAAATCCCAACAACCAATACACAGAAACTATGTATATATGTATCTTTATACTATGTATCTTTCTATGTATGAAACAAACTTTTATCGCAGTTGTACCGAGTGCCGGAGGCGGGAGGAAGAAGACAAAGTGAGTGTGAGGCTGCTCTACCTCAGCCCACTCCCACATCCAGCTCACAAATCCAAAGAGACGTGGAGGAAAGTCTGAAGTCAGGACTGGAATTATTTTTAAGAAGAATAAATGTTACATGATTGAGGAATAAATTAATTTGGCTTTAAAATCAGAATAAATCACCACCAAGTTTAGTTCAGTGTTTACATGGTCTTTTTAAAATGGAATTCATTTTTTATTCAGAATTAAATTATTTTTATTCTGAATTAAAGCTCTCATTGTAAACGTGGCGCCTGTATCTTATACCCCAGACTCCGCCCCTTCCTCCCTCACTCCCCCTTTAGTCTCCAGGTCCTGTTCAGTTCAGGAGCTCGATTTTAAATGCAATTGTGGTTTTTAGGTGTTTAGTCCCATGTCTGGTGAGATTGTCTGTACCTGTCCGCTGACCAGTTCCAGGCCAATAGCGTCCACTTTAGCGCTGCTGATGCCCAGTAACACCGCGTCTGATTGGCTCGTTGTGAACTCCAGAGAAACCGTCAAATCAGAGCCCACCTTGTAACCATTGTGCACTAAAAACACATTTACATTTCAGCACAATTCTGATTATACACTAACAAATGTAGTGAAGGGTTGATATTACGATACTCACCGAGAACGGCAAACCCGGTGCCATTAAAGTGCGCCCCCTTCTGGTCGCTGCTGAAACAGGAAGTGATATGGTGCTGTGTTTCGGGTTTGTTTAAGTCCAGAGCCGCGTTGTTTAGAGTGACAGAGCGAATACAACCTGGAAAACTGCTGCTTACCTAAAAATACAACTCAACATTAGATTTCATTCATAATAAAGCAACATTTGTAGTATTTCTGTTTTTAATAGAACTTAAAATGCACGTGACAGGCTGGACACTTTTACACTATAACATTAACACAGAAAACGTCTTTTTGAATTCTAGTGAAGTTTATCATTTGACTTCCTGGTTGGACACAGGCAGCAGATGTGACATATGCAGAGGTAACTGTTACCTAGCAACCATCATGTAAACAAGAGCCAGAGCGTGTCTAAATTACACAATAGTTATAAACTAATAAATAAAAACAGATGACGACATGTTTATTTTGTGAAATGAAGGTTCAAACTGTCAGAAAAATGTCTTCCTTCCTTCCTGCAAATTTTCATTTTAGAACTCACTGGTTCTTTCCTGTATTTTTGTACTTTTCTTTTCAATATTTTTTCACAAATTTCCACTGTATCATAAATATGGTCTACAGCACAGAGCAGGTCTACTGCGACATGTGGCTGAAGTTTGCCAAGTAAAATGCCAAATAAATCTGTGTTTGTCACGTGTGTTTGTCTTGATAAATGTGATTTTGGCTAAATACCCCTGCAAAACCAAGAAGAGAATGTAACGCCAGACAGGAATTTGAAAACAACAGGTTTCAAAATCCTACCCACTTTCTTCACTTCTCTAATCAGTTTTGTGTAAAGTACCAGTGGAAGTTCTCTTAACAAAGAGCTTCTCAAACTGTGGGTGAGGGTCCAAAAAAGAGGCACAGAGTGTTTTAGTACAGCACAGTTTGCTTAGACTTATTTACACTTAAATGAACATTCATCAGATCAAATGGAGATAGATTTATAAAAGCACTGATATAAATGTGCCAAAATATCTGTAAAATACAAATAAATGTGGAAAATGACAAAGATGATCTTGATTTGGTGTCAATGGGCCGTGATCTCAGTCTTGTCTTGGTCTGAACCTTTAAAAGTCTTGGTCTTGTCCTGGTTTCTGGACTCTGTGGTCTCGGACTGGTCTCGGTCTCGATCAGTGTGCTCTTGACTACAACACTAGTGCATACACTGGTGAATCACCATTCATGTGAACAGGGCCTGGTCTTATTAATCTAAAATAGATGCCCCAGTGGACCCAGTTTACAAAAACACACACACAAAAAACACAACAACACAGGAGCAGGGTCCCTGGAGTCCCTTCTCACCTTTTTCACCCCTGCCCTGTATTCATGTCTGAACTTACATTGATCCTCCTGGCTGTGTGAGTGTGAGGAAGCCCGCCCACGTACACCCGGCTCTCCACATCCAGTTGGTTGCCTTTGATGGGGGCGGAGTCAGTGGCTCTGCCCACTGAGACAGACACTGACCTCCGGCTGACCTCTGCTGTCACCTAAAACATAAACATACAAGTTCAGTTTTATATTCACTCTTTTTATAGATTTAAGATTTATGAAAAAAATATCTGAAAAAGTAGGAATAAATTCACTTTTTATCTCACTCTCTTATTTCACTCTTTTCGTACCGTGTGCCAGTTGCCGTCGTTGAACAAGCTCGACGACGTCACGGAGGCGAGGCCCTTTCCGAGGTCAGCTGACAGCACCATGTGACCGCCGACCAATCGCAGCACGGCAAAGTCCATCTGGTTCTTGCTGGACATGAGCAGCAGGAGGCCGTCCGCAGCCCACGTCCTGAAGGACATCCTGATGGACAAGCTGAGAACAACAGAGGAAATATATCAGGTAAATGACCACCTGAACTCCACCTTCTTAAAAACTACAAGCCTTTGAAAATACTGAGGGAGTACTTGATTTCTATTTAGTATTAACTGTTAACATATTACATAATTAGATCAGCATGATCCCTTTTATTGTTCTGAAAATGCTACATTTGTCCAAAACAACAAATGAACATTGTAACGTGTCGTTTGTTTTAGTTTTGTTTTTGAGACTCTGACTCCCCCTTCTCTTTGCTCTCTGTGCTAAGTCACTCCCCCTTCAGACAGCTATCACAACAGAATCATCGCAAATAAAACGACTGCACGTTGGATCAGCTGAACTTGTAGTGTATAGGCTCTACTAACGCTTATGTCACAAACCAGGAAGATGTTTCGAAAGATGCGATGACAACTTCTGGTGTAGTTCCTGACACTGGACTCACCGACCGACTGTGATCAAACCCACTGAAGTAAATGTGATCAGAGGTAAAATGAAGACTGCAGATGTTTGTGCATCTCTTCTAATCACATGTACCCAGTGCAGTCGGAGTTGTGCGTCAGTGGGGAAATGATGAAAACTGAGGTGTGGTTGGAACACTACAATGACATGGAGATGAAGAAAACTGGGACATTTTACACATTTTTCTTAGATTTTCTCAGACTTACTACTGCGAACAGAGAGAAGTTATCACTGCATCTTTCCAAACGTCTTCTTGATTTGTGACATGAGCGTGAATAGAGACTATTCTGTACGAGGTGTTACTTGAAAAGTTTGACTACAGTGAATCTGAACTGTACAATTCCCACTGCTGTGTTGTACTATCATGCAAGGTTTGTTTATTTATTCTTGTGTTAGAACATCTTCCCTTACCTCTTCTTAACGGTGCTGGGGTTGATGCTGAACGTCATGTGACTGTGTTTGGTCGATCCAAACTGAACACCGGACGACAGATAGCTCGGCTCCACCTCCGCCGCGCACTGGGAGACAAAGAAAAAATTAAAAAACGTAAGTTTGCCATTTTGACAACATCTTCAAATCCAAGAACATCCCCAGTGTGTTACCGTGAGAGCTCCAGGCGTGAGGGCGCTCAGGTACGTGGGCGGGGCTACGGGTAAATGGGCGGGGTCAGGGGTAGGGTCCAGATCCTGATCACCGTTCACACCGCTCCTCCGGCTCGCTCCTCCAGTAGGCAGCTGTCTAACTCCGCCCCCTCGTACAACGCCGCTCCCGATAGATCGACCAACCTAAACGTGGAAATCAGAAAATTATAAACCATTTCATTGTCCAGTAATCAGGAAGTGTGTGTTAGCATGCTAGTTACTTTAGTTTCTATTGTTATTGTTATCGTTGTGTTAAACTTACACTCCGTTCAGTGCCAGGTTTTGGATGCAGCCCCGGAACGACCGCGATAGGCTCCGGATCCTGGTCGGCAGACGAGACTCCACCCCCGACGGCAGCCCTCCAATGAACAGCGAGGACGGGGACAGACTGGAGACCGCGCCCGGTGACAGGAGGATGGACTTGACAGGTAACTCGTCAACATGGATGGAAAGAACCCTAGAAAACGCAATTATTATTTAAACAGATTCATAAACTCCTTTAATTATACAGCGTTTCATTATTGGGTAATCAGAAAGTGCGCTGTTAGCATGCTAGTTGTTGTTTGCATGAAAAGCCTTTGAAAGTTGTAAACTCATCCTTGCAGTACTGAAACATTAGGGTGAGGCGTACTTCCGGCTCAGGCTGAGGATGACGGAGTGATGGCGTCCGTCGGAAAACTCCCCCACGACGATGGCTCTCTGCGTAGCCCCGCCCACTTTGCCCAGCTCCGCCTCCAGAGTGCCGGACATGAGCTGTACAGACATGAAGTGCTGCCGTGGAAACACAAAGATCAGAAATAAGCCGCAAATAACATAAAATATCATGTAACTGCTTTAAACACAAGTCACTTTAGCCTAAATCAAGATTGTCCCCAGGTTTGACTACCCCAAATTTAAGACTTTTTAAGACCTTTTTAAGACCACTTAAATGAAAATTAAGACCAACATCACACCCATTATGTGGGCGAAAAAAACACCAGATCCAATTCTAATAATCACCATTACTTACTGCTTAAAATAACAAAAAAACACTTTTATTACAAAAATCTCATTCAGAACTCATTTATAGTCGTATGCATTGCTTGTAAAATGGCCAAAAAATAATTTATAACATTCTAAGAAGACAAACTAAGTATTGTTTGTGCATACTCTAAATTAGACATTCATTCATGTTACATGATTTCATGTTTTTTGTTTTTTTGTTGATGTTGTTGTTTGTGTTTTGCTTTGTTTCCTCCCTTCATTTAACATTGCACTGCAGCCTGGTTGAATAAACAAAAAAAAGTTAAAAAAAGTAAAGAAGTAAAAAAAAAAAAAAAAAAAAAAAAAAAAGGCAAATGAAATTTAAGACCTTTGTAAAACTAATTAGACTTGGACAACATAATTTAAGACTTATTAAGGCCTTAATTTAGGAACATGAAATTTAAGACCTTTTTAAGACTTTTAAGACCCTGCGGGTGCCCTGTAAATGTATCATGACCTTTTCCTGTTTTGGTGTCATTTTGAGCACTTTGTTGTTAGTAACTAGTAAGTTTTCATTATTCTGAAACCCGTAAATAACTGAGAGACATTATAATTCCAGTGAGCTTAATAATTTAAAGGGGCTGTTCCCAGTTTTATTTTTCATTTGATAAAGTAAAATGTGTCTTGCCCTGGTACTGATATACTGTAAAAGCACGAGGACAGTCTTATGAATCTTATTAATGATGATCACGAAGACTGCAGTGGGATCTGTCTGTGGACAACAGGATATAAAGTTGTGAGTGTGATGGCATCAGTTGTTTCCTGTCGACATTAAAACCAGTCACTCTGAGACTCTTAAGTGTTCAAAGATTTCAAACTCAGACTCTGCACTTCTAGTTTAGATACAAGTCAAAACTGTGTTATTATTATTATTTGTGAAATGTGGTGCAAAACTTCAGATACAGGATTTTTAAAACATAAAAGTTTGGAGATAAAGTCCACAGGAAGTAGAGTCACTGGCACTAATCTGCAGCTTCAGCTCAATCCGTGCTCTGTGTGGATGTAAACAGACACATGTGAGGAACTACTCTCACCTTTTTACTTTTAAAGAATGCCTCAAACTGGATTTACAGTGCTGTTTTGTGGAATGGGGTCATTATTTGTGGAGGACAATTTCTATGGATAATGTGGATGAGATGCTGCACTTTGAATGTACCACTTTACGAGAGCTGAGCAATAAAGTCTAATAAATATTTTCACCTCTGTGTCCGTCACTCCTCTGCCCTGTCCTTTGTTTTATTATCTGTTGTCGTAAAGTTCTTGATGTTCGGTGGTTACGTTTTGACAGAGCAGTTCAGAGTCATACACACACACAGATGAGGAGTACACCGGCTTCAAAATTACACACAAAGACACAAAGTCGGGTCACGCCTCCTTGAACTCATGGAGAAGCAAATCACAGCCAAAATCGGGGAAATTCTCCTGTACTGTGTGATGGCCTCTTGGATCAAAACGAGACTGTAGTGTCCTGTCTACATCTAATTATAGAGCATTTTTATCCTCTATGAACCAGGAAGTAACACTGGTGCACTGTTAGCATGCTAGTTGCTGCTAGCAGTGGTGTGACATCAAATTCCACTTTGGAAAGTTGAAAAGTGCTTATAAACTCAATGATTAGGATGGTTGGAATAAATAAGGTAAATAAGGAATAACTTTAGACCACTGCAAACTGTTTAAGACAAACTAGGCCTGTTTTTCATGTGTTTAAGAAGAAAAAAATCAAGTAAAGCGCCGCTAAGAATGACCGTACTTTCTACAGTATGTAACCTTCAAGGAGGGAGGGTTTATTGAGAATGTGCTTACATGTGGTGCAGTTGTTGTTATGTACCTGTTTATCATGGCTAAGAGCAGACAGTAACAGCCCTGACTGGTTCCTGGACGAGAAGGTCATCAGAATGTCCGTGTCCTGGGTGAAGGAGCGAGGGGCCAGCTCCACAAAACCGGGGCCAAACAGAGAGACACTCCGCACCGCCTACACAACACCAAACACAAAAACATAATGTCCCACTAGTAAAATAGCCAGTAGTAGTAATGGTAGTAATAACATTAATAATAGTGTTAGTAGTAGCAGTCAGGATAGTGGACGGGGGAAAAATGGGTCTGTGGTCCTGGGCCCCAGAGTTTTAGGGGCCCAGAATTTGACCCTCTTCCTATTCATTAGTATTAGAGGGGGGCCATATGTGGCTTCTTGCCCCGGGCCCCCACATTTCTGTTGACGGGCTTGGTTAACAGTAGTAGTAGTAGTAGTAGTAGTATTAGTAGTAGCAGCAATAGTAGTAGTAGTAGTAGTAGTAGTGGCAGTAATAGTGGTAGTAGTAGTAGTAATAGTAGCACCAATAGTAGTAGTAGTGGTAGTAGTTGTAGTAGTGGTAGTAGTAGTAGTAGTAGTAGTAGTAGTAGTATTATTAGTAGTAGCAGCAGCAATAGTAGTAGTAATAGTAGTGATAGTAGTGGTAGTGGTAGTAGCAGTAGTGGTAGTAGCAGTAGTAGTAGTAGTAGTAGCAGTAGTAGTAGTAGTAGTAGGTAGTAGTAGTAGTAATAGTAGTAGTAGAAGTAGTAGTAGTAGTAGTAGTATAGCAGTAGTAGTGGTAGTAGTATAGTAGTAGTAGTAGTAGTAGTAGTAGTAGTAGTAGTAGTTAGTAGTATAGTAGTAGTAGTAGTAGTAGTAGTAGTATTAGTAGGGGTATTATTATTATTAGTAGTAGTAGTAGTAGTATTAGTAGTAGTAGTAGTAGTAGTATTAGTAGTAGTAGTAGTAGTAGTAGTAGTAATAGTTTTTTTGACATATAGACGCTGAGATATAGAAAAAGTCAGATGTGAGAATAGATAAGAGTGATGTTCCAGTAGTAAAATGGCCGCTGCGTGTGGTTGTACAGAGATTGGAGGGGGTTGTACCTCCAGAGTGCATCCTTTCCTCACTCCGAATGCGTCCCGCAGCAGGTCGAAGTTGGTGCGGGCGATTTCCACGTTTTTAATGCAGCCCACGTAGGATCGCGACAACACCTGACGCCTGGACACAATAAATAATAATAATAATAATAATAATACATTTTATTTATATTGCACTTTACATAAAATAATCTCAAAGTGCTACAGGTAAAAACAATGAGTAAAAAGGTGCATCAGAAACAGTGGATCAAGCTAAAACCAGTGCAGGAATTTATAAGATAAAACAAGAATAAAATACAATTAACAAAAGGCTTTAGTAAAAAGGTATGTTTTAAGATTTTGTTTAAAAACAGAAATAGATTGTGGGGCTCTCAGGTGGTCGGGGAGAGCATTCCAAAGCCTTGGAGCAGCAGAGGAGAAGGCCCGATCTCCCATGGTGCAAAGTTTGGTTCTGGGGGTTTGGAGAGTGTTGGTGGCTGCAGAGTGGAGGGAGGGTGAGGGGGTCTGGGGAGTGAGGAGTTCCTTAAGGTACTGGGGGGAGTGACCGTGGATGCATTGGTGAGTGAGGAGGGAGACCTTGTACTCAATCCTGAGTGTGATCGGGAGCCAGTGAAGGGATTTCAGGATGGGGGTGATGTGGTCAAATTTTCGCACCCTCATCAGGATCCTGGCAGCGCAGTTCTGGATGTATTGCAGTCTCTGGATGCTCCTGCCAGGTATCCCGATGAGGAGTGCGTTACAGTAGTCCAGCCTGGAGGAGATAAAGGCGTGGACGAGCTTCTCTGCATCTGCCAAGGAGAGAGTTGGACGGAGTTTTGGAATGTTTCTGAGGTGGTAGAATGACGTCCTACAGAGATGTTTGATGTGGGTGTCAAAGGTGAGTTGTGAGTCCATTTTGACACCCAGGTTGGTGACAGATGCAGAGAAGGGAATCGTTTGACCAGAAAATGAGATACTGGTGATGGTGGAAGAGCGGAGCTGATGAATTGTGCCAACCAGGATGGCTTCTGTTTTGGAACTATTGAGTTGAAGGAAATTTAGCTTCATCCACGCCTCTATCTCCTCCAGGCAGGTGGTCAGTGTGGATGATAGTAAGGGAGTGGAAGAAGTGGGGGTGGTCCGTAAATAGAGCTGTGTGTCATCTGCGTAGCAATGGTAGGATATACCATGCTTGGTGATGAGATTGCCCAGGGGGAGTAGGTAAAGAGTGAAGAGGGTGGGACCTAACACCGAACCCTGAGGAACACCACAGGTGACATTGTGGGTGCGTGACTTTGCCTTTCCTAGGGCAACGTGCTCGGTACGGTTAGTCAGGTAGGAGGTGAACCATTTGAGTGCTTGTTCTGAAAGTCCAATAGTGTATTGCAGGCGATGGAGGAGAATATTGTGGTCAACCGTATCAAAAGCAGCTGTAAGATCCAGGAGGATAAGTAAGGATGGTGAACCAGAGTCTGCTGCTCTCAGGAGATCATTGGTGACCCTGACCAAAGCTGTTTCAGTGCTATGGCCAGGGCGAAACCCAGACTGAAACTTGTCAAAAAGGTTATTGAGTTTGAGGTGATCCTGTAGTTGTGCTGCTACTGTTTTTTCCAGAACTTTGGACAGAAATGGGAGATTAGAGATTGGCCTGTAGTTGGACAGGACTTCTGGATCCAGGGTGGGTTTCTTCAGTAGTGGTCTGATGACAGCAGCTTTTAATGCAGATGGGATATAGCCGGTCTGGAGGGAGTGGTTAATGATGTTAGTGATGAGAGGAGAGATGAAAGAGATGTTGGTTTTCAGCAGGACTGTGGGGAAGGGGTCCAGGGCACAGGTGGATGGTCTCATTTTTCCAATGATGCCCTCCACCTCTTCCTGTGAGATGGGAGAAAAGGAGCAGAGTGTCTGAGCAATCGCAGTTGGTGGGTCAACATGTGGGGGGGGCAGGATAGCAGTGGTAGAGAGGAGGAGTGAACGGATGCTATCAACCTTTTGTCTAAAAAAGGTGATATGCATGTTACACCTGTTCTCAGTGGCCTCAGAGTGGGAAGGTGAAGGGGGTAAGAGAAGGTGATTTACAGTTGAGAAAAGTTTTTTGGAATTACCCGGGCTATTATTGATAATTGTGGAGTAGTACTGGGACCGTGTGGCCTTCAGTGCTTCAGCATATGCCTTCCTGTGCTCTCTGTAGGCTTGTTTGTGGACAGTCAGTCCAGAGGCCTTAAATCGCCGCTCAAGGACACGCCCAGCCGTCTTCATTCTGCGCAGCTCGCAGGTGTGTACCAAGGTGCTGAACGTGAGAAAGAGACTGACCTAGATGTTAGGGGGGCGTGGAGGTCCAGAAGACTGCTCAGTGACTGGTTGTAAAAATCCACTGAGTCAGTAACAGAGGGGAAGTGGGTGGAAACAGAGGAGAGATGTTGTAGGTCCAGAGCCAGGGCATCAGCGTTGATATTCTTTAAATTACGAAATAGAAACTGCCGCTTGGGTTTGGAAGTGGGGGGAAGGAAAGGGTAGTTCCATGGATACAACCTTGTGATCAGAAACACCAAGGTCGTACACCTGAAGGTTACTGATAGGGGCGGAGTTTGAAATGACCAGGTCCAATGTGTGCCCCCGGGAGTGTGTGGGGACATCAACATGCTGCTGTAGGTTGAAGGTGTCCAATAGCTGAAGGAAATCTGCAGCAGGTTTGCATGAAGGGGAATCAACATGAATATTAATGTCTCCCAGAATAATAGTATTAGCAGAAGTGGTGCAGAGTGTTGAGAGAAGGTCAGCCATTTCCGGGATAAAAGCAGAGTTGGGTTTGGGGGGTCGGTAGATCAGGAGAACAGTCACTGGAAAGGGGGGCTTACATTTGAATGCAAGGCACTCACAGGATGATGTTGGAGGCAGCGAGATGGAGGACAGCTCCAGGTGCTGACGGTGGATGACCGCTAGACCACCACCTCGATGACCAGTGCTGCGAGCTACCTCCAGATAGGTGTAACCAGGGGGACAGGCCTCATTAAGGGCAGAGTAAACCTGTGACTGGTGCCAGGTTTCTGTAAGACACATGAAGTCCAATCCTTTCTCCCTGATGTGTTCTTCAATCAGGGAGGATTTATTGTTAATAGACTGTACATTGAAAAGTTCGAATTTAACCAGTGCCTGTGGGGTGAATCGTTGTACAGAACGCAGAACTTTGAAGTCCACTCCGCGCAGACTGGAATCCGCTCCTCGTCTTCTGTCCAGCCTAGTGAGCGAGGATCTCGCGGTGTTACTCGCACTGGAGTGCCGAGATCTCGCGGTGTTTCCCGTTTTGATGTCAGCAGATACGACGGTGCTCTGATGACGTGTCAGACGTGCGACATGGGACCAGAGAGATGGGATGTTTGTCGCAGAGCCGGTTGTTTGGAGGTGAAAGATGAATTTTCGACCGGAGCCTCTATGGATGTAGCGAGGACGGCGAAGAAGTCCGAGTTTATTGAGGATGGAGGAAAGAGGTCCAGGGGGGGCTGCGGGCCTGAGTCGGCGAAGTTGAGAGATGGAATACCGGTAGCTAAACGCCATGCTTGACCAAAAAGGAGGCGGCCCGGCCTTGCCAACTGCCAATAAAGACAGCAAATACTATCACTCTGGTGTTGTTTATTTTTATTTTCTTCAAAGTGTGTCTGACGTGTGTGGGATTTGTCTGATTTTTATACCAGACGCCCTTACTGTCGCAACAAAACACTATGAATTGTGGGTGAACTATACGCTAAATAGTTCAAACTAGCTATGTATTTGTAACTTTGTCTGTTCTCTCACCTGATTGGTCGTGAAGCAGGAAGCCCCCCGATGTAGATGGGGTCGAGATCGTTGCGGTTGAGGTCGGAGGAGGTTCCAGGTGCCTCCGCCTCCAGGACCTCTTTTTCAGATGATTGTTCAGTGGCCATGATGGACAGGTAGCCTAGAGGATAAAAACATACAGTAAAGCCGTGCTTGTTATGACATTTAGCACAGAGAAACTCTCTTGAGCGTCATACCTTTACGTTTGTTCCTCTGCAGTGTGATCTTGTACCACATCCCCGTGTTGTACTTCCCCTTTGACATCAGCACCAAGACCCCCGAGCCCAGGTCAAAGGTCAAACGCACGTGTCCCTCCATCAGCTCCATGGACAGGAAGTCCCTCTGCAGACACAACCACAGTTATGTAGACGTGTTGTGGTGACGCAGTGGGCATTAACATTGTATTAGTGTTGTTTTGGTGTTGTTTAGTTGTTGGTTTGACAATGTTAAGGTGTTTTTTGGAGTTGTTTTGGAGTATTTCAACAGTATTTCTTGGTTTTTTTTTTATGTTTGGTGCTTATTTTATTACCTCGTCTTTAGTGTTGTTTACTTTAGATGCTGTGTTCTTGTTTAATATTGTTTAGGTGTGTTATTAAGATTGTGTATTCAAAACAGTGTAGTTTTAACAGTGTTTAGGTGTGGTTTAAACATTTTTGTTGTAATTTAAAAAGAAAATTGGTGTAGTTTAGTGTACTTCTAAATTTTTTTGGTGTAGCACTGTACTTTTAACATTGTTGCTGTAGTTTTAATATTATTTAGGTGTACTTTTAACATTGTTGCTGTAGTTTTAATATTATTTAGGTGTACTTTTAACATTGTTGCTGTAGTTTTAATATTATTTAGGTGTACTTTTAACATTGTTGCTGTAGTTTTAATATTATTTAGGTGTACTTTTAACATTGTTGCTGTAGTTTTAACATTGTTTAGGTGTAATTTAAACATTTTTGTTGTAGTTTTAACATTGTTTAGGTGTAATTTAAACATTTTTGTTGTAGTTTTAACATTATTTAGGTGTAATTTAAACATTTCTGCTGTAGTTTTAACATTATTTAGGTGTAATTTAAACATTTCTGCTGTAGTTTTAACATTGTTTAGGTGTAATTTAAACATTTTTGTTGTAGTTTTAACATTGTTTAGGTGTAATTTAAACATTTTTGTTGTAGTTTTAACATTGTTTAGGTGTACTTTTAACATTTTTGTTGTAGTTTTAACATTATTTAGGTGTATTTTTAACATTTTTACTTCAGTTTTGACATTATTTAGGTGTACTTTTAATATTTTTGCTTTAGTTTTAAAATGATTTAGGTGTACATTTTTGGCATGCTTTTAGCATTGTTTTGCTGTAGTTGCATTGTTGTTTTCATGTTGTTTTGGTGCAGTGGTGCGGTGTCAGTACCGTGTTATTGGAGGCCAGATACAGCAGTAATCCAGCCGGTGACAGGGTCTTGAACAGCAGGACAATGGAGGTGGAGGTGGATCTCAGCGACTTCTGGACCACAGAGTATCCAGAGCCATCGAAGTGGAAGGCCGTCTCCTCCATCTGTGGACTGTCAGCAAAATAAACAAAATACATTAGTCTTTTAGAATACAAGGAGAGGACGGGAGAAATGTCCCTCTCTCAAAGGTATTACCTGCTGAAGCAGCCTCCACACTGGCCCTCTCTGCTCTCATAGTTCCACAGCCCGAGGTTCCTCTCGTTCAGGGAGGCCTCCTCCAGACAGCCCTGGAACCAGTGCGACCTGAGCAGGGGATTCCTCTGAGGACAGGACAGTGATTAATTAGTTCATTTAGTGATTAATGTGACTTTGGAACTATAGTCTACAGAGCATATACTCTTTATTACTGTTATGTAGCGATACCAGGATAGATGGAATAGATATGAATCCTCAAAACTAATTATAGAGTGTATAAATATATAGATTTTATAATGCTTCCCGTTACAAGATCAACAAAATCAGACATGCCAAATCTTAGCTATAATTATTTTCATTATTTTGAATAGGGATGGGTGATATATCAGTTCCACTATCAGTATCGGTTGATATCAATATTAGATAATGCTTTTTTCAGAGCTGCACTATTCTGTGTACCCATGTGTCCAAACTGTCCAGACCTGTCTTTATGAACAGACTCCTAAGTAAAAATGGAAATAGAAGAGCAGTTTTATATCCTAGGCCAATACATTTTGATATTAATCTTTACAAAAGTTGGTTTGTGATCTTCAATTTAAGATAAATTTGTGGGGCTTGTTATGGATTTAAAAGCGAAATCCGCAGATATCAGTTAAATCCATACTGGACCATCCCTAATTTTGAACATCTACCTGCACGTTTTGGCTGATTCCGCCGATGTAAACTCTGGTGCTGTTGTCGATGTCCAGGACTCGGGCCACTCCTGGTGACGTGGCTGTTACTGGAGGAGACGGCGGAGTGGTGGAGCCTGGGTCCAGCTGGTACACGGACAGGGAGGCGTGGCTTCCAAACCTGGCCAGTACCAAAACATACATATAATTAAACATTTTCCTTCAAGACATACTTTTTCATATTTTACAGTTTTGTGTTTACCTGGTGACGTTGATCCTGGTCCACTTGTTGTTGCTGATGTCCAAACCAGGAAACTCGAGGCGCTTGCTCCCAGATCCAACATCCCAAAGCAGAGACACTTTACCCGCGTGTTCTTCTACAGCCATGAAGTCCACCTGCACAATTACATTTCTATTATAATCAAAACATTTTTCTATCTGATTAAATGTCCAATATAACACCTTTTTGCAATTTTAGAAATACCTTTGTCATATTTCACGTTTTATCATTTTTAATAATAAATTGTAGGTAGAGAAAATATATATTTTTTGAAGTATTTTCACAGAAAGCTTTTGGATTATGCATCTGTTAGCCTCTACTGGCAACAGTGGGAAAAAGAGCATGTTGAACAGTTAAGGTGTTATCATCTGTAGCCTCCTAGGACCTGGCATCCACATATATGTCCAACATATTTTGGGTTGTTCAGGCACTTAATAGTTTTTATAAATCATTATTCAGTTGTGACTTTATTGTGTTCCTTCAAAATGACTAAAACATATCATTAATGTTTTATAGATCATATGTGGACATAATTTTTCTCAGAACCTACATCATGTAAAAATATAATTCTTTGTTTTGCACTCATCAGGTCCCAATCAGCCCAAATAACAAAGAGAAATCAATAAAGCCATGCAAGAGTTCAGGTCCTAGGAGGTTAAAAACAGATATCAGAATTTGTGAATAAGGAGACAACAGGACAATAGAATAACAAAAAATTAACAAACCTATACCTTAAAGCTGAGCTATTATGCAAAATGGACCTTTCAGTGCTTTTAAGCATGTTATAGTTGTTTCCCCTCACAATTTACACTCTCAAAGTTGTATTTGGAGTGAAAATGAGTTTGATCTTTGAATTTGATCTTAAATCACTTATTTTCAAGACACCATATGTTGACCAACCCACTGTTCTCACCCCAACTGGTACACACTCACTGCTCTGTACTTACTTCATTCTCAGTTTTCAATTTAATTTTAATTAATGATACACGTAGAATTTGGCAGCATCAAGTTGTCGTTTTGATACAAATGAAAAAAAAATCCTCTGCTCACAAATGTGATCTGAAACTATCCATATGAGTTGCAGATTTCCATTTGGCACTGCGGTTTTCAAACTCAGACTTGTTTGTTTTAATGGGTTTTAGATGAATAGATGAATATTATTTAAAATGTGCAAATTCTAACAATGATCCACGGGTGTCATCGATTATAGCTATATAACAGGCTCACGCATGATATGTGCTGTTTAAATAAACGTGTTCAGCAGAGTTTGTGTGTGTTCTGACCTGAGAGTTGGAGCCCAGGTAGAAGAGCAGGTTGTTCTTGGTGCTGGTCTTCAGCGTGAGGGTGAGGGTGTTGAAGTTACTGGAGCTGATCTGGGGTCTGTAGGAGCGCACACAGCTGCGGTCGGCCTGCACTGCCACTTTGATCTGAAATAATAAGAACATGATTATATCTTTATTTCTATAGCACTTTTCAAAACAAAGTTACAAACTGCTTCACAGACCATTGAAATACACAGTAAGGCACAAAGTCAGCAAATGAATATCCAAATAAGTACAACTGTGATCAAATTTTTATGTTAATTTATTACCTTGGAATAGGTTTTGTTAGTGTATTTATGTCTTATTTAAATATGAAACTATATTTTCTCAAGCAATCTGACAGTTCTTTAATTTAGGTCTAACTGTGTTACTCAGTGGGTCATTTAGCTTATTAAGAGACAAAAGGTCCTCAAACCAGTCTGAAATATAAAACAATTACAGTAATCAATTAATCTAAATGCATAAAAACAATTAAAATGTTATTGTTGTTGTTTGTTTTTTTTGTTTTTACTGAAGTATTTGTGTAATCCCTCAAACATCCAGATAGGTTCAATAATAAAAAATAAATGTATTCAACTGGACAAAGGTTTTGAAGTGAACATGTTTTGCCACTCATCCAGTTGGCTTCTTCAGTTCAGAAACCTTTGTCTAGTTAATGAGACAAAACAGAAGTACCATATTTTTCGGACTAGAAGTTGCACTTTTTTCATTGTTTGGGTGGTCCTGCGACTTATATTCAGGTGTGACTTATATATTAAAATATATACATGTTCATTATTTTCACACTCACAGCCACGAGAGGGCGCTCTATACTTGAGTAACAGTATCTGTTACTCCTATTACTTCTGTAACACTGAAAATTTAAACTTTAAACATCAACTTATAAAGACACCCCACCCCACCCCCAAGCTGCAAGTAGAGATATATTCAGCTGAAAATGGTAACTGAGCGGCAGAAAGAAAGTCTGAAGTGAGAAAGTTGTGAGGAACAAAAACTGGAGGATACTTGAACTGCAAAGCTCATCGCGGGCTCAAAAGCTAGATGGCCACAGCTAGAGGAACAAGTTCACAAATGGGGTGCTTGAACAACGTGCTGCTGGGGCAGTTACAACTCCATTCCCAGGTAGTTGCCAAGGCGATGAATATAAATGACTTTGTGGAAGGACCTTCTTGGTGTTACCGCATCATGCCACAGTTTCATGCACTGCAGCCGCCTCTTTATCAGAGCACGGACAACAATGCCCCAAAAAGTGATTTAGTGATTTGTAGTGAGATGGAGAGTTTGGTAAACTTGTTCTGTTGTTTATGCTATATTTATCTGAAGAACTGTTCATTTGTGACGTTAACAGTCTGTTGTTCTCTCTTCTATTGTTATTACTACAACTTGACTTTCAACATGAAATGTCGGTTCTTGGTCTCAGATTTTAAAAAATAAATGTCCCCGAAAAAATGTCACTTATAGTTTAATGTGACTTATATATGTTTTTTTCTTCTTCATGATGCATTTTTTGGCTGGTGCAACTTATACTCCAGAGCAACTTAAAGTCCAGAAAATATAGTAGATATAATTTTTTTACAGTGACAAACCACAAGTGTCAGTTCGTGGTTATAATTCTCACCGAGGCAGCCTGCCGTCGGGCCTGCTCAATAAGCTCTCTGATCTCAGACAGGTTACGGCTCAGGTTTTCTCCCAGAATGCTCAGCGGCTTCACTCGTTCCATCAGGCGCTCTGAACGAAGCTCCGCCTCCTGCAGCTGTTTCTCCGCCTCATTGGCTGAAAACAGGAAACACCAATACACTTAGAGCATCAACTTATAATAGTTCATTTTCAAGTTAAGTTGTGTTATTGATGAAGATTATTTATCTCCACCACAGCAGCAGAACCAACAGCCTCCTCAACCTCTCCATCTCCTCCTCCCTTATGACATTTTTCAACATAATATCAGACCTGTACTGTCCGTGCTGCTCATGAGCTCGTTGGTCTGCTTCACAGAGTCGTTAGCCTTGTCCACCACAGAATGAGACACCAGCAGCTGCTCCCGGAATCTTCTGCAGCCTCTTCAGCGCCTCCTGCAGGTGGGAGTGGCTCTCTGTCTGAAGTTGTTTTGCCAAAGTCATAGAAGAACCTGATTCCACAAAAATAGTGGGTGTGTTGCTTTTCTAAAACATATCTTGGTCACAGCGTTTTAAGTATTTATTCATATTTTTACCATTTGAAATAGATTGCAGCTCTCTGATTGGTCGGCTCAGCATGGAGCTAGCGTTCAGGAAGTTCTGTCGTACCACTGCTAGTCGTGATGTTATGGAGGAGATATCATTCTGTAGGTCTGGAAGAACAATGGGACATTTGAACACTTTTATGAATCTTAATCAACATTTAACATGCTAACAGCACACTTCCTGATACTCGGACAATCAAACACTTTATAAGTAGATGTAGACAGTACTCAATAGTGGACATATTTAGACCTCGAGAGCTGCTTATACAATATATCTGTACAAGGGTCAATGTAGATGACGTGAATGTCAGTACAATTATTTCATGGTAATAAATCCAAAAGTTATTACTCTGTTCAAATATTAAAATGTGACAGAACACCACTATTATTCATTTTCATATATCTTATTTGTAAAAATATTGACCTTTATGAGTGATGTGACCTTTTACTTTGCCGCAAAAGTAAACAGAGGGAGAAATAGTAGCCATGAAAGAGAGAAAAAGACACTAGAGAAAAATGCAGAAAAAATGAAAAGAAAAGACAACGTCAAACTTAAAGAAAAGCTACTTAACTACTACTGGTGATGTACAGGCCAACACTATGGGTATCATTAAGAAGTTGCCGATACGATACAAATCTCAATAGCGCATTGTGCTTTTGATTTGATACGATACATTTCAAATTGATAAAATACGGAAAAATAACGTCGAAATGATGGTTGTGATACTAAAAGTCTCTGTAAAATCACTTTTTTGTGCAAAGTTCATAAGAAACACAAATATTAAAATCATGAAAACAGTGTTGAACTGTCGAAGGTGTTACATAAATGAGTTTCATTCCACTGAACAAACAACAAAACTGGAGCGCTGTAAGAAAATAACTTTGTAAAATATACAAATAAATACTCTTGGTGACATATCGATATAGCAGCCCATGACATCAATACTGTATCATCACATTAAACAATACAATATATCGATATTTTGATATTTTTGCACACCCCCAGAGAACATAGTAAATATATTGTTTTGTATTCTGTATTTATTTAAACCTATTGTGTGTAAAGCTGAGCCATTTTCTCTATTTGTATTTTAGTCTTCACTCTGTTCACGGTGTTGATGGAGTCGAAGGTGAATGAGAATAAATACTGACACACGATCATCAGTACGGAGCATGAAGTCCTTTAATTTGCAAAGATAAGTAAAAAAAAAAGTGAGTCATTATTACTAACCTGTAGCAGAGTTGTTAACCCTCTGACTCTCCTTTAAGACGGTGGAGCTGACGTTGAGGATGACTCCACTCTCCTTGGACAGAGACTGCTCAGAGAGGATGCTCTGAAAACGCAGAGTCATTTTTAAAAAATATCTGAACACAAAATCTCCTCTGTTCTGTTCGTGCATTCGTTACCATGTTGACGGCGATGGAGGCGGAGCTATCTGCACTCAACGCCTCCTGGTGGGCGGAGTTAACCTGCTCTGTTACGTCCGTGTCCAATCGGAAGAGACGAGTGCCGTTCTGAGAGAAGTTACACACCGCCGACAAGGAGCTGCAACAAGATAATAATTATTAAATGTGCCGTACATGATTTTTACTGTCTTAAAAATGTGAAAAACACAAGAAACTTATTTTAACGATTTGCTATGGTCCAATGTTTTTTCCACACTTTCCTAACGCATTCCTTGCATATCACATATTTACCACAGCGAGTTACAGTAAATGATGTTTTTCATAACTGTCAGAGGCCAGAGTGGAGTTTTGTTGCCAACTGTAGGATGCTAGCACTCAGAGGTGGGACCAAGTCGTTGTTTTGCAAGTCTCAAGTAAGTCTCAAGTCGTTGACCTCAAGTCCGAGTCAAGTCCCAAGTCAAGTCTAGGTCGAGTCTTGAGTCACTGACCCTTAAGTCCAAGTCAAGTCCAAGTAATTTCATGTCTTTAAACCAAAAAAGTACCAGCTATAGCTTAGATTTTTTTTTTTATTTATATGACTTTTAAACTAAACTGTACTTAAAAGTCATGGTATATTTATATATTTATAGATAGAGTATTTATATAAGAGTTGTAGAAATGCAAATTTTTCCTTTTTAAATGTCTTGACAACAGTGTGAGTACGGTCAGAATAGAAAAAAATTAAGATTTAAAAAAGCTTAATAACTTTTTTTTCCCCTCTGTTTTAATGTATTGTACTGTAGATTACTGTAGTAAATTTGATGACACCATATCACAGTACTTCAGTTCCATCCAAAGTAACAAACAGAAGTGAGAGGGACATGTTCCAGTTTGTTTCTGTAAAATTAATCACCGCATGCATCAACTGTAAAGAGAAAAGTATTTTCTAAAAACAGATATCATCTGTCAAGTCTTCTCAAATCACAGGCTACAAGTCTGAGTTAAGTCCCAAGTCTTTGACCTTCAGGTCCAAGTCAAATCCTAAGAGTTTGTCCATTTTATCATGTCAAGTCTCAAGTCCTAAAAATAGTGACTCAAGTCTGACTCGAGTCCAAGTCCCCACCTCTACTAGCATCACACCACTGGTTCGCAGACTATAAAAATGCCATATATTAGATGCAGACAACACATATCATTTTGAGCTGCTTTTACAATATATCTATATACATTTATACTTTATATCTATAATATACTTTATTACATGAAAAAATACAATTAAACTCAATGTATTTAACAAAGTAATGAGACCGTTATTAAATGATTCTGTAAGTGTCACCTTTGAAAGGAGAGGGCGTGGCCATGCATGGTCTGGGCATGGTTTTCTGCTCTGAACACCAACTCCAGAGCGTCTGTCCTCTTCAGACCGATCACCAGACCGTCCACCTGTTTCCTCAGCATGGAGCGAGACTGAGAGAGCTGCTCCGCCAACAGTTCCACCTCCTGGACACGAGCACGCATTACACCCATCAGGACACATACAGTACTATACGGTATGTCATGTGTCAGTGGATGATTTTTTTTACCGCTGTGGAGTTGGTGAGATCCTCTGTCAGGCTGAGCGTGTGTGAAAGCAGCAGCTGACTGTCCTCCATCAGATCATTCACTGAGTTAGTTCCAGAGTTGGTTTTCTCACTGAGAGACTAGAAAATAAAATGAAATGTGAAAGTGAACAGTGAATTTCATTTTATTTCAGAAATATTTGACTTTGGGGTAGTAAAACAGAAAAAAAAAAAAACAACCTATAAGTGACTTTATAGGGCAAACTCTTTATAAATACATTTTAATTATTCTTAAAGAGGGGGTATAACACTATTACTGTACATCGCATCAGATTATACTTTTTTTTTTGTATCATGCTTTCATATATTTATGGAACATGACTGTGTAAGAGCATGGGTGAATCTTGTGGGTTGAACTTTGGACTAGTACTGTTATAGGGCCCAGAAAAGATCGCTAGATTACACAAACATGCATGGACTTAACGCTTCAAGACCTAAGGGCAGTTTTAGTACATTTGCCCTCACCTTTTTTTTTTTTTTTTTTTATATTTTGCTGTTAAAACTGCCCCTTTTACCTGCTAATGAAGTGTTATACATCCTTTTATTCACTACAACCTGTTATTTCACAATCTGCTGCTGTAATTGTGTCATACGGCTGTAATAAAACCACCTAGAGGCCTCCAATCAATTTAATTTCTCTCCAGCAACTAGGTCAGGAATAAGAATACACTAGACGGTTTGCAAGAGCCCCAGAAGTACGAGTTCGGGCATCAGCCATTCACCGAAGAGTCATACATTCTGTGTTGGCAATGATTCCCGAGATCGAGGATTTAAAGCCGGAACAAAGAGAATGTTTGGTGAATTTTATCAAGGGGAAAGACGTTATTGTTCTTCTTCCTACGGGATTTTGGAAAAGCTTAATATACCACTTAGCCCCGTTAGTGGTGCATTACATATATCACGACCAAATAGCAGCAACTGGTTAAATGAAGAAAGTACCCGTCTAACGTCTATCGAGCGAACGAAATCTGAGGCTGTGAGGTCAGACAGTTTGTGCGAAGTGAAACAAAGTGAAACCGACTGATGAATCAGGCTAGTAATAAAAGCTACAGGACCAGAAATACAAATGAAAATAAATAAATAAATAAAATCCACACTCTTTCATATAAAATACATAGCAAACATGTATAAACAACTTTTTGTACATAAAAATGCTTAATTTAGGGCCTTAGCTACAAAAGTATAAAATATCAAGTCTGTAAATAAACTCAAAATCTCCTTATTGCCTCAAAACAAAAAAAGTGCAATGGCCCCATGACTTTCCTGGTGTCAGTCATGGAAACAGCTGGTGTCAGGTCCAGGACAGAGAGCCACATCACTTCCTGCATTTCCATGAGGTTTATTACATTTGGATTTGGACGTTTGGACTGAAATAAAACTTTCAAATAAAAAAAACAAGAGATGTGCAGTTACGCAGAACATTATGCGCAAGATGGATGAAAAATGGATGGAGCTGGGTATCATTAAGAAGTTGCCGATACGGTTCCTACCTCGATACAGTGAGTTTACAGTTCAGTACGATATATTTCAACGTGATTCGATACGGCTCAATAAATAAAGACTAAATGATGGCTGTGATACTAAAAGTCTTTGTTAAATCAATTGTAAACTTGTAAAGTGAAAAACACAATTCTCAAAATAGTCAATATTTCAAATGTGTCGCATAAACGAGTTTCTTTCCGCTAAACAAACAACAAAACTGTAGCTGTAACAAAATAATTGAGTAAATATACCAAAAAATACTCTTGGTGATATATTGATACAGCAGCCCCCGTTATTGATACCGTATCATCACATTAAACGATACGATATAACAATATTTCAATATTTTTGCACACCCCTAGTCAGGACCTTTGTTAATATGTTGATTAAGGCTGCCATACTTGTTGACAACAGTGTAAACTGGCACAGCAGTAAAGACATGAACGCTAACCTCGTAGTGGTGCAGTTTGCCGGTGGCTGTGTCCATCAGCTTGTGAGCCATCGTGTTGTGTTCTTCTGCGTCTTTCAAGTGCATTTCGGCAGACTTCAGAATGTCCATGTGAGCGGACATTTCAGACGACAAATTGTGAAGCTGTCTCTCCATTGTATCAGCTGAAGACAGGACGTCACGCATAGAGCTGGAGGTGGACTCAGACAAACTGAAAATACAATTTTAAAATGTTTTATATATATATATATATATATATATATATATATATATATATATATATATATATATATATATATATATATATATATATATATATAAAATACCTGATAATTTCTCAAATATAGGTATAGTTTTTTTTTCCTGTGGCTAACCTGAGCTCCTGGTTGGCCGTAGCGTTGGCGTACGACAAATCGATTGTTCTCATGAAGTCCACAAGTGACTCCGCCTCCTGGAGCATCTGCGTCTGATTGGTCCATTCAGGAGTCTTGGGGTTAGACTGGTTGAGAAGTTCCACCTCCTGGCTCAGCTCTAGCAAATCAGATTTTCACATGGGTAGAATTGCACCAGTTATTGTAATAAAAGTGGTACTATTTGTAGTAGTAGTTAGTAGTTTTCCATTCCTCACCTGTGACTCTCTTATTCAGTTTGTTGACGTTCTCCAGGAGCAGTGCACTCTGGGAAACGCTGTGCTCTGTTACCCCGCTCACTTCCTTCAAAAGTCCAGTGATCTCTGATGCCTGAAGAATTGCATTACAAATTCATCAATAAGAAAGAGTTTACATTTTGGATTTAATGTAAAAGCTGGTGGAGAGAAATACCTTCTTGGAGACCACGGTGAGCTCTGAGGACACTGAGGTCAGCTGATCCTCCACAGCCAATAGCGTCGCAGAGGGAGAGCTGGTGTTGGAAAAGGACTTCTGAAAAAACACAAAATCCACATAGCTGATTAATTCAATGATTTATTTCAACTTAATTTACTGATCAGTGGCGTTCATTGCCATATATAGTTTTTAATCTCTATGTCAGAATATTAGGAGGATGTGTCATATGCCTGTATGGTTCTTGTCCTGTTCTCTAGCGCCACCAGCTGGCTGTAGGGGGCCTTGAGGAGGCTGCTGATGTTCACAGATGACAGATGAAAGTGAAGATTGTCCAGTTCATCCAGAAGGACCCCAGTGCACTCATCATTACAGGCTGGAACAGAAAACAACATTTGAAAACATGTCTTTCACTTTTAAAATTGTGATTACATTTTAGTATTTAGCATGTATATGTAACACTGTAGTTTTTAGCAGCAGTGGATCATAAATTTATGTTCATGTCTGTACAACAAGGAAAAGTTTCAGTTTCAATTTTCAATTTCAGTTTGTAGGGTAAAAATCTTTAACTCTATGAGTGATGAGTGCAAAATATGAGCCCAAATATGAAAATGTTTAAACGTAGATATAAAGAAATGATTATAGCTGAAGAAGAAGAAATTTAAGTTCATTGGTCATCTGAATGTAAAGTATAACATTTTGAAATGCAGTTATTTATTTTGTATCTGGAGTAATGTAACATACTATTCTAAGGGTCTGGCAGAAGTACATTATTTATGTATGTATGTATGTATGTATGTATGTATGTGTGTATGTATGTATGTATGTATGTACGTATATATGTATTTATTTTATTTTATTTTATTTTTTTGGCAGATTATATTTGTGATTAGTACATTACATACATTAGTAATGTAAAATAATTGCCTTTATGTATCTCTTGATTACTGTTGGAACATAATGCAATTTACCATTTTTGAAATAGCCCCCCAAAAATATTATGATTACGATTATGATTAGGTTTCATAGATTGAAAAACTGAAAATAATCTTTAAAATAATTACTATTTAACAAAAAAGGTCAAAGGCACAGTATCCAATTTTTACTATCTTAAAAAAAACAATTTGCAGTGGTCCAAAGTTATTCCTTTCTTACCTTACACATTCTGCGCATCCTAATAACTAAGTTTATATACTCTTCTCTTAACTTTCATAGGCAGTCACATTAATGTGAACAACCACTAGCATGGTAATGCCGCAACAAGCCTTACTTTCTAGTTGTGGGGGATAAAAGTGATTTTTAATTAAATCTTTTACAATGTACCTACACTGGAAAAAGACAAATATGTCGTTAGTACATGAAACTATAGTGTTGAGTCTGTTGAAGGCGACTCACAGATGCAGTGTCCTGCTTCCATCACATGGCGCTCCTGGCACTGGTCGCAGCGCTGACCTCTCACCCCGGCCTTGCACTCACACTGCCCGCTGGTCTTGTTACAGGAGGAACTGAGCGCGCCCCACTCAGTGCAGCCGCACCGCTCACAGGCTCCACCCATCACTGTTGGGTTGCCATAGTAACCATCTGAGCACCTGAGGACAGAGGGGAGGGGCCACACGATGAGACACGTGCTTATTTTATATGGAGTAGGTTGCATTAACAGTCTATTAACTGATTTTTTGGCGCTCCATTTCCAAGCTCCATATTTTTATTACATTTGTTCATCTACTGAGTCAGTGTATTTTTCACAGTGTCATATGTCATAATTGCATGAGTGTCAGTCCCCTCACCTCTCACAGTGCTGTCCCTCATATCCCGAGCTACAGTTGGTGCAGATGTATCCGATGCTCGCCGCGGTGACCTCACACGTGGAGCTGAAGCTGTTCCCTCGGAGGGGACAGCCGCACAGGGAGCAGTCCGACACTGAGCCGTGCACGTTTCCATAGTAACCCGATGCACACAGCTCGCAGTTATGGCCGGAGGTGTGGTGGTCACAACCCTAAGACAGAAAAGAGATAGATTACAATAAATATGTTGTAAATCTATAATAATGTAACTTTTCCAGTGGACTTTAAGATACCTGCCTGTTTTTGCTTTGCTTGGAATGTTACACAATATGGCATTAAATGTATCTATGTAGCATTTACTCAATTACATGTTTTTAAAACTCAAAAATACCCTGAAAAACACAGTGGGAAAAGCGGCGCCCCAGCTTCTCTACATGGAGGCAGATAAGTTTAATGCCATACCGTGGCACATTCTAGGCACATGTTTCTCAAACTGTGCTCCTTGTTATGACCCCCACAAGGTGAGTCCCAACATATTTAAAAAGGACACAGGAGTCAAAATATAGCTCTTTAATTTATTTTATTTATCGTTGGTTCTTAATTTATTATATATATATATTTTTATGTTTTTAAAGAAATTTAAAAAACCCTCCCGTGCCCCCAAAAAATAATGAAAAGTAATAAACAGAAAGGTGGACCTGGCAAGCCGGCCAAACAGAACAAAAGGGTGCGATACCGGGCCAACCCTGTACAGGGCCATAGAAGCCGGTGCCAGCACCTGTAACTAAAGTAAAGAAAAAACCCAAACCAACCTGAACCCAAAAGAAACGCAAAAACAGGACAGCCGCTCCCACCAGGTCAAAACAAAAGGCTAACGGCTAACGAAGGCTAAATGGAGCCCACCCATCACCTGGCCGACAGGGGCGAGGCCACCCTCAGGGCGCGGGCACGTACTCTGGAGCGCACAAGGTGAGTGGGCTGGGTGGAGCCTATAAATACGGCAAACAGCTGTATTTATAGGCTCCGCACAGCCACACAAAAATAAACCATAAACAAAAATTATGCAAACTAATTAAGAACTAATTACAACTTATTACAAAAGGGAACAAAAACAACTAATAATCCGAATCAATGTGCCTGCACTCCTACACTCCTTCAGGTGATACTTGGACTGGAAAAGTCCTCTTTTATATTTGATTTAGACTTGGTGGTACTGGGAAGGCAAATCTTTTCTTTGGTGATGTGAAAGGTTCAGAGCCACTATTCTAAGTAAAGCAAAAACATCTTCATGTAGACAAGCAAGTGGCGGATATTTACACAGAAAAGTTACATAGTGCACCTTTAAACTAACATGGCGTTACATGCTGTTATTCTGACATGCCACTATTTAGATACTGATGTCTAATGGTCGGAGTAGTGGCATAAACATTATTTTTCAAGCGTTCCACTACTTCAACTTGCTTTTTTCATTGTTGGAGTAGCAGCACTTTACTATTTTTTTACATTCAGCTTTTCTGACATGAATAATATTAATGTAATAGCCTATTATACATTGCGCTCCCATATATCATAAGATGCTTGGGCCATAGCAAAACTCTTGATCAGAGAATACTTTGGCCACATATGATATTAGACAGAGGGAAAATGTCCTAACTAAGCCTTTGGGAAACAGTCGTGCAAATGAGTATACGCCAGCCTTCGGGAAAATATCTCATCTAAAACAGAGACTGTATGGGCCCTTTGTGCTTCATAATTTTTGTCATGTAGGTGCAGAGAACACCATACAGTCTAAATAAATAACAGCGAGAGACGCGCTTGGATAAAAAAACACGTGTCGGAATAGCGATAGTAAAAAGTGTGAGAAACTGGCACGTCTAAACAGAGGTACGTCATAAATAAGGGATGTCGGAATAGGTGGAGGACTCCCTAATATGGTAATAAATTGTAAAATAGATTAAATGTATTTTCCATTTAGTATAAACGTAGTGTAGTTTGTACCTGGCAGGCTCCCGTCTCCTGGTCGCACATCTGGCTGTGATTGTTGCATCGGCAGGGAACACAGGGCCGCACAAACAAACTCCGCTGGTTCCGAGGAGAGATTTCCGAGAGGGGCTGTCGGAAAAAACCTGGTGCACATTCCTGGACACGAGAAAAAATTCCCAACATAATTACTTTTTCCTTTTTTTTCCTTTACTTTATTTTCGGTTTCATTTTCTACACAGTCTAGATTTGAAAATGTTATCAAATGTGTTTCTTACCTGACAGGACAGACCCGAGTAGCCCCACGGACAATCGCACGACTCGATTTGTCTGGCCACACCCCCTGTGACCTCTCCTTCCTCCTCAACTGCGGTTTCCATGGTGATATTGGAGATCCTACATAATGCCAAGTGAGTATTATGTAACATATTATCAGTACCTAAGGTGATTTTTATATTAACCTGCTCTGTTGTAGGCGGCTCCCATAAGACGCTTTGACGATGATGTACTGAATGTTACTTAGCACCATCATGAAGTCAGATCGAGTCACTGCTTTTTCACTGACCGAGTTAAAGTAACGCCAGCGATGCTAAAAAAACACACAAAATATCAACTATGTACTTTTATATTTATACTAAAACTACACTGAATGGGTTTGGAGGTACCTCTGTTAACCTGATGTCGTGTCTCGCTCTAACTCCGTTGCTAGGCGCCGGCATGTCGGTGTAAATGACCAGCTTCCTCAAAGTCCCGCCTCTCATCAGCACCTGAGGCTCCTGATTGGTCAAGCCCTGTCCGTCCTCTGCGTAGAACACAGCGGCGTAAGACAGCGTTCCTCCATATGACAGTAACTGGAAAAAATAAAACAAATGATTTTAACTATATTTTCTATTAATTTAAAGTAGGGGTACTACACTTCTCTGTGGAATAAACTGCAAACACATAACATATTTAGATCATCATTAGGGCCGGGTATCATTAAGAAGTTGCCGATACGATACATACCTCAATACATAGGCCACAATACGATACTTTTTTCTATTCGATAGGTTTCAGTGAAAAACAAAAGCTAAATCATGGCTGTGATACTAAAAGTCTGTATTAAACCATAAAGTCTGTGCAAAGTCCATATGACAAACACCCATTTTACTCAAAACTATGAAAATCTTACACAAAATAATTTAGTAAAATATACCTAAAAATACTCTTGGCGATATATCGATACTGCAGCCCACGATATTGATCTAAAACAACATCTAAAGCAATTTCAGGCATGTTTTTGATGAGGGAACATTATAACATGGTAGAAAACAAGAACATCAATTTTATATAATAGCCCTCTTTAAGTGTGTTGTAATTTTAGTCTATGAAAATGTAGTCAACTAAATGTGTAATTGTTTTAATCACATAACACTTAAATACTTAGTTTTAGTCAGAAAAAATATGACATTTACAAAAACTATGAAAATATACAAAATACAAAAATATATGAGTAGGCAAAGTGAACACTGGTTGAACAACGATATGGTGGTGCTCATGCGAGTGTGTATAGAACTAAATGGTGCAGTTACCTTTTTGCCAGTGAAGACGTGAGGTAGTTTCCAATAGAGGGGTCCAAATAGGCCTGAAGTCTCCAAGTGTCTCATGTCCAAAAGAACATCTCCATCTTGTACAAACACTCCAGACAACACACCCTTCAGATTCGACTGAGACACCACCGGCAGCACTGAGGGAGAGGGCACCAAGAGCTGAAAGGAGCAAAAGACAATATCATATAAATACTACCTTTAATATAACTGTTAAATTGTTTAGTTATTGGTCCTGTACCAGATTTTTTCCCAGCTAGATTTGACCAAATTCTTGTCACAGTATAGAAATACTGTATAAGCAGCTCTTGAGATCAAATGTTTGATTTTACTGTCCGATAATCATTGTGTGTTAGCATTTTGTAGTTGTTGGCTTTACCATCGCAGCAAAATACTGTAAAAATACTTATAAACTCCTTACAGTGAATGAATGGGATGCTTGGAATGGATAAGGTAAGTGAGGAATAACTCTGGACCACTGCAAACCGTTTAAAATGAACTTTTTATGTTTTTAAGACGGTAAAAATCAGGTACAGCGCCTTTAAGTTTGAAACAAATTTTAACAAAACAAAACACAACAAGATGATAAAACAACACAACATACAATAAAAACAGCACAGAGTAAAAAGTAAAATGTTTTAAAAGTTAGGTAAAAACTAAAAACGGAAACGGTTATCGACATATATGTATAAAGATATAAAAGAGGACACATGTCTGTGTACCATTTGTTCTTTTGAATTTAAATTAAGAACAAAAATGAATCAAATGGGAAAAGAGTTTGTTATTTAATTTTTCCATTTTAGTGTCAAATACATATAATTCAATTTTGATATTTTATGCCCAGGAAGTTCAGCTGCTAGAACGACTTACCTGAAAAATCGTTGCAATTTTGTGGACAAACATGTCCTCTTCTTTTATAGTGACTATCATGATGACTGTTAGTAGTTTAAAATAAACTTTAAATTAAATATTGGAAATGGAGGTCGAAATCATTTTTTTAATTTTTGACACTAAAACGGAATAATGAAATAACAAACTGTTTTCTCATTTTATTGTTTTTTTGTTCTTAATTGAAATTCAAAAGAACAAATGGTACACGGACCAACACAGTTTCCCTCCACGCATTCCACCCTCTCCGGGATCCTCTCACATCCTCTTCTCCTCCCCCCAAAAATATAAGAATTGATTATTTTTAAACATGCAGATTTTGTTTCATATCTTACGTTGTGTCTTCCAACATTCATAGAACAATAGTTACTCTGTTACCTTTAGTCTTATGTAAAAGGTGTGGAGTACCTGAGTCGTGGTGAAGCCTCCCTGCTCCTCACAGTCCTGGCTCAGTCCAGAGCAGTAGCACTGGGAGCATCCTTCAGGGTTCAGAGAGGAGAGAGCGAACCGCCCAGACACACACTCTTCACAGCGACGCCCCGATACCCCCGACTGAAAAAAAATCACAACAATTCAAAAAACTAATCGTAAACATTTTCAAAAGCAAATTCCTTTTTCCTCTTAAATCTAGTTCTTGTTGACCTTGCAAACACACTGTCCGTCCTGGAGACAGTCGCATATCCCTGTGGTCCCGTTACAGAACTCTTCCTCCGTGCCCGCAGGGTCACACCCACAGGGGGCGCACTCGGGGTAACCATAGTAACCAGGGGCACAGCGGTCACATGAGCTGGCCCCGAAGCCCTCTCTGCAGCTGCACTGTCCGCTGCTCAGGTCGCACTGGGAGGTAAAGCTGCCGGATGAACTGCAACTACACGACTATGAGAAAATATGGGCAAATTAGAAGCATTTTAAAGGAAATGACATTCTATTGTATAAATAAAGAGTGTTTTTTATCATTGTGGTATCAGAATGGGTATTTAGAGTCTATTCCTTATTTGAGTGGGTGTGTATTTATATAACTTACTTGGCAGCCAGTCACCGGGTCGTGGCCCCAATGGTCAGGTTTGCACTTTTCACATTTCGCCCCCTGTGTGTGTGCAGGGCAAATGCACTCTCCAGTCTCGGCGTTACAGTTGCCTCCAGTGTGGGCACAGTTGCATTCTGGGATATCAAAATGAGCAGTCAGACAGATGAACAAACAAGAATAAGACAGAATATTTTGTTGTTTGTGGAGGAAATTATTTATGTGCTACTTGCGTCTATTCAAATTTCAAACTAATTTCTAGTGTGTCCGTACCTGTGCACCGTCCGTCCAGGTAGTTGTAGTATCCGCGAGCACATTGGTCACACTTGTCTCCGCCCACGCCCTCCACACACTGGCACCGCCCCTCGGAATCACATGATTCAGACACAGAACCCGATTTCCTGCAGCTGCACGGCACACAGCCCTGTCCGCTTTCGACGCCGAAGAAGCCAGACTGGAAAACAGGAACAAAAAGATCATAAGGAGAAGAGTGTATATACGTATTGGAGTTTTGTGCAGCATTTAGCAGATCAGTAGACTGTCATCCACTGCAGGGAACAGTGGGGGGTTACACTAAAATGGCTAATTAAATTGAAAGTCCATAGTGAATTGAATAAGTCTGGTGGAAGTTAAGCCACCGTTATCTTTACCTGTTTTATACAAATATTATTTAGAATTTGAAAGTCTTTTAATTGTTTACAGTGTTTTCCATATAAACCAACCTGTGGAGAATGAAAACCGGGCACCACAAATTGATTATCCCTCTTTTTTTGCAACATGATTGTGTCATTCTCTCATTTTACGAGCCACGAGCCATGTAAAATGAGGTGCTCTGACAGGACACGCAAGTTCTGCACCAAACAGGCTAATGTTGTTTCACTATTTAATTTAGTCACCTTGTTGTCCCTTTAGTAGTTTCTTATGTCTAATTATAGCATTTTATTTATTTCATTTGCACATAAAAAAGTTAAGCAATAGCAATAGCAAGGTCCTGAGTTAAGAATTTGAAATAAAAAACCTCAAGATTTAGTAGTTTTTTTTGTAATTCATTTCTTGAATGTCAAAGAATCTAAAGATCAAATAAAAACTAAACTTTAACATTAATTTCAGTAAGTAATTCTCAACATAAAACTTAAAGAACTGGTCTTCCTCTCACATAATTTCTATGAGCAAATTGTACATGCGGGGTGGAGCATCGCTGTCTGATGGGGGACCAGGGAAACACTGGTTTATATTGTATTACTGAATAAAAGTAATTTCATAATGAACAAATATATGAAAGAGGGAGTATTACTGTTAATCCTTAAGAGCGCTGTCACATTACAATTGTCGTGCATTAACTACCTGAAATGAAATAACTAAATAAATATATACGGTACCATGCAGCGATCGCAGGCTCGGCCCTCCACGTTGGCCTTGCAGTCACAGCGCCCAGTGGACACATCACACACAGAGGACACAGCTCCGTATACGTCACAACCACATCCTGAAACAGAGAATGGACAAATAATTATATCACAATTTCTCTTTCGCTTTAGAGTTTAGAAGTGAACTTTTGCAATTAATGCAGTTAATTCATTTTTTTTACTACATTAACATTACTACATATTTTTAACTTCCATATTCAAACAAGTGGAACAAAATTACAATCGCAACTAATTGGATTTTTAATTTAAAGGGCCCATTTTAGACTATTTTCAGATTTATGTTGTAATATTATAGCAAACAGACCTGGAATAGGGCTGGGTATCATTAAGAAGTTGCCGATACGATTAGTGCTGTCATGTGATTAAAAAAATTGAGAGATTAATTAATGATCTGTAATTAATTAATCTAATTAATCTCATTTTAATCTCACCTAAAAATTGCTGAGAAAAGCCTTCAATTTGAGGTATTTTCATTTAAATTCATTATTACATTATTGTGGCAGATCAAAAGACTGATATAGAACAAAAAAAAGTGACTTTATAAAGTCATTTATTGTTTAACAAATCTCCCCAAATTGGCTGTTGAGCCCAAGTCTCCATGAATAAGAAACTGTTTGCTGTAAAGTAGCAAAGACGAGGAAATCTGAACATGATAACTTTTGTCTACTTAAAGACAATAAAAAGTCCAGTCTTTCCTTAACCATATTAAAAATATTATTGATAGAGAAATGCTTTATATATGAGATCACTGGTTTTAGTCCTGGTTTTAGTCCTGGTTTAGACCTGCTTTAGTCCTAGTTTAGTCCTGGAATGGATTAATCCTGTTTTAGTCCTGGTGTTAGTTCTGGTTTAGTCCTGGTTTAGACCTGGTTTAGACCTGGTTTTAGTTCTGGTTTTAGTTCTGGTTTAGTCCTGGTTTAGTCCTGATTTAGTCCTGGTTTAGACCTGGTTTAGACCTGGTTTTAGTTCTGGTTTAGTCCTGGTTTAGTCCTGGACTGGTTTAGTCCTGGTTTAGTCCTGGACTGGATTAGTTCTGGTTTTAGTCTTGGTGTTAGTTCTGGTTTAGAGGCGCACAGGAGGAAGCGCGGTTTACGCAGCGTAGCGAGAAAACACGATCCACACGCGGCGCACGGGAGCACGTCGGTGTCCGCGCAGTGTCTACGGAAGGAAACGTGGTCCGCGCGTTCTCAGGTTAATGACGATGATGAAGGTGTGTGTTTGTGTGTGTGTGTGTGTGTTTGTGTATAGGACAGTAGTGCAGACATCATGAGCCTATGCAGGTTGTTTTCACCAGTGACATTTAAGTTGTAGGCGATTTTATATTTTTTATTTTCTTTTATATTTCACGTCGGGAGAATAATTTCCAAGACACGAATGTGTTTTTACCTGTGCACTGCTGCTCTGTTCTACTGGCTCTTCCACCTCGTCCATTATGCGACTGACGCCGTCAACGTTAACGACGTTTACGTCGCTCTTACTGCGCGCGTTCTGTTTGGGTTTCCGGCAATGAGTCGAATTACCGAAATAAAAAAAATTATAAATGTGTTTTTTTGTGTGTGTGTGTGTGTGTGTGTGTGTGTTGTTGTCCCAACAACACATAAAAACAGGTTTTATAATAAAGCAACTCGCATACAGAAACACTAAAGTTAGAGATTAAAAATGAGATTAACGCGATTAAAAAACATAACGCGCTAAATATGACTGTAATTAATTAATCGCAATTAACGCGATAATTTGACACCCCTAGATACGATACATACCTCGGTACACAAGCCATATGCTTTTCGATACAATACACTTTCAGTATACAATTCAGTACGATTCAATACAATATATTTCAAATCGGTTCGATACAGTTCAGTAAAAAACAAAGACTAAATCATGGCTGTGAATGATACTAAAAGTCCACAAAGTCTACTAAGACTGTTAATATGAAAAACACCCGTTTTACTCAAAACAATAAAAATGTCAACACAATTGTAGCTCTTAGACAAAATAATGTAGTAAAATATACCTAAAAATGCTCTTGGCGATATATCAGTACAAGACCCCACGATACTCCCCTACTGTATCATCAAATTAAATGATACAATATTTCAAAATATAAACAGTATATTCAATTTTTCAATATTTTTTCACACACCCCTAACCTGAACTTGTGTTTTGTTTCATTCACACATGTTTCATACATAAACCCTCTATATTTAGGTTGAGCTCTTTTCTCAAATAGAAAACACTCTGTTTCACCTTGTGATGTGGTGATAAAGGAAGTGCTCCACTGTGTTTTTAAACTCCATACACCTTCACTTGAATCATTTGGATGATTTAAGACTTGGAATTGACCATCTCTACACTGCAAATTTCTCTGATCTGGCCAAGATTTTAAAACTTACATCAGGTTATTCATCTTATTTTCAGATTTATTATCTACTTACTAGACCAGAGACTGCTTCATTCTAGTATAGAGGTTGTTTATTTTAAGAGAACTTGTTAAGTAAAATGATCTTGCTGTATAGACAGATCAAGTCATTTTCTGATAGATTTAAGTGTTTATATCTTACATTTTGGCCAAGCTTTTTTGCAGGGTGCTGAACTAAAGGTAAAAGGTAGCTGTTAACTTATACTACCACTACATGACATCACAAGGTGGAACAGAGCATTTCTAACTTTGGAGATGTAGACTAATAATGCAGGATTATTCAAACATATGTGAATGAAACAAAACCATACTCCAGGTCTGTTTTTGAGGAGGTAAAGTCATTCTAACATGGTTTTTAAAGCTCACAAGAGTCAGTTTTGCGTAGTATTGTACCTTTAAATCTTACACTGTTTTATCCACCTATTCCATGTACTGTCAAAAGTTAAAAGCCACTATAGATTGGTTTTCAAAACAATTGATTACAACATTTAATAGTAATCCCCATCTCCTGATTTGACACCTGTTCATTTACCTGTATTGCCTAATATTTACTAAACTTCATAAATAAACTCTCTGACACCAGGAAGTGCAGTGTCCCCCATGTGAGTGCCTTTCGGGGACTCTGAGGTCGGGGCGCCGTAATCCCCCGTGGCCCCCGACGCACAAAGCCCTGTTTCTACTGGTCAGTGCCTGAATAGAGTCATGTGACCGGGGGAACAATGGGGTCAGAGGTCAGGCGTGATGTGGATTAGACAAATCTACATTCCTGCCCTGTGCTCCGGTGGAACCAAGGCCTCCAGCTCCACAGACTAAACAGGGCCCTGAGGAGACTAAGATAACGCTGATAAAAGCAGCCACAACAGTCACTCACTATTTTGAAAGATTACAGCGGATATTATAGTTTCCTTCACAAATGTGTGCCAAGATTCATGGTCTAAACATTTGTATTTGGAGTAGATATTTTGGCTAGAATAAATGAAGGGCCCTGAATTACTGAATTACTAATTAGTATATCAAAAGGTGTATATACATTTTCAAGAGGAGGGTATGCCACTATGGAGGAACAAAATGACATAATTGGAAATAAATACAAAAATAAATGCTGGAATGTATTAAAAAATGTGGAAATAAATACATGTAAAAAGAATAAATTTGTAAGGAGAATTAAAATCATGAATTAAAAAGTATATATATATATTTTTAAAGTATATAATCTTTAAATAAGTAAATATACAAAAAAATAAATACATGTATTCATAAATATATTAATACAGAAATGTAAAATATTTTATTGAATATTTTAGCTTTTTAATACACAAAATGTATGCATTAATGTGTACATTGAATTTAATTAATAAATATTATTTATTTATATATTATATATTTATATATATATTTATTTACACATTTATTTTTATTCACAATACATTAAATAAAAGTACATTTATTCTTGTACTTATTTATTTCCAATTATGTAATTTTTGGTTCTCCATATGCACAAGTCTATGTTGTTTAAAGCCATTTTATTTGTTTTTAATTGGGGAAATTAAAATTAAAAGTTGAAAATCATGATTAATTAATATGAGAAAAAGCATTTTTTTCATATATTTGTATGTTCTTGTTCCTATTCCTTTACTTTCAAGAGACTTTTTAAAAGCGAGATACAGTTTCATTTCACCTTCCTTTTCTGATGAATAAAAAGTCATTGTAAAGAACATTCCTCAAGAGCATCTTGGTTAAAAGTTTAAAAAAAAACAACACAAAATATGGTGACCTTCAGATTGACACAAAGAGTTCCTGAGCACTGAGGGAAGCTCATATCAGGACAAATGTTTCAACCATCTTCGACCTTCATCTTCAAGAGACTAAACTAATGATAACTGCCTTTTCTTGAACTGTATACAAAATCTTTTCTAACACGAGAAAAAAGAAAAACAGATGTCTAGGTTGTCTTTTATTGTATTTTATTCATCAGGGAGAATTTGGTCCTGTATTTAACGTTGTACAATGCAACTATCTGGTGGAAGGTCTGCCACCTGCTTGTCTCCATGGAGATGTTATTTCTTTGCCAACAATGTTCCACAGTATGGCATACCACCAGGCTAAGTTACAAGTCAGCTCCGAGGAGAGGCATCCTCACTCACAGTAAGAAGCATGTTTTAAAATATCTGTAACTCTAACGATATATTTCTAACAATACCTAAATATAATATCATACTGTGGAACATTCCAGGAAATGCAATAACATCTCCATGGAGACAAGCAGATGAGAGACCAGAAAAGTAACACAGTGCACCTTTAGGAAGACTTATTAGACTTAGACTTAGACAAACTGTATTGATCCACAAGGGAAATAATTTGGACAGTTATTTTATTTTTGGATTAGTTAAAAAAGTGTGAACCATTATTCACCTCTAACTGGCTATTTGCTCCTTACCTGTGCAGTTTTTGGCGTGCAGGGCGTCGCCGTAGTAACCATCCCGGCAGCGCTCGCAGTGGTGTCCCGCGGTGTTCCGGGTGCACAGCAGACACTCCCCGGTCACACGATCACAGTGCCCCGTTTCCTCCCAGTTCACGTTCCCGTTACACTCACACCGCGAGCAGGACCCGCCCAACACCTGCGGGTTACCGTAGAAACCACTGGCACATCTAGAGAAACAAGAAAGAGGTTTGGTGTCAACAACTGCTTTTAAAGATGCATTATGTAACTTTGCTTACCTTATGAAAATGCTATTGCTTTACCTGAAATATTCCACAGTACAGTATTAAACTTAAATTAAACTTTTATTCATTGACATACCGTACATTGGCCTGGTGGTGTTGCTTGTCTCCATGGAGATAGATATATTTTATGTTGTACTGTGGAACATTCAGGCCATGTATAATTCTATGAGCAATTTGAAGTTATAGAAAGGAAATCATGTTAAAGGTACAGTGTGTAACTTTTCTGGTGGAGGGTTCGTCAAATGCTTTTCTCCACGTGAGATCTTATTGCTTTGTCTATAATGTTTCACAGTATGGTATTAAACCTTTCTATCTTCATGGAGACCAAATCAGATTATGTTACAGGTCAAATCTGTGGAGAGGCGACCCCGCTCACAGTCAGGATGTCTGTTTTTCTAAGTATTTTTTTAGCTGTAAAACTACCTGTAATTGAATAAATGTAAAGTAGAGCTGTTTAATGTCACACCATGGAACATTCTATGCAGAGCAATGACATTTCCATAGAAACAAGGAGGGTTTTTTTGTTGCAGTTTTTGTTTTTATAGGAGCAGTGATTACAAAAATATGAATCATAAACCAGGTCAAACATCATTCATATATGATCATTTTTAAAGGCTCCACCTCAATTTAGACTTACATAGACTTAGACAAATTTTATTGATCCACAAGGGAAATAATTTGGACCCAGGAGCTCACACATCACAATATAATATATAATAACAAAGAGAAAATATATTAATGGTAATAATCAATTACATAAGGGTGAGTTGTTGTACAGTTGTAGGGAGTATTATCTGTCCCTTTGTAGTCTGGTGCAGTGGGTGAGTTGTTGTACAGTTGTAGGGAGTATTATCTGTCCCTCTATAATATAGTCTGGTGCAGTGGGTGAGTTGTTGTACAGTTGTAGGGAGTATTATCTGTCCCTTTGTAGTCTGGTGCAGTGGGTGAGTTGTTGTACAGTTGTAGGGAGTATTATCTGTCCCTTTGTAGTCTGGTGCAGTGGGTGAGTTGTTGTACAGTTGTAGGGAGTATTATCTGTCCCTTTGTAGTCTGGTGCAGTGGGTGAGTTGTTGTACAGTTGTAGGGAGTATTATCTGTCCCTTTGTAGTCTGGTGCAGTGGGTGAGTTGTTGTACAGTTGTAGGAAGTATTATCTGTCCCTCTATAGTCTGGTGCAGTGGGTGAGTTGTTGTACAGTTGTAGGGAGTATTATCTGTCCCTCTATAGTCTGGTGCAGTGGGTGAGCAGGAGTGTCCATGATGGAGAGACGTTTGCTCAGTGTTCTCGTGTCCCTCACTGTGACAAATGTCTCCAGCTCACAAATGATCACGTGAGCAGCTTTACGGATCAGTTTGTCAATCCGCCCAATTGTGAACTCTGACCTCTTTAGAATGAACGACATCAAGTGAATGCACCTCAGGTCCTATTACTACACTAGTATGTTTTAAGTGTCTACTGTGTAATATAATGTAAAGCGTGCACACTCACCTCTCACAGTTGTTGCCGGTGTAGCCCTCCTGACACTGGTCACATGTCACCTGTCCATTAGACTGGAGGAGGCAGGTGGGACTGAAACTGCAACACAAGGCAACATAAATACATTATACATAAAGATTACAGTAATAGTATTAATAATAGTACTTGTCAAATCATTGAAAAGTACTTTTGTCTACCAGATTGTCACCATTAGAAGCGCGTATGACAGGTTTTCATGTTTTTCTACTTACTATTATATGTTTAATGGTGTAGTATCTGTGGTCAATATTTATCTGGGTTTTACATCGGTTAAGTGGCAGTTTGTGAAAAGAAAATTATAACAAAAATGACAGAAATACAGGAAGTAGCGTTGAGTTGTTAAGTTAACAGAATACCTTTACCTATCTCGTCAACACAAAATAGAGACCATGCCTTTCTCGTGCATAAATGAGAAAGGCATTTTTTTGGACAGTTTAAGCCTTCATTTAACAAAATAAAAGTGTTGTCATTTATTTTTATTAGTTTAATCATAACTATTATGTAATTTGTGTAGATTTGGCCTTAAATATNCCAGGACTAATCCAGGACTAAACCAGGACTAAAGCAGGACTGAACCAGGTTTAAACTAGGACTAAACCACGACTAAACCAGAACTAAAGACCTGGTCTAGACCTGGTCTAGACCAGGTCTAAAATCAGGAGTAAACCAGGTCTAAAAATCAGGACTAAACCAGGACTAAACCAGGTCTAAACAACATGACACCTAACAGTAGGTTGACATTATTTAAGGTGATCTCATATAAAAAATAATTTCTCTATCAATAATATTTTTTAATATGGTGAAGGAAAGGCTGATCTTGTTACTGTCTTTTAACAGACAAAACCTCTTATATTAAGATATCATGGTCTTTGTTTCTCTACAGCAAACAGTTGCTTATTCATGGAGACTTGGGCTCAGACAATTTGAAGACAACAAACAAGAATTTTCAGGATGTGGTTGCTACATTCATGTCGTTTAAAAAAACATGACAATATCAAGTAATCCAAAGTAATCAGATTACGTTACTCACTTTAAGTAATTTTATTGATTACATTACAAACTACATTTTGGGGTGTGTAATCTGTAATCTGTAGGGGATTACATTTTAAAAGTAACCTTCCCAACACTGCTAAGAACTCAAACATACTAGTAATTTTTATTTGTTTTATTGACCCATGTTTTTTGAGTAATGTTACTTATAGAAGCTGGTAAGCATGTGGCACTAAAAAGAAACTATATACTGGTCAATGCAAAGCCAATATACGCAACAGCTTTCATGTGTTGTTTTGTAGAATTTCCTACTGAACAGATGCGTGCAAAGTGTAATGTCAGTGTGGATATACGATGTGTATTGCTTGTTTCGAGTGCGTCGCTTTCACTCTCTCTCCCTGTGATATCTGCAAATAGACTAGACCACATTCCGCTGTGTTTTGACAGCCACAGAAATGGAATCATGCAAAACAAAGCAACCACAGTCGCTTTAATAATGGGACTAATGCGTTCACTCAAGCATTGTCAAAACAAACGGCCATCAGAGGATCCAAGGAAAAGCACTTTTTAACCGAGCAGCAATATTCTACCATACTGTTACAGAATTATCCACAGGCAAAGTGCAATAGCTGTCAGTCTTGGTTAAAATGCATACATCGCCAAACATTGTGCATCGCTTTTATTATGAGTTTAGTGAAACAACTGCATAAAATTATACAGCAGTGTGCCAGTAATAGGCAAAAGGTAATGGGCCATCTTTTTCAGTTCCAATACCAATTCCAATACTATAGCTTTAACTGCCAATAATTGATATAAGAAAAGACTGAAAACAGCATTTATTTATTTAAAACTAAATAAAATAATACAAAACTGATCCAAATGTGTTATTTAACTGTTATTTATCCCTCAAAAAACTACAGAACAGCTTTGTATAAATAAAAATTCAATAAATTGTTAGAATTTCTATGCCCACTACAACCAGTAAATATTAGGCATGTAACAGTAACCGAAATATCGTGATATCGTATCATCAAAGTTCTCACAGTAATATCGTGGACCATCACAATATATCAAGTCTCTTTGCTTAAATTAAGAGTTATGGTGCAGCAACAGCTAAAAAAAGACAGAAGGAACTACATAGACCATGATCCTTTGCTCGATTTCAGTGCAGACTACAAGAAGAAATAACAGTTCTAATCACTTTTAAGTCTTAGTTCTTTGGATTAAGTCTTGTCAAGGCATTTTAAGAGAAAAAGTAGCATATTAACAGTTTTAGCCTCCACAAAATATCTCAACAAATATCATACCGTGAGATGTGTATTGAGAAAATATCGTATGGAGAGATTTGTATATTGTTACATCCCTAGTCGTGAGCCTCTCCACCATATCGTGAGCTTTCCCATGATATCGCAATCAATTTTGTACGGTGAGGTTCATACCGTGACGATATCCTATTGTGAGACTTGGATATCGTTACACCCCTAGTAAATTGAGTCTTATTATGGTACATCGTTGTAAATGTTCAATCAGGATATTGGCTGAACCAATAATGGGAAGTCGATATTCGTTCCAGCAAATTTCTCAGTATTGGCATCGATTTCCAAAACCAGTATTGTATCGGTGCATCTCTAGTATCAGTGGTCAGTAATGGTGTCACAATGCAAGGTTATGACATGATAGAATGAAGCTGCAATCTGCTTGCACTTCTTGTTTTGTTGTTGAATAGTTTTCTGCTTTCATGGCTCATAAGTGTTGTTTTGTAGTGTTTTGTAGTCCAACAGATTTTGCACTATAACTATACCCAAGAATAAGCTTTGTGAAGGTAGTAGAAATAGAAAAAATGCTGTGTTCTCATTCTTGCTGCAACGTGAAAGTGTAAATTTGCTTGATTGTAGGACTGGGGGCATTCCATCCCAGCTTCTGCAAAACAAAGCAAAGAATATTTTTAGCAGCAATATGAAGGCGACATAATATGAGTCCCACAGGCTACAGCGTTTATTAGACATTTCAAATTTTTGTGCTGTAATATCAAATTAGGGTGCAGATCTGTCTTTAGTGTTAGTGCATAAAAGAGGTAGGCATTTATTGAAACTTTTACAAGACATTGAGTTGATTTAAAGAGTAGATTTATTATGGTGGTTGTAAGGTGAAAGTGCAGGTTTTTGTTGAAAAAAATGTACTCTTACACTGAGAGCCTAACTTCATGTTCTGGCTCTACTCTTTAAAGGCCCTGTATGTATTCAAGCTAATTTAGTCTGCTTGCCCAAATAATAAGTCTGCTGTATGCTGTTTCTGCATTTAATTAGAAAGCATTTTATTGTCTGATAATTAGGAAGTGCGTGTTAGCATGCTACTTGTTGTTGTTAGCTTTACAGTCTCAGCATAAATGGTCTCAGAGAAAAATGGATTATAAACTCTTCCTTGTGAATAATTAGGATGTCCATCGTATTGCTTAACGTTCTTGACTTTGAGGAAATGTTACTCTGTTGTTACCTGATTAAAAATATGCTCGAAGTTGTGTTTTGCTTCATTCACACATATATTTTTGTATATTTATGTATTTATTTGGGCAAATAGAGATTTACATTCTTATGCAATGGAACATAAGTGAAATCATAATAGAAATGAAAATAACCACAACAAAAAATTTGCCCAAAAGGAGTGGGAAGAAGAAAATGTATTTAATCCCACCCCCACTCTTCTAATCTAACACGATGAGCTTTCTTTTGCATTTTTCAGACAGTTTGCATTAAACTATATGAACTATTTACAAGTGCGGACAAAGAGTCATTTTTATAGCTTGGTAGTGTAACATAATCATACCAACAATTGTAAGGTTAAGGATACAGACAATGGTAACTGACAACAGATACAAGTGATGTAAAGGATGGCACAAACCAGCAATGGTAAAGGAAACAACAAACATAAAGCAGCGCTACAAAAGGAAGCATTGTTCTAATGTTAAGACCCACTCTCTATTCACTGTGACCATATGTTTATAGAACAACTTAAATTTATGGATATTTTGGCATTGCTTGAGATCCAGACTCTTCCAGAATTTTACACGACATACAGACACACAGAAACTTTTACAGGTAGTTCAAACATGTGATGGAAATTTATATTTGTGGAAAGATTTCTCTCAATCTGTCTTTGTGTAAATGAATGTGATTTGTACCCGAGACCAGACCCCCACAGAAAAATATTGATCATGATTGATTAAATTAAAATAGTGATTAGTTTGTCTTTTAGAAACACATTTGGTCTTGTAACTAAAACTCATTTGATTTGTTAGAAAGACCCTTCATTGTAACAACTTCTGTTCCCTTTTGCTTGCTAATCTTGTTAGGAAGTGATAAATGCATGTGAATATGGATGTAAATCAGATCAAGCACATCTGGCCACACCTCAGTAGGAGTCATCACCTTCTCACTTTGAAATGTCATCTCAGGCTTTATAAACTTGGTGGGGACATACTGCTGGTTAAGAGAGGCTGTTGGGCTCTGGCCAGGGCAGGCCTAGGCCCTGTCCATATCTGCTGTAACCTTGGTCTATATTCCAAACACTCATTGGGCTTTGCAAATGGATTCATAATTGATCTTCAAGAGATATATCATTTTTCCACAACAAATATTATACATGTTTTGAGTAAACTTGGTTTATTAGTCTGCCTATATCTCCAAAGCTCAAAATGCCCTGTTGCATCTCTGATGTCATGAAGTAGTAATTTATAAGTTAACAGCTCCTTTTACCTGTATTACAGCAAAGATTGGCAAATCCAGATCTTAAATGATCCAAATGATTGTAGTGAAGATGTAAGGAATTTAAGAACACAGTGGAGCACTTCCTGTATTACATGACATCACAAGGTGGATCAGAGTGCTTTCAGTTTGGGAAAAGTAGTCAGCCTAAATATACAGGATTTGTGTGTAAAACATGTGTGAATGAAACAAACAAATTAGGAGATGAGGAAGGAAGCAACATTATAAGAGAGAGATCAGAAAATAGCATCATATGGGTTCTTTATGTAACAGGACAGCACGTGAGTCGCCTGATATTATCCAGCGCCTATAGTCATCACATTATACATTCAGTCATCATGAAAATACAATTACACCCATCTCTCACACTGTCACTATTAATAGGCTCCGATAACTCATCAATGTGACATGCCCATGACACAATGCCAGATTCTGATCAAGCCGATTTGGCAGCAACACAACTCAGAATGTGGCTGGGATTATGCTCTCGGCACAGAAGTCACCCACAGCAAAACACCACCCATGTAGAGTATTGAGCAAACACAATTCGCACTTTGGGGGCTGTCTCAGTGGGTTCTGTTGGTAAAATGTCACAGTTTGGTAATGTGGCTATGTAACACTTGTTTTTTGTGAAATAGCAGAGTTCTTCTTTGTGTATGGTGGTGTCTGGAGCCAGAGCCCTGCTGACTCTGAAGAGGCAGGGGCACAGGGCCAGGTAGAGCTGATGGGATGCCCACTGAGATGCACATGTTTGGTATTAAGACCTAGAGACTGGACAAAAGATTAGTAAGCTGCCGCCGTTAATCATTATGTTTACGTTCCATTAGAAGAGTGACCCTTTCTTCCATGCAAGTGATGTTGTTATGGGACTGGAATTGGTTGAAACTGTTGCATTGGAATTTTTAAAAGAAATTTTAAAGGTTATTTTACGCAAAAATCCTCTGTTAGTATGTTGTTTCCTCATCAAAAACATACCTGGAGTTGAGTTTTGTTTCATTCATACATGCTTGAGTAAACCTACTTTATTAAGCTGTCTACATCTCCAAAGCTCAAAAGGTTCTTTCCCACCTTGTGATGTCATGTAGTGAAACTAAATATGCAGGGTTTGTGAAACGAAACACAACTGCAGGCATGTTTGCAATGAAGAAACAATATTATTAGCCTAATTCATCAGCCGGTTTCACTTCATGGAAACTGTCTGACCTCGCAGCATTAGGATTCATTCGCTCGATAGTAGCCAGGTACTTTATTTCATTTAACCAATTGCTGCTATTTGGTCATCATGACATATGTAATCCGCCGCCAACGGGGCTAACTCGTATGTTAAGATTTTCCCAAATCCCATAGGAAGAAGGGCTATTGCCTTTCCCCTTGATAAAATTCACCAAACATTCCCTTTGTTTCAGCTTTAAATCCTCGATCTCAGGAATCGTTGACAACACAGAATGTATGGCTCTTCATTGATTGACTGGTACCTGAACTCGCACTTCGGGGTTTTTGAGAAGCATCTAGTGTATTCTATGATATATTGTATGATGACCAAACACCAGTATTTGCCCCTGAAAAGTCTATTTAAAGCCTGGATTGCTATGGAGTCAAAATTCAGTCAGTTTTTATTTATGTTTTGGTATAAATTCAAATGCAGCCTTCAATGTTTATTTAACCAACACATGGCATCCAAGCAGAGACTTTGTAACCCTCATCATTACTAATAGGATTACAGTATTTGACCTACAGATGGCAATAAATTACAAAATCTATGTCATCACTTTGACTGGGGCAGATGTCAATACTAAGTAGATTGCACTATTTGACATTCGAGTCCGATCCTGCAACTAACCAGAATATCTCCTTGATTCACTAACTTTGCATCTGCTTGTTGTTGTAGGGACAGCTTATCAAAAAGTGAGTTCCAATTAATTACTGATCCACTAACGAGATGCGGCGGCGTCTAAAAGTTGCGAGACAAGGACAGCTATGCGTGTACGTGTTGGACGGGCCTGCCAAGTGAGTACAGCACCCGTGTGAATGACAATAGTGAGGAGGAGGAGGAGGGTGGAGGAGGGAGGGGGGCGTGCAGGCTGATTTCAGTTAACAGATGCAACGTGCAGATGGGCATTGGTCTTTTTTGATTAGCAGGCATATGAAGCAAGTGCTCAATGTGTCCGCTGGGTTTTGGGAAGCTTGCATTTATAATAGGACTCCAAAGGATCTCCAGACATAATAGACATGGTGTAATTGTGCCAAATGATTTATTCTATAGTAGAACCCTTAAATGGGTTGAAGTCTTCATTGAACTGTGTTATTGTGCCAGATAAAATGTCATAAAGGAATTACGATGGTTGACATACTAAAGTGCAGAGGTCTGTAGTGTTTCCCATTAGTAGAGGAGACAATGGTGGCCTCCCATAGTCTAAAATTCTCCCCCATAGTCTAAAAAACAATCTGGACGATGTTGACATAACAAAAGTAGACTTTGTTACTCATTGCATTCATCATAAACTTAAAATCAGTGGTTAAAGATTAAATATATATAAGTCATATATTTACTCCACAAATTGAATTAGACTATATAATTCAAATAAAAATAATTAGTTCCACTGTAATGTTAACAGAATCTATGGGAAACTCTGCTGAAATTGTAACATTTCAAGAGGAAGTACTTAGTAGAGTTCCAATAATATGCTCAGTAAAAAGTAAGTGTTTAAAAATGTGGAAAGTCATCTGAAAGAGAATGGCATGCAAGTCATTAAATAACATAATCAACATAAAGCCGTCCTTGTATTACTCACAGGGAGAAGACTAACTAAAACTTTTACCCAAGTAAGAGTGATAAACTGTAAAATATATTTCTCAAGTAGGAGGAAAGAACGGCATCTTAAAACAACTCCAAGAAGCACAGTTGTATTAAAAAATTTGAAGTACTTGTGCAATTGCAGTAAGACCCACTTCAGCTGGAGTAGTCGAGAACAATTATCGTATTTTAAAACTATAAGTCGCTCTGGAGTATAAGTCGCACCAGCCAAAAAATGCATAACGAAGAAGAAAAAAACATATTTAAGTTACACCGGACTAGAAGTTGCACCTTTGGGGGAAATTAATTTTATAAAGAGGTAAACGGAGCACCGCTACCTCTTCTGCGTAGCCGTCGTCAGACTCAGCATCAGTTCCAGTAAGAATTATTCGGGCCTTTTTGAATCCCAACAGGATGGTTTCAGTTGTCTTTATGTTAGTGTAAATTTTAAATTGTCAGTGATACAGACGTAATGGTGCGATTGATTGACTTGATATCAGACAGGACAGAGGCTCTTTTCTCTTCTTTCTGCAGGAGACATGTGCAGTAGAGTCAAGTGACAGTGTTACAGGAATAATAGGCGTAGCAGATACTGACACACAAGTCTAGACCTCTCGCGGCTGTCAATTTTAACATATAAGTTGCACCAGAGTATAAGTCACAGAACCACCCAAACCATGAAAAAAAGTGTGTCTTATAGTCCGAAAAATACGGTACTTAATGTCGTCTACTAAAGCAGCTCATAGAATAATAAAATAACTTTGATAATATTCTTAAAGCCACAATATATATTTATGCGAATATTTTTCTTCTTGATGAGATACAAAGAGCAAAACAACCATCTTAACTTTAACCTATGAGGCCTTTGAGTGTTATGACATCTTTTCAACAAAACCTATTGGCAAACTTTCACTTAGATGACAGACGGATTTCAAAAGAACAGCGTAACCTTTTGTTTTGCCAGCCTTTTTGACACATTATCTCTTTTGTTTCATGAGATTTCAAAACTATGGCGTTACATCACACTGCAATAAACTCATTTCCATTGAACAAACCCTAAGTGTATGCTTCTATAGACGCCATCAATAAATACCCATGTCTTACTGACTCTTGCACTATGAAAACACCATAATCATGTCTCACAATGGAAACATGCCTTCATCACATTAGTACTTTGTATCCGAGTGGCTCACAGAAATGCTTCCCTGCAGACGCTCATATACTCCCTTTGTCGTCATGGCTCCTGGCTGGCTGATTAGGTCTGGGCCATTATGCCATTGATTGGAATCATATTGTGTTCCAGCGGTGGCAGATGCTGATGGACATGTGAATTCCCAGGCATGTATCACACATGAGACATTGACGTGCCTCTCATAGATTAAATCAGCCCAGACAGAAAGCAGCAGAGCATGATGGGAATCAGTTTAAGAGTGTATGTCAATAATGTTATAATGCTTATGAAAGGTTTGACTGCTCTCTGTGTCATTTTCACTTATGTTCCACTGATGGCAAGTTTTCTTCAAATTTAGTTTAAACACATGCAGGACAGGACGTTTTAATTTCAATTTTACACTAGAAGGATTTGAAGAGCCCAATCCTGCATCTCAGTCTTGCAATAAATCAAGTATAGTGCCATAACAGAAATGCTCTATTTATCCTTACATCAGCATTGATCTGCTAAGCATGGTAAAATTAATCTAATCCATCATTTATTTCTTTTGGTTGGAAGTTTGAACATATCCTGCAATGATGAACATAATATTTCATCATTCCATTCACAAACAGATTACGCGACTCGGTATTTGGTAATTTATCATAGGGTGTTAGCACCCTTTGCTCATCAGTTGCGGAACAGACAGTCTGGATGCATAATTCGATAGATATTCAATACAAGATCACGTGTAATGCATCAGGAACTCACGCATAGGGATTTCGAATAAGTTCTACAAGCGATAAAGGATATATAATCGTACGGGACAACGCTCTATACCTGTAATGGTGTGAGGCCTAATTAATTGAGTTGTTTGGATTGTATAGGAAGGGAAAATTTATTTTATGTACTTACTTGCGTCTATTCAAATTTCAAACTAATTTCTAGTGTGTCCGTACCTGTGCACCGTCCGTCCAGGTAGTTGTAGTATCCGCGAGCACATTGGTCACACTTGTCTCCGCCCACGCCCTCCACACACTGGCACCGCCCCTCGGAATCACATGATTCAGACACAGAACCCGATTTCCTGCAGCTGCACGGCACACAGCCCTGTCCGCTTTCGACGCCGAAGAAGCCAGACTGGAAAACAGGAACAAAAAGATCATAAGGAGAAGAGTGTATATACGTATTGGAGTTTTGTGCAGCATTTAGCAGATCAGTAGACTGTCATCCACTGCAGGGAACAGTGGGGGGTTACACTAAAATGGCTAATTAAATTGAAAGTCCATAGTGAATTGAATAAGTCTGGTGGAAGTTAAGCCACCGTTATCTTTACCTGTTTTATACAAATATTATTTAGAATTTGAAAGTCTTTTAATTGTTTACAGTGTTTTCCATATAAACCAACCTGTGGAGAATGAAAACCGGGCACCACAAATTGATTATCCCTCTTTTTTTGCAACATGATTGTGTCATTCTCTCTCATTTTACGAGCCACGAGCCATGTAAAATGAGGTGCTCTGACAGGACACGCAAGTTCTGCACCAAACAGGCTAATGTTGTTTCACTATTTAATTTAGTCACCTTGTTGTCCCTTTAGTAGTTTCTTATGTCTAATTATAGCATTTTATTTATTTTCATTTGCACATAAAAAAGTTAAGCAATAGCAATAGCAAGGTCCTGAGTTAAGAATTTGAAATAAAAAACCTCAAGATTTAGTAGTTTTTTTTGTAATTCATTTCTTGAATGTCAAAGAATCTAAAGATCAAATAAAAACTAAACTTTAACATTAATTTCAGTAAGTAATTCTCAACATAAAACTTAAAGAACTGGTCTTCCTCTCACATAATTTCTATGAGCAAATTGTACATGCGGGGTGGAGCATCGCTGTCTGATGGGGGACCAGGGAAACACTGGTTTATATTGTATTACTGAATAAAAGTAATTTCATAATGAACAAATATATGAAAGAGGGAGTATTACTGTTAATCCTTAAGAGCGCTGTCACATTACAATTGTCGTGCATTAACTACCTGAAATGAAATAACTAAATAAATATACGGTACCATGCAGCGATCGCAGGCTCGGCCCTCCACGTTGGCCTTGCAGTCACAGCGCCCAGTGGACACATCACACACAGAGGACACAGCTCCGTATACGTCACAACCACATCCTGAAACAGAGAATGGACAAATAATTATATCACAATTTCTCTTTCGCTTTAGAGTTTAGAAGTGAACTTTTGCAATTAATGCAGTTAATTCATTTTTTTTACTACATTAACATTACTACATATTTTTAACTTCCATATTCAAACAAGTGGAACAAAATTACAATCGCAACTAATTGGATTTTAATTTAAAGGGCCCATTTTAGACTATTTTCAGATTTATGTTGTAATATTATAGCAAACAGACCTGGAATAGGGCTGGGTATCATTAAGAAGTTGCCGATACGATTAGTGCTGTCATGTGATTAAAAAAATTGAGAGATTAATTAATGATCTGTAATTAATTAATCTAATTAATCTCATTTTAATCTCACCTAAAAAATTGCTGAGAAAAGCCTTCAATTTGAGGTATTTTCATTTAAATTCATTATTACATTATTGTGGCAGATCAAAAGACTGATATATAGAACAAAAAAAAGTGACTTTATAAAGTCATTTATTGTTTAACAAATCTCTTCAAATTGGCTGTTGAGCCCAAGTCTCCATGAATAAGAAACTGTTTGCTGTAAAGTAGCAAAGACGAGGAAATCTGAACATGATAACTTTTGTCTACTTAAAGACAATAAAAAGTCCAGTCTTTCCTTAACCATATTAAAAATATTATTGATAGAGAAATGCTTTTATATATGAGATCACTGGTTTTAGTCCTGGTTTTTAGTCCTGGTTTAGACCTGCTTTACTCCTAGTTTAGTCCTGGAATGGATTAATCCTGTTTTAGTCCTGGTGTTAGTTCTGGTTTAGTCCTGGTTTAGACCTGGTTTAGACCTGGTTTTAGTTCTGGTTTTAGTTCTGGTTTAGTCCTGGTTTAGTCCTGATTTAGTCCTGGTTTAGACCTGGTTTTAGACCTGGTTTTAGTTCTGGTTTAGTCCTGGTTTAGTCCTGGACTGGTTTAGTCCTGGTTTAGTCCTGGACTGGATTAGTTCTGGTTTTAGTCTTGGTGTTAGTTCTGGTTTAGAGGCGCACAGGAGGAAGCGCGGTTTACGCAGCGTAGCGAGAAAAACACGCAGAACCACGTGGCCACGGACGCGGCGCACGGGGCACAACTCGGTGTCCGCGCAGTGTCTACGGGAAGGAAACGTGGTCCGCGCGTTCTCAGGTTAATGACGATGAAGTGTGTGTTTGTGTGTGTGTGTTGTGTGTGTTTGTGTATAGGACAGTTGTAGTGCAGACATCATGAGCCTATGCAGGTTGTTTTCACCAGTGACATTTAAGTTAGTGCGATTTTATATTTTTTTATTTTCTTTTATTTCATTCGTCGGTCGGAGAATAATTTCCAAGACACGAATGTGTTTTTACCTGTGCACTCCCCTGCCTGCTCTGTTTCTACTGTTCTCTGGCTCTTCTTTCGTCATTATTATGCGACTGACGCCGTCAACGTTAACGACGTTGCCTACGTCGCGCTGTTACTGTTTGGTTCCGTTCTGTTTGGGTTTCCAATGAGTCGAATTACCGAAATAAAAAAAAATTATAAAATGTGTTTTTTGTGTGTGTGTGTGTGTGTGTGTGTGTCCCAAACATGTGTTGTTGTAATAAACTAAACATACTCGTACAGGTTTATAATTAAAGCAATGCGCATACAGAAACACTAAAGAATTAAAGATTAAAAACAGATTAACGCGAAAAAATAATCGCCTATTAAAATGATTATAATTAATCGCAATTAACGCGATAAGATTTGACACCCCTAATACGATACATACCTTTGGTACACAAGCCATATTTTTCGATACAATACACTTTCAGTATACAATTCGATTACAATACAATAATTCAATAATTTCAAATCGGTTCGATACAGTTCAGTAAAAAACAAAGACTAAATCATGGCTGTGAATGATACTAAAAGTCCACAAAGTCTACTAAGACTGTTAATATGAAAAACACCCGTTTTACTCAAAACACTAAAAATGTCAACACAATTGTAGCTCTTAGACAAAATAATGTAGTAAAATATACCTAAAAATGCTCTTGGCGATATATCAGTACAAGACCCCACGATACTCCCCTACTGTATCATCAAATTAAATGATACAATATTTCAAAATATAAACAGTATATTCAATTTTTCAATATTTTTTTCACACACCCCTAACCTGAACTTGTGTTTTGTTTCATTCACACATGTTTCATACATAAACCCTCTATATTTAGGTTGAGCTCTTTTCTCAAATAGAAAACACTCTGTTTCACCTTGTGATGTGGTGATAAAGGAAGTGCTCCACTGTGTTTTTTAAACTCCATACACCTTCACTTGAATCATTTGGATGATTTAAGACTTGGAATTGACCATCTCTACACTGCAAATTTCTCTGATCTGGCCAAGATTTTAAAACTTACATCAGGTTATTCATCTTATTTTCAGATTTATTATCTACTTACTAGACCAGAGACTGCTTCATTCTAGTATAGAGGTTGTTTATTTTAAGAGAACTTGTTAAGTAAAATGATCTTGCTGTATAGACAGATCAAGTCATTTTCTGATAGATTTAAGTGTTTATATCTTACATTTTGGCCAAGCTTTTTTGCAGGGTGCTGAAACTAAAGGTAAAAGGTAGCTGTTAACTTATACTACCACTACATGACATCACAAGGTGGAACAGAGCATTTCTAACTTTGGAGATGTAGACTAATAATGCAGGATTATTCAAACATATGTGAATGAAACAAAACCATACTCCAGGTCTGTTTTTGAGGAGGTAAAGTCATTCTAACATGGTTTTTAAAGCTCACAAGAGTCAGTTTTGCGTAGTATTGTACCTTTAAATCTTACACTGTTTTATCCACCTATTCCATGTACTGTCAAAAGTTAAAAGCCACTATAGATTGGTTTTCAAAACAATTGATTACAACATTTAATAGTAATCCCCATCTCCTGATTTGACACCTGTTCATTTACCTGTATTGCCTAATATTTACTAAACTTCATAAATAAACTCTCTGACACCAGGAAGTGCAGTGTCCCCCATGTGAGTGCCTTTCGGGGACTCTGAGGTCGGGGCGCCGTAATCCCCCGTGGCCCCCGACGCACAAAGCCCTGTTTCTACTGGTCAGTGCCTGAATAGAGTCATGTGACCGGGGGAACAATGGGGTCAGAGGTCAGGCGTGATGTGGATTAGACAAATCTACATTCCTGCCCTGTGCTCCGGTGGAACCAAGGCCTCCAGCTCCACAGACTAAACAGGGCCCTGAGGAGACTAAGATAACGCTGATAAAAGCAGCCACAACAGTCACTCACTATTTTGAAAGATTACAGCGGATATTATAGTTTCCTTCACAAATGTGTGCCAAGATTCATGGTCTAAACATTTGTATTTGGAGTAGATATTTTGGCTAGAATAAATGAAGGGCCCTGAATTACTGAATTACTAATTAGTATATCAAAAGGTGTATATACATTTTCAAGAGGAGGGTATGCCACTATGGAGGAACAAAATGACATAATTGGAAATAAATACAAAAATAAATGCTGGAATGTATTAAAAAATGTGGAAATAAATACATGTAAAAAGAATAAATTTGTAAGGAGAATTAAAATCATGAATTAAAAAGTATAAATATATATATATTTTTAAATAAGTATATAATCTTTAAATAAGTAAATATACAAAAAATAATAATAAATACATGTATTCATAAATATATTAATACAGAAATGTAAAATATTTTATTGAATATTTTAGCTTTTTAATACACAAAATGTATGCATTAATGTGTACATTGAATTTAATTAATAAATATTATTTATTTATATATTATATATTTATATATATATTTATTTACACATTTATTTTTATTCACAATACATTAAATAAAAGTACATTTATTCTTGTACTTATTTATTTCCAATTATGTAATTTTTGGTTCTCCATATGCACAAGTCTATGTTGTTTAAAGCCATTTTATTTGTTTTTAATTGGGGAAATTAAAATTAAAAGTTGAAAATCATGATTAATTAATATGAGAAAAAGCATTTTTTTCATATATTTGTATGTTCTTGTTCCTATTCCTTTACTTTCAAGAGACTTTTTAAAAGCGAGATACAGTTTCATTTCACCTTCCTTTTCTGATGAATAAAAAAGACATTGTAAAGAACATTCCTCAAGAGCATCTTGGTTAAAAGTTTAAAAAAAAAACAACACAAAATATGGTGACCTTCAGATTGACACAAAGAGTTCCTGAGCACTGAGGGAAGCTCATATCAGGACAAATGTTTCAACCATCTTCGACCTTCATCTTCAAGAGACTAAACTAATGATAACTGCCTTTTCTTGAACTGTATACAAAATCTTTTCTAACACTGGAGAAAAAAGAAAAACAGATGTCTAGGTTGTCTTTTATTGTATTTTATTCATCAGGGAGAATTTGGTCCTGTATTTAACGTTGTACAATGCAACTATCTGGTGGAAGGTCTGCCACCTGCTTGTCTCCATGGAGATGTTATTTCTTTGCCAACAATGTTCCACAGTATGGCATACCACCAGGCTAAGTTACAAGTCAGCTCCGAGGAGAGGCATCCTCACTCACAGTAAGAAGCATGTTTTAAAATATCTGTAACTCTAACGATATATATTTCTAACAATACCTAAATATAATATCATACTGTGGAACATTCCAGGAAATGCAATAACATCTCCATGGAGACAAGCAGATGAGAGACCAGAAAAGTAACACAGTGCACCTTTAGGAAGACTTATTAGACTTAGACTTAGACAAACTGTATTGATCCACAAGGGAAATAATTTGGACAGTTATTTTATTTTTGGATTAGTTAAAAAAGTGTGAACCATTATTCACCTCTAACTGGCTATTTGCTCCTTACCTGTGCAGTTTTTGGCGTGCAGGGCGTCGCCGTAGTAACCATCCCGGCAGCGCTCGCAGTGGTGTCCCGCGGTGTTCCGGGTGCACAGCAGACACTCCCCGGTCACACGATCACAGTGCCCCGTTTCCTCCCAGTTCACGTTCCCGTTACACTCACACCGCGAGCAGGACCCGCCCAACACCTGCGGGTTACCGTAGAAACCACTGGCACATCTAGAGAAACAAGAAAGAGGTTTGGTGTCAACAACTGCTTTTAAAGATGCATTATGTAACTTTGCTTACCTTATGAAAATGCTATTGCTTTACCTGAAATATTCCACAGTACAGTATTAAACTTAAATTAAACTTTTATTCATTGACATACCGTACATTGGCCTGGTGGTGTTGCTTGTCTCCATGGAGATAGATATATTTATGTTGTACTGTGGAACATTCAGGCCATGTATAATTCTATGAGCAATTTGAAGTTATAGAAAGGAAATCATGTTAAAGGTACAGTGTGTAACTTTTCTGGTGGAGGGTTCGTCAAATGCTTTTCTCCACGTGAGATCTTATTGCTTTGTCTATAATGTTTCACAGTATGGTATTAAACCTTTCTATCTTCATGGAGACCAAATCAGATTATGTTACAGGTCAAATCTGTGGAGAGGCGACCCCGCTCACAGTCAGGATGTCTGTTTTTCTAAGTATTTTTTAGCTGTAAAACTACCTGTAATTGAATAAATGTAAAGTAGAGCTGTTTAATGTCACACCATGGAACATTCTATGCAGAGCAATGACATTTCCATAGAAACAAGGAGGGTTTTTGTTGCAGTTTTTGTTTTTATAGGAGCAGTGATTACAAAAATATGAATCATAAACCAGGTCAAACATCATTCATATATGATCATTTTTAAAGGCTCCACCTCAATTTAGACTTACATAGACTTAGACAAATTTTATTGATCCACAAGGGAAATAATTTGGACCCAGGAGCTCACACATCACAATATAATATAATAACAAAGAGAAAATATATTAATGGTAATAATCAATTACATAAGGGTGAGTTGTTGTACAGTTGTAGGGAGTATTATCTGTCCCTTTGTAGTCTGGTGCAGTGGGTGAGTTGTTGTACAGTTGTAGGGAGTATTATCTGTCCCTCTATAATATAGTCTGGTGCAGTGGGTGAGTTGTTGTACAGTTGTAGGGAGTATTATCTGTCCCTTTGTAGTCTGGTGCAGTGGGTGAGTTGTTGTACAGTTGTAGGGAGTATTATCTGTCCCTTTGTAGTCTGGTGCAGTGGGTGAGTTGTTGTACAGTTGTAGGGAGTATTATCTGTCCCTTTGTAGTCTGGTGCAGTGGGTGAGTTGTTGTACAGTTGTAGGGAGTATTATCTGTCCCTCTATAGTCTGGTGCAGTGGGTGAGCAGGAGTGTCCATGATGGAGAGACGTTTGCTCAGTGTTCTCGTGTCCCTCACTGTGACAAATGTCTCCAGCTCACAAATGATCACGTGAGCAGCTTTACGGATCAGTTTGTCAATCCGCCCAATTGTGAACTCTGACCTCTTTAGAATGAACGACATCAAGTGAATGCACCTCAGGTCTTATTACTACACTAGTATGTTTTAAGTGTCTACTGTGTAATATAATGTAAAGCGTGCACACTCACCTCTCACAGTTGTTGCCGGTGTAGCCCTCCTGACACTGGTCACATGTCACCTGTCCATTAGACTGGAGGAGGCAGGTGGGACTGAAACTGCAACACAAGGCAACATAAATACATTATACATAAAGATTACAGTAATAGTATTAATAATAGTACTTGTCAAATCATTGAAAAGTACTTTTGTCTACCAGATTGTCACCATTAGAAGCGCGTATGACAGGTTTTCATGTTTTTCTACTTACTATTATATGTTTAATGGTGTAGTATCTGTGGTCAATATTTATCTGGGTTTTACATCGGTTAAGTGGCAGTTTGTGAAAAGAAAATTATAACAAAAATGACAGAAATACAGGAAGTAGCGTTGAGTTGTTAAGTTAACAGAATACCTTTACCTATCTCGTCAACACAAAATAGAGACCATGCCTTTCTCGTGCATAAATGAGAAAGGCATTTTTTGGACAGTTTAAGCCTTCATTTAACAAAATAAAAGTGTTGTCATTTATTTTTATTAGTTTAATCATAACTATTATGTAATTTGTGTAGATTTGGCCTTAAAATATTATAGTTGCTAATAGGGCTGGGCGATATGGATCAAAAAATATATCTCAATATATTTTGCCATATCTCGATATACGATATATATCTCGATATATGTTCAAGAAAAAATAACCCCCTAAAAGGAGGCAAAATTATAAACTTAACCGAAATTTAAAAAACAATATTTTTAGTAAAATTTTAAATATAATGAATTATGTTTTATTGTAGTGAGTAGTCTAACCTGTCATGTGCATAGTGTAAAGTATAATGTGTTCAGAAGAGACACTTGAATCACTGAAAACTGTATGTATGTAACAAACCTATTGGATGCGGCGGTCAAAGGACATGGGCATTTCTTACAGTCCTGCTCCGTCCCCTCGGTGGCATCGCCATAGAAACCGGGCAAACAATGCTCGCAATGGGGCCCTGTGGTGTTGTGGGAACAAGACTGGCGGAAACAGGACCAGCATTAAAAGTCAACATTAACGGCTTTCACATTAAATCACTGTGTTTTTTTTACTTGTACTCACCAGGCACAGTCCATGGTAATCACAGACGGAGGAGTGGTCATTACATTCACACTGGAGACAGTTCCCTCCGAATAAAACTCCTGCGACGCGGTAGAAACCTGGCAGACATGACTAAAAGCAAAAAAGAAAACATTAAAACTATATGGCAATGATCTGATTACGTTTTATTATCATGATTTGTCCAAAATGAAAATTGTTGTTTTTAAACCAAGCATGTGTACTAATGTTCAGTGTGACATGGGATTTTTTTCAACAATATACCATAATGAACCTACAGCTACCAACCTTGGAGTCATCATTGCAGTGGTTGAATCCAGTTTTTATCACCTGCGGCTTTTATCCAAACTCAAATCAGTTTTATCATTTTGGTGATTTGGAGTGGGTGATCCATGCTTTTATCTCTACACGTCTTGACTCCTGTCACGCTTACAGTTAGTCCAAAACTCTGCAGCACGTCTTTTAACCGTCACATGTCGTAGAGAACACACTACGCCTATTTTGTCCTCATTACACTGGCTGCCCATTCATATCAGAGTTGATTTTAAAATGTTATTGTTTGTTTTTAAAGCACTTCATGAACCGGCTCTAATGAACATCTCAGAGATTACTGTTCCTACGCGCTCTGAAATCTGAGGGCTCCAACTTATCGTCCAAAAAAACGAGACTCAAAAGCCGGGGTGATCCTGGGGTGACCGGGCCTTTTCGGTGGTTGCCCCCAAACTTTGGAACGTTCTCGCCCCTTCAGTTCTCAGTTGATTCTTTTAAGTCTTGTTTTAACACGGCGTGAAAACTGTGTGGTTCTCTGACTGTCTTTTATTGATTATATTTGCTATTTTTCTATTTGCTAATTTTAGTATTTTTAAAATCTTTTTATTGACTTACTTATTTATTTATTTTATGCTTTATTTTATTTAATGTGTTAATTTGTATTGTGCCTACTCTGTGCAGCACTTTGGAGACTTTGTGCTTGTAAAATGTGCTATACAAATAAAGTCAGATTGGACTGGATTTGCAGTATACATCAAGTACCAACCTCACAGGACGTGCCGCTGTAGCCGTACGGACACTCACACGTCTCCACGGCAACCGCCTTGTTCCCGGAGACGGACACCGGGTCGGCTACATCCAGAGACACCAAGCCCAGGCTAGAAGATTAAGTGAATCAACAGTTAAAAAGTAGCAAAATGTAGTACTGTAGTATTTGTAATTTTTATTCAATATGAGTGAATGAACCAAAGCAGCATATTTTTGATGAGTTAACAGTCTAAAACACAAAAACAGAGTCATTTTGCATAATGGTAGTGGTGGTGGTAGTGGTAGTAGTAGTGGTAGTAGAAGTAATGGTCGTGGTAGTAGTAGTGGTAGTAGTAGAAGTAATGGTGGTTATAGTAGTGGTGGTAGCAGAAGTAATAGTGGTGGTAGTAATACTAGCAGTGATAGTAGACGTAATGGTGGTGGTGGTAGTAGTAGTGGTGGTAGCAGTACTAGTAGTGGTAGTAGACGTAATGGTGGTGGTAGTAGTGGTGGGAGTAGAAGTAATGGTGGTTGTAGTAAAGGTGGTAGTAGTAGTAGTAGTAGTAGTAGTAGCAGTGTGTACCGAATAGGCCCTGCAGCAGAGGAGTTGAGCAGCACCCGGACCCTCAGCGTGGTGACGTCGCTCAGCACGGTCAGCAGGTCATCGCGCGTCACGTGATCACCCCTGACGTCATCCACAAACTGATGAGGGCCCATCACCACGGCAACGGAGCGCTCCGACAGAGGGGACAGGGAGACCAGGTGAGGGCGGGACAGACGCAGGGAGCGGCCGTTTCCCTGGAAAACACAAAAGAGTTTTATTTTCTGCCACAGAATAAAATACGATAACATAAAAGTGGAGTAGATCAATCATTCAGTCAAAATGTAATCTCAAATGTACATAACATCTAATGAAAGTTTAGGATGCTTTATGAAGTTACAAAAATGTTAATAATACAATAACAATAACAATAATTTAGCTGAAAAACAGTTAGTATGAGTGACTGTGTAATGTGTAATCAAAAAAACTATTACAGCTTAGTTGGAAAATCATTTCCAACTAACCCTAAAATTAAAATTGATTATAACTGAAATAAATTAAATTGATTGATTTAATTGAAATAACTAATTTCTCATCCACCAAATTTCTGGGTGTCATTGTCAATGATAATCTGAACTGAAAAGAGCATGCTGACTGGGTGACCAGAAAAATTTATAAATCTTTTGGTATTATAAGAAAAGTGTGAAGAATCCCTCAGTCGTCCAAGTAGAATCCATGAGGAGAAAATTAGTTTGTCGACTGGACAAACGTTAGTTGGTTGAAGACTTTTCGCAGTTCATCCAAGCTGCTTCTTCAGTTCTGGTCAGACGCAGGTGGACACTTCCTTATATCTGCAGGGAGGAGCTAACTACTCTGAAACTAACACACCTGCTTGTTTACAGTTTCTGTTAGTTCGGCCTATTGACCTGTGCAGGGTGTGGGGTCTAATTAGCAGAACAATTCATGGTCATAATGGAGCTTCCACACCTCTGGACCTGACCTGGCTACACCTGTTGCTCTCTTGTTTGTTTTGTTTTAGGTTTGAGGATGGAGTTGTAAATAGGAGATAGATGGTGTCTGAGGCCTCCATTTCTGTTTAGAGAAGGCTTCTCACCAGCATTCTGACCAGAACTGAAGAAGCAGCTTGGATGAGCTGCGAAAAGTCTTCAACCAAACCAACTTTTGCCCAGTCAACAAACAAATTTTCTCCTCATAAGAAAAGTTTGTCAAATTCTGGACTCAAAATCTATACTTAGATTATACTTAATATTCAATTTATCCCTATCTGTCATATTGTAATAACGTCTGGGCTGCACTTTCTCTACTACTCTGAACAAAATATTATTGGTGCAAAAACGTTTTGTTCGAATACAACTCATTCTATGCCACTAACATCGTCTGCTCATTTATTCATCAAACTTAACATTCTTAATATTTATGAGATTAATATTTATCAAATTTGTATTTTTATGTATTATTTGTAATACAGCTACAATCCCTAATCATTTCAGATTTTACTTTAAAACCAATGCAATGTATCATAGAAACAAACCTCATCCAAATTTTCATGTTCCAAATTCCAAAATGTGTCACATTAAGAGCTCAGTTTTGCTTCAATACTGAGGTGGGAAATTCTGGGGCAGTTTTCACGTTTGGTTAATGATGCATCAGAAACATTGTTTAAAAAGTGTTTGAGGAAATGTTATATATCATAATAATGTTTGATAATCATTAAATTGTAGGATGTTTCATGGTGTTTTAACACATGTTTGAATCAAATGTATTTAATCTTAATTAAGCATGTAAATGTCATTTTTTTCATTAATACACAGCTATAATGGTCAGTTTTAATGTATTCATAAGGTGGAGGCTTTAATATACAGTAAGCCCTTTTGGGTTTTGGGTTTTTTGCCTCTTCCAGCACCTACTTTTTAATCTAGTGTGGCTTTTTTATTGTTACATGTTATATATGTGCAAAATAAATAAATAAAATTAAAATAATAAATAAATAAATGAATGTTTTTGAGAAATGGCTTGAAAAAGTTAAACTGTATGTAAGATAGATAAGTTCATTTACAAAAAAACATGGGAAATAATGGCCAAGTTGTTATTGTTATAATTTGGTGTGTTATTTGATCAGAAAGCAGAGTTTAACACGAGTCGCTCATTTGGGTTGCCAGGTTCAAAAGCTGAAATCCAGTTAGTTTAAACCTAAAGGGACTCTCTGATCTGCTATTTTTTTAAGAGCATTAGTTTTAGTGCTAGAGTACTGAAGGTTCTCTGCTTTTACATGAGAAAAACATTCCTTTAAATGTATTCAAAGATTATTATAATGCAGCTTTTATGATTCTTTAATTCACAAAAGCCAGATTCAGTCCTTGAATTTAACCTTGACATAATAATAAAATACAAGCTGGATTACCTGTATGATGACATCAGAGTGGGCGGAGAGAGAGCGGTCTAAATTATCCAATGGGACGTCGTAGAAAAGCGTGTAGTTTAACCTCCCCCTGAAGGAAGTCAGCTGTGCAGGAACAACAGATTCAAGTTCATTCTCAGTACATTTATTTACTCTCCCAAAAAGTTAAAAATGTTAGCACAGACCTTATTAGCCAAAAAATTGCTGGGGGCGTCCCAGGACATCTCATACTGGTGGGCGTGGCCTCTGGAGCGGTTGATTGGCAGGAGGAAGTTGTTGTCGTGGACTACAGTGAGGGGGTGGAGCTGATCAACAGGTTGGAGCCAGGCGTTGGAGAAAGTCACCTAAAGAAAACACAGAATTAGATTGACAGGTTACATTAATCATTTCGTAGTTTGTTCTAGTTTGATCGATTGGTAACATTTTTCTTTTTTTTTTTACTTTCCTTTTTATTTTTCAACTTTTTTTTTTTCACAAACTGTCACCTGATATTGTAAAAAAATTTGAAATACAACCCACGGCTCCAGAGCCAGAGTATGTGGCTCTTTCATCCTTCTATTGTGGCTCCCTGTGACTTTGGAAAAGAAATAATTTTTTTTTTTTCCAAAGTCATAATGTATTTAATCATAATGTATTTTTATTTTAGTTTGTTCATTTTTAAATGTAATTCTAAATTTGTACATAATGGTAATACTGTACCATTAAAATAAAATGTTTTCAATATTTTTGCTGTCAAAATACAGTATACGTCACAGCTGCCGATGTGCAACACCTAGCACATATCTGACAGCCCGGACTCACACCAGCAGCATGATTTGTTGAGCTTTTACCCCTGGTAGGTAAATGATGGATAAATCCAAGAAAAGAAAAGTTTCTGAAGAAAACTGAACATTTAATGCTACATGGTCACATTCACACAAGCTCCAGTACACGCGATAAAATGATGACAGAACCCAGAGGCACACAGCATTTTTGATTCACTGTGGGTGGATAATTTAAGTTGGGATTTTTATTTCCTGTGAGGAGGACTCAAATAGACACTGAGTATTTCATTTGAAAGTCAGCAGCAACCAGCATCTTTTTTTCGGCGTTCAAAATGTTTTTGTTACATGGAGAAATAAAATTTTATGTTCTCTGTATCATTTCATTGACTTCATAAATGCAACACATTATGGTCTTTTATACAGAGCGTACAGATATAAAAGCATATGCAGTGTTCTCCTCATTTTAGAGTCAAAATGGTTTTGTGGTTTCAGGTGTTTTCGTTTCAGCTCCAAATGGCTCTTTTGAGTATTTAAGGTTACTGAGCCCTGGCTTAAACCATACATTTGCTACTGGCCCTTTAAATTTCTATTATATTATATAAACTCTAGCTCTAGTATTTGAAATGCTCTTTGTTGATGTATTTTCTGACCTGATTGGTGGACCAGGAGGAGCTCTCACAGACGTTAGACACTCCGAAGCAGAAGCAGTCGGTGCAGCCATGGGCGTTTTCAGGCTGGAGGTTGTAGAAGCCAGATTTGCACAGGTCACAGTTGAACCCCATCACATTTTTCTGGACAAAAAATTAACTCAAATTAACATATCACAGCAACAAAAGGCACTGCATCTGAGTGAAATGTACTGTTTTTTCAAAAGTTAAATGAATAAAAAAGCAGATTTTGGTCTGAAAAGACTAAACCAGCTCGAACACATGACTAAAGCAAAAATGTATCAGGATTAAACCAGATCTAATCCAGAACTAACTCATGTCTAACCCAGTAATAAACAATATAAACAAAAAAGGTCAATTTTAATCGTGACTTACGACAAACGTTATAGATCCACAAGGGAAATTAATGTAACATGCCTTATTAAGTAATTATTTAGTTTCAGTTAAGTCTCTTAAGTTTTTGTTTTGATACTTTTGGCTAGAAATTTAAGGCCAGCAAATTTATCAATTGGCCAGTAATTTAAGTCATTTATTTATTTATTTTTATTATTTAACTGAATATAAATGTAATTAATGTAATAAAACAATAAAATCTATCACATTTTCTTTGAATCATATAGTGCAGATGTAGTTTGTCTATTGAACTATGACTTCAATAAATGAGCCTGTACCCCAGTGTGTTAGTTGGTCAGTATTTACCTTGCACACACACTCCTCACAGGGGTCAGAGTTGGTGCTTCCTGCCAGGTTACACTCACACTTGGAGCACAGAGGGAAGTCCCTGTATCCGAAAGCACAGCGCTCACACCTGCGCCCAGCAAAGCCCTCTCTGCACGGGCACTGGCCTGAAGACGAGCCTGGAGGTGTAACAGTAGACGATTAGAGACCATGTGAGGTATGAGCCAGGACTAAACCAGGTCTAGACCAAGAGAAACAAATATCTGAATCAGGAGACAGCATTGAACAAGAACTAAACCAGGTCTAACACTCTAGCTGCCACGTTCCAAATAAGAAGTTCACATGCTCCTTCTGACCCTGATTCCCATTAGATTACATTGGAATATTGTGGCCCCTCTCTCTGTAACTTTTTGGTCTTAAAATGTCCGCTCTACATGATCCTGGGGCTTTTATTTCACTATTTTGTCCATTAAAAATCCTGTTCATAATATAGAACCTCCTGTAACTGTTAGAATCACAAGTTTCATTTGAGTGGAGCCAGATGCTGTGGGTGATGTCACACTCCCTTAGTCCACTTCTTCATACAGTCTATGGGTCTAACGCAGGACTTAAATCGGGCCCAACCCAGGATTAAATCAGACCCAACCCAGAACTAAACCAAACCAAAACCAGGCCAAAACCAGACCTAAACTAGGAATAAATAAATGAACATGGTCTAATTCTGAACAAAACCAGGTCTAATCCAGAACTAAACAACATCTAATCAAGAATATAACAGAAATTAACCCAATCTAACCTAGGTCTAAACCAGGACAAATAAATAATTAAGAAATATGAATAGATCAATTTACAAATAAATCAGGAATTAACCAGGTTTAAAGTAGCTCTAATCCAAGTTTAAACTAGGACTAAACCAGTTCTAACCAGGGACCAACCCCAATCAAATATGTGTTGAACAAATGAGTGTATAACAGTGTACGTGAACAGACCAGACGTGGAGTCGTCCCTCACACACACGGAGGACATGGATCCTCTGAGGTCACAGTCACACAGGACACAGGGAGAGTCGGAGTACGGCGACACCTGCAAAATACAAACACACTTATTATGTCCAATCTGTCATTCAATAATTATGATGAAAACTGACAAATTAGTTTTTAATTTAAAGGTGCATTGTGTAACTGAACTGAATTGTATTTTAGAGGATAATAATACTGATGAATTTGGTAAAGATATATTTTAGAGGATATTGATGACAATGATTTTTTTAGAAGATAATGGTGAATTTGAAATCTTGTATTTATGGAAATTAGAAAGAATTCATTTTAATTGTTTTAAATGTTTAATGCTGAATTGAACAGTGGTTATTTTAAGGAGACACTGATGAAATGTTGTTGCTAGAATGGTTAATAATAAATAATGTATGTCTTAATGTATTTTGTACCCGCCTGAGGACTGCAGATGGAAAGGAGCTTGGAACTAAATCTGACACAGAGCATCTTTTCTCTCTGAGTTTAATGTAATCTTTATGACAAAAAGACATTTTGGGGGACCTGTAAGTATTTTTTAAAACATCTTTCTGCATGAAATGGGGGTGAAAAGTGGGGAAAGACATTCAGGTAATTATCAGTGCCACGATTCATTACAACTGAAACCCCTTTGAACAAAATGGACAAAATCAATATAGTTTAAGTAGAATTAAATTAAATTGAGAGGTTCATTAATAAACCAAACCTCTGGAATATTTTGAGTCAAAATGTGAAAAAATTGAAAACAATATTGTGTGATGTGATATGGAAATTGCTCTAGTCCAGTATCTGTTCTCCGTACCCCCTGAGGTCTGTAGAACCCATCTGCACACGTCTCACAGTTGACCCCGGCGGTGTTGTGTTGACAGTTAACGCAGACTCCGCCCCCCAGCCTCTGCCCCGCTGCGTTCAGACTCAAGCGCAGGTCCGATACGGTCTGATTGTAGAAGCATTCCTCCGCCTTATTGTGGCAGTTGCATTCTACAAGACAAAGCAACCACAAATCACTATTATCATTAAGAAGTTGCAGACAGGACACTATACGATATAGTGCACATTCAATTCGATGTTTTTCAAATCGATTTGATACAGTTCAATAAAAATAAAGGCTAAATCATGGCTGTGATAGTAAAAGTTTTTGTTAAGCCACTTCTTGTGCATATAAAACCAAAACATTTTAATCATCAAAACAGTGAAAATGTCAAATGTGTCGCATAAACGAGTTTCCTTTCTCTAAACAAGCAACAAAACTGTACCTGTAGCAAAATTATTTTGTGAAATATACCAAAAAATACTCTTGGCGATATATCCATACAACATCCCATGATATCAATACTGTATCATTGCTTTAAACGATATGATACATCAATATTTCAATATTTTTGCACACCCCTAACCATTAGTATTCAAGAGGTCAGTGTATTTCCACATGGGAGGGTCTTGCTCAAGGACACAACTATAGGATGTAATTGGGTGAGGTAAGCTGGTAAGTGAATGCCTAACTTCTCCTGCCACTGACCACAGATTTAACCATTTCTCACGTTTTACACATTTTAAATGAATAAATTATACTTTTTTTTCTTTCATTATGTATTTTGGAAATATTAAGAAGTCTCAGAGATATAAATATGGCACCATTTTATAATAACAACATCTTAATTAGTCTCAACGGAGCACTTCATTCACAATAACCTCAGGAGTTATTGCTATTTTTTGATCCATATGTACTGTATTGGTTTCCTTTTTTGCTTACTCTCACAGGTGTTGCCGTCGGTGACTGTGCCCGGTTGCCATGGCATTTGGTGGTACCCCGGGCAGCACTCGTTGCAGTTCTCTCCGCACGTGTTGTGTTCACAGACACAGTGTAGTTTCTGATACAGCACCAAAACAGACATATGTTATAATTCAGAGTAAGTGCAGTAGTAGTAGTATTTATAGTAGTTGTAGTAGTGGTATTTAAGTATACTTACCTGGGTGACTGGGTCCAGGGGGCAGCTCTGTGCGTGGCCGTAGCAGATACACATGCCTCCGATTGAGATGTCTTTGATGGAGTAGAAATACTAGAACAAACATTAGCAAAAACAGATGCTCAAAAGCCTTAAACATATTCAAACACAACCGATAAACTGGGCTTGTACTTTGGATATTTAAGATGACCCACAACCCACAACTTGATTACTGCATACATTTATGAAGTTGTGGATTTGGAGCTATTTTTAAAGCTACTATATAACGCAAAATTGACTCTTGTGAGCTTTAAGCCATGTTAGAATGTCATTATCTCCCCAAAAACAGACCTGGAGTTGAGTTGAGTTGTGTGTTGTTTCATTTACACATGTTTGAGTAATGCTTTGTAATTAGTCTGTTTACATCTCCAAAGCTGAAATTGCTCTGTTCCACCTTGTGATGTCATGAAGAGCTAGTTTTCAAGTTAACCACTCCTTTTACCTTTTATTTAGTGGAGATCGGCAATTCCAAGTGTGAAATTATCCAAATGAGTTTAAAACACATTGGAGCTCCTGCATTAAATTCCTCAGTTGTCCAGGTAGAATCCATGGCAAAGGAGTTGCAAAGTTTATTTGGTCGAATATGTTTCGCAGCTCAGAACTGAAGAAGCAGCTTGGATGAGCCGCGAAACGTATTCAACCAAATAAACTTTTGTCCAGTCAACAAACTGAATTTCTCCTTTGCCACACATCACAAGAGGATTTTCTGTTAGAGATATGTAGGATTTGTGTGTTAAACATGTGGGAATGAAACAAAACACAACTCCAGCTCTGTTTTTGATGAATAAACAACATTATAAGATCAGAAAATAGTGTAATATGGGCCCTTTAAGTCCAGTTGTGACCTCAGTTGTAACAGACAGCTGACCATGTAAATAATATAGTGAGAATATTGGTCGTGTCTTAGGTCCTTACCCTCCTGGTGACGATGGGATCGATGTCGCGGGGGTCGTGCGTGCTCAGGGTCATGAGGTCGGCGTTGAGTGTCCTGATTCGCTGCAGTCTCAGTCTGATGTGGCGCGCCGAGGTGAAGTCCAGCAGGGCGGAGGTCAGGTCGTCTGCTCCGGGGCGTCCATTAATGAGAGACGTGTGGATCTAGAGAGAGACAGAGACACAACATGATGGATTAGAACCACTAGAATACACTCTAGATAGAAAGGGATACAAGCTAAGTGAGTATGGGCACGCTTCCAGCTCCATTTCCTCTGGCTGTAATTCACGATGGCCCTCTCTCTGTAAATGCTGCTGTCAGACTTGTCATTTTGGTTTTAAAATGTTCAAATTAACCCACTCTAGTCCCTGGTGGTTTCATTTTGTCCATAAATCAAGACATGAACATTTATAACAGAAAAATTAGGTGCCTTCTTTCCCAGAGGTCATGCTCGCTATCGTTATCAACACTTTTGACTGACACACTGCAAATTTCTCTGATCTGGCCAAGATTTTAAAAATTATATTGGGTTATTCATCTTGTTTTCAGATTTATTATCTACTAACTACTTCTAGTCTAGAGGTAATTTATTTTAAGATAATTTGTCAGGTTAAATGATCTTGCTGCATGGACAGATAATTTTACTACTTTTAAGTTTTTCTGATAGATTTAAGTGTTTATATCTTAAATTTTGGCCAAGCGTTTTTGCAGTGCAGCATTGCAACACCTTTGCTCGGTATTAGCTCTTTGGTTACTATGATACTCGCAGTCAGAATCAAAAGTGGAACTTGACTCCAAACTCACCCCTATAACTGCTAAACTCAGTAAGCTCCATTTGGCTGGAGCCGAACACTACGGATGACATCACACTCCCTCCGTCCAATTATTCATACAGTCCGTGGTTAAGGCTTAGAATACTTTGGGTGCAATCACATTTGCACATACACTCCATCAAAATAAGGACTGAACTGAGACTAAACACCTAACTAATAACTTATACTGTATTTAAAGATGCAGTGTGTAATGGTGTCTGCTCTCCATAGAGATGTTCCACAGTATGGCATTAAATGGCAAAAAAACAAAATGTAGACGTGGAGAAGATTTATGTAACAGCTTAGATGACCATATCAAAGCTTGTACTAACTTGGTGCACTTCAAGAAACAATATAAACATCTAATCTTATAGAAATACCTAGAAGACCAGATCCATTGTCTTCACTAGTAAACACATACTTTTATTTAACTTTTTATTTTGATACGATCATAAACAACACATTTTGTGCCTCCTTTATATTATTATTAGTTTGTAAGACCGTAAACAAAAACAAAGAAATCCTTACATTTTTTCATTCTCATTGTGGTTTGTTTTGTAAAATCATAAACAATAAATGTCTGTACCTTCGTTAACATGATTATTAGTTTGTACGACCATTATTTATTTATTTTTTTTACAAAAATGGCATCTTTTAAAAAAAATGAAGATAAGAACTAAGAAAAAAGTGACTGTAGTGTTCTATTAGAGGGGTGAGTGTGTGGAACAACCTGAGTGCCGATAAAAAAAAAAAAAAAATTACAGAAGCCTTTAAACAAGAGTATAAAGCGTTACGTTTTGAAAGATATAGAGCTCTGGAATGAATTAATTATGCATTATATAATTCTGTTTGTTTTAATTATATTTTGTCTCTTATATTTACAGTAAGTGAAATTGTAAATGCAAACTTGCTGGGTTGTAGTCTATCTTTTGTTTTGTTTTGTTTGGTAGTGCTGCAAAATGACTAAATAAACTACCAATTAAAAAAATAAATAAATACACTTATCTCAATAGAGACAAGCAAATGATGCCACCAAGCCAAGTTACAGGTCAGGTCAATCTGTGTCGTGTTCATAAATGTGTGTCATCCGTCCCACCTCTCCGTGCTCCAGCGGGTTGAGGCGGCTGTAGTAGGACGTGCAGATGACCTCTGTGTCGCTCTTGTAGGTGGGTGGTCCCAGACGGGGCGTGATGTTGTACCTCGTCAAACACTCGCTGTCGCTGATGGCGTAGAACTGCCACGGCTCGAAGTTTACGCCGTCCAGAGAGCGCTCCAGGATCCAGTTACCTACACATCAACACAGATTTTTAGGAGTTAAAAACGTGCTGAAGGTTACGGTTTAATATTTTATACAAATGGTTTTAAGATAGACCTGGTCGAGGAGAGTTAGCTGCTTTGATGATGATGTAAGCCACTTGAAAAATCTGAAAATTAAGAAAATCAGAAAGTTAATTGTTTATAGAAATGTATAGAAATTATATTGCAGTTATAGAAGTGACAAATGTGTATTTTTAACAGTGCTGTTTTTGTAGTTGTAGTTCTCATTTGTTTTTCATTAGTAGTAAGCATATCAGAGGTAGAAGAAGACAATATACTTTTCTTTTTTTTTTAAATTACGACATTGAGAATATTTTCTATTATTAACTAAACACAAAAAATGTTAATTAAAGGTCCTATATTATGCAAGATTGACTCCTGTGAGTTTTTAGTCATGTAATAATATTGTTACCTCCTCAAAAACATACGTGGAGTTTGTTTTATTTAACATTTGTCGGAGTAACCCTGTATTATTATTCTGTCTGCATCTCCAAAGCTCAAAATGCTCTTTTCCAACTTATGATGTCATGAAGCAGTAGTTTTGAAGTCAGCAGCTCCTTTTACCTTTTGTTAAGTCGAGACTGGAACTTCAACAACACTATGAGATCAAAAAATAGCATAATATGGCCTTTTTTATTAAAATAAAAAGTTAATTTCAGCTGTTTTTTTGTTTTGTTTGTCTTTACAGGGATGATTTATCACATTTCTGGGTGGTTAATTATTTTAAGGAGGAATAGTGAACACATGATACAGAGGAGGGATAGTAGCTCTAGTGAAACTGAATAGTGTGAGAGCAGAGGATGCAGAGGAGAGACTTTGATAAAACTTGTTCACTATCAAATATTTGCCTGTATATTTTGTCTGCACTTCCAGCTGCTGCAGAGCTCAAGGCCACATGTTCCCCCTCTCTCAGACAGACAGAGCCTGGAGCGTTCACATTAGATTTGAATAGGTCGCACACTGAGACGGTGACTAAACAGGACCTGGGGCGCTACACTCACTGCTCTGTACTTATGCAGCTGGGGTTCAGGTGTTAGGTGAGTTCATGTGGGAACTCATCCTGGAAAGTATCTTCAGACTGTGCTGAAGTTTTGCTAGATGACTCCACGGGAAGAACTATCAAAGAGAATTCAGCCCGTTGAAACACATTAGAATTGCCCAGTTAGTTTAAAGAAGACTTATGCATTTGTCTGTTGAATAGTTATATTCTATGATTAATCTTTGGTTCATTAGGTTATATTTTGGACATTTTAAATCACTATATTCATCTAAAACGGGCGAGTTCCGGTTGAGCAGGAATGGCTGTTGTGAATGCAGGAAAATTAAGGAGAATAGTTGACAGATTAGTCAAACATGCATGAATCATGTAAAGCAAAACGTCTTAAAGGGGAACACAAAAACAACTTTTAACCACCCATATCACCAATACCTCTACTGTATATGAAACAATATATCAGCCATTACTATATTTAGCTGTACCTGATTTTTACTGTCTTACAATTATTTTAAATGGTTTGAATGGTCCAAAGTTATTCCTCACTTATCTACCTACTTAGAATCCTAATAATACCCCACGAGGAGTGCTTTTCATGACTTTCAGAAGCCAAAGCAGAAGTTTGTCAACACAGTAATTGTCCACCCCCCATACTTTACAGTAATGCTCAAATCTCTTCATGTAACATGTAACTGACCTGTTTGAGGTCCAGAGTGATGGTGACCCAGTGGAACTGTCTCCCGTTCTTGATACTAGGACTCTGCCACCACTGGTTGGTCCCGTCGATGGCGTTGGTGATGGGGTGGCGCTCTGATCAGAGACAACACAGCTCAGTCAATCAGACATGTGAATACAGCATGACTATCAGGCGTGTCTGTTACGACTGGGTATCATTCAGAAGGTGCCGATACGATACATACATTGATACAAAGGCTACAATATGATACATGTCTTGATACAGTGAGCTTTCGATTAGATACAATTCAATACAATATATTTCAAATTGATTCAACAGGGTTCAATAAAAATAGAGGCTAAATCATGGCTGTGATCCTAAAAGTCTTTGTGGAACCACTTCTTGTGCAAAGTTCATATGAAACACAAATATTTTAATCCTTTTAAACAGTTAAAACAGTGAAAATGTCAAATGTGTTGTATAAACATGTTTCCTTGCACTAAACAAGCAACAAAACTGTAGCTGTAACAAAATCATTTTATAAAATATACCAAAAATATTCTTGCCGATATATCAATACAGCAGCCCACGATATTGATACTGTATCATCATATAAAATTATACGATACATCGATATTTCAATATTTTTGCACACCCCTAATGTCTATACATCTACCTATCCATATATCTAGCCAGCTATAGTTCAGTCGACTGGTTGATCTCTGTGTCTATCTTTCTCTCTTTATTTGTACATCTATTAGAGGTGAGCAGTATTGACAAATATGAATCTCAATATTTTTTGAGTATCACGATATTCAGACAATATTATGAAATACAAAATCATGAATTGAAAGGTATTAATTGAGTTTCAAGTATCAGACAAATGTGAAACAACACAACAACTGCCCACAAAAGTGCAGAAATAATACTCTTATTTGGAAGTTACAAAGCTCTTTTGGAGTTTTATTGCGTATTATTTTACATATGTTCAAAAAAATATTACCTATCTATCTGTCTATAGATCTTATTTTATCTATATATCTATCTTCCCATGTCCCATCCCTTCATCCATTTGTCCATGTATCTGTCTATCCACCCTGAAATCAGTTAAAGGGACATCATTAACAAAGACAATGGAGATGTTTAGGAGTGGGAAGGAAGTGGCAGACTTTGTAGGGACTGTTTAAAGTGTGTGTGAGTGTGTGCGAGTATGTGTGGAGTGTCTGTGCGCATAGTAACCTTTGTGTGGACACTAGTGCTCACAGCAGGGGCACGTGGGAAATTCTCCGGGGACTGTTACATGGACAGCTAATCAGAGACGGCTGCTCAGTACATGCAGTAAATCTGACCTGTCTGTAGTCCTGCACAGGGCTGAACCATTTGGGTACATCTAATAGCAATTTTTCTGACAAACGTGATTAGATTTGTAATTTGGTTTCTGTTCAAAATTCAAATTTTAAACATGTCCAGAAGAATTCACAAAAGGTCTGACATATGAACTGACAAACTAATATAAGAATCTCATTTCAGAACATGTTTGTACTGAGTTAAACTACAGGGTTAGCAGGGTTTATGCAGAATAAGACTGGAAATTTTGCATTTGTGGAGAAAATTATAGTACTTTAAAAACTGCAATCTTGTGAGACTTGCTGATTGTGTCTACAGTATTATAATTGTGATTTTGATTTGATTTTGATTAATCGTGGAGCTATAATCCTAAACTACAATTTTACAGTTTAAATGAAGAGGAATCCAATGCGGAGGAAAAAATGTGGGATTTCTTCTTACTTAAAGGTGCAATGCATACGTTTTTTGTAGTTGGTATATACCGTGTGCGTGTCTCCATGGAGTTGTTATTGCTTTGCCTGTATGTTCCATATTAATAATAATCTATTTAATTAGCATTTATTTTATTGTGTGCATGTTTTAATTGTTCAAAAATACCTTGAAAAAACCTGCATTCTCCACAGATCTGAAGTGTAACTTGGCCTGAGCCACCTGGGAGTTAAGTTAAATGCTGTACTGTGGAATATTCTTGGCAAAGCAATAACACAGTCAATGCAAGGAGAGAGGCAGGTGATGTACTTCTTTAGAACAGTTGAGTAAAACATTTAAAATGATTTCATGGCACTATAGACTGGGAGTATTGGGTCATTGGATTAGCTGGTCGATTGATCCCTGCTAAAGACATTCCACAGTGTATTTGAGCCTGAGGTCGAGATGGTCGAGATTACTGCTCTACTTTGTTTCAGCTAATGAGTCTTTTCTTTCTTGTGATGGAGGACTAAGGGAGCAGAATGACAGACACCAATCTGTCTCCACGCAGGTCTGGCCTTAAAACAACTCAGATGTGCTAAAGAGTACACAGCAAAAACTGGAGGGTTAAAATGTCAGGGTTAAACATTTCAGTGTTGTTTTTAACACAAAAAATGGTATTTTAACTAACTAAATGGGGGTTGGAGTTGTGGATGTTTGTCAGAGTTGATTTGGTTGAAAATTAATTCAACTTCCCTTAGTGTTAATTTGACACCTCCCACCCACCACTTCAGACTCCCACAAAAGACCAGTTTGAACCAGTTTTGTTCATAATTTAATCTTAAATTAATTTAAATAAAGTGTAAATATAAAACACCTCTGGATAACCCTACAAACACACTCCACTTTTTGCTGTGTATACACCACAACTCTGAGTGTATACATAAAAAGAAGTATAGTACTGGTGTTTTATACTGAGACCAATAGCACCAGTACTGTTATAGGTGATCAGTTTGTGTCTAAACAAACATGGCTGCTAAAGAAGAAAAACATATGACTGTATGTATCCCAAGCCCCAGAGCTCGAACATGGTGAATGAATGGGCCAGGCTAAGCCTTAGTGCATAGGTACATCCAGTTGTTGTGACATGCACGTGCAAGGCGCGAAGTACGGTGTACCACATACTGACTGAAGGACTTTAAACAGAGAAGAAGTTTATATCTGAAAAGAGGCAAAAATCTCCACTAAGTCCCACCCTTTTGAAAGCTGGGGGTCCCTGCCAGCTTGGGTGACCAGAATTTTAAAATCAAAAACTGGCACACTCTTGGTTTGTGGTGATTGGTAATAATAAAATTGTGAAAGGAGAACCGTTCCGCACTTGGCCCATTCACGACTAATATGTGTATAGTCATATTTTCTTTGTATTTTAGTCATTTTTAAACAGCTTTTCTGTATTTTACCTAAACAAATGTCAATGTATGGCTCTCTTTACTGTCAGCAGTTATCAAATTGGGCCAAAATAGGGACATTTCTTAAATAAAACTGGGACAAATCAATGGTTTTGGATAAATTTGCTAGGACATGGGACATAGGGCTCAAAACTGGGACTGTCCCGGGTAAATAGGGACATCTGATCACTTTACTGCCTGCTGAACACTAGCATTTTGTGTTTACATTGCGTTCTGTGGGAAAAATGCTTTCTGAGCTGGAAAAGTTACCAGTGGACTGGCTACTACCCCACCTCATGACATGTTAAAGCTTGTAATACCCTCTCCAGATGTGTTAATAGTATATATAAAGATGTAGTGTGTTGTGTAGTACAGTGTTACCTTTATGTGATGCTGATCGGCTGTCACATCTGGGGCAGTGGGGGTTCTTGATCCTCCTCCCCGGGACGTGTTCCACCAGTTTACAGTAGACCTCGGGCTCGCTGTCTCCACAGGTCGCGTTGGCACTGATCTCCGCGTTGGACGCCAGGTTCAGGATGGCGGGGAACAGGCCTGGGGGTCAGAGGGCAGAGGTGAGAGGTCACGCAGGACAGGAACACAGGAAGGAAGAAGCCCAAAGAGGTAATTACAGAGATTTAGAACATATGGGAGGGTGTGGTGTGGACAAAGAAGAATGGTGAATACATTTTAGAAGTCTAGATAAAGTACAACGTTCATCCAATAACCTATGAATTACTACTACTTATACTGCATGTAACTGATGTCCCAGTGAGTTAAATGAGTATTTTTGTTGATGTAAATGTAGGGGGTTGTGTCAGGGAAGGGCAGCTGGCATAAAAGCTTAGCTGCAATTAATGTGTAAATGACTGCCCCCAGGAGGTAGAGAGTTTGTTGTGGTAATTTTATAGTTGAAAAATAATGTATGAAAGAAGAAGAACCATGGTCCTGTTTACATGCACACTCAAATCTGATTATTATCTAATCTCTGGACATTTAAGATGATTTAAATGTCATGCAAACTCTGCAAAATGTCATGCAAAATCTGATGTGAGTAATGATCAGAAATGAATTCAGTGATTTAGTAGTTTACATGTCATTTTAATGGTCTTATAATTCCAAAAATCTTATAATAATCAGATGTAGAGTGTGTACGTAAACACGGCCAGTGTTATCATTGTCAAAATTCTATTCACCAGACTGCAGACCATTTAGTGGAGGAAAAACTTGAAGTGATGAGCAATAACACTGTATACAAGATCATATCAAAGACTGATAATGGCTTCTGGATGAAAGTGGAAACATCTTGATTAAAAAATACTTTGTCCAGATAGCGTACCGTTGAAACCTTCTCTACCACAATACCAAAATAATGTAAATATTGTCTATAAGAAAACTGTCAAAAAACTACAAAAATGAGAAAAGAAATCAGGGTAAAAGGTTATTTATATTTTACAGTTAGTTTACTTACAATCCATGACTATCAGCACTTTTCTGATGGATTGCAAAACTATGAGATTATTATTATCGGGAGAATCAACAATATTGCAGATTTATTAAACTATTAGTGTACAATGAGTTGTTTTTAACACAAACTGTTATTTTAACTATTTTTAAAGTTAAATGGGGGTTGGAGCTGGGGTTATTTGCCAGAGCTGATATAGCTGAAGTTAATTCAACTTCCCTTAGAGTTAATTTGGCTCCTCCCACCCACCACTTAAACTCCCGTGAGAGAAGACCAGTTTGAACCAGTTTTGTTCATAATTTGATCTTAAATGAACTCAAACACAGTGTAAAAATAAAACACCTGTGTGTTGTTTAGCTAAATCAGGATAACCCTGAAAAGTGTTATCTGTTCACTCTCAAAACTTTAATATAACTTTTGATTTGTGGGCTAAACAGGAACTTTGGTCTAGTGTTACTTACTTACTTTAAGTAACATTTCCAAAAATAAATTAAATTTATTTAAATCAACTCTACAACAGACTGGACTTATATAAACCCTGAGAAAATGTTTAAATTGATTCTATTAGAGTCAATATTAACACTCCACTTTTTGCTGTGTACAGTAATAGTTTCGTTTAGTTTAGTTATTTAATGAGACAGGGACAGTGCATAATCTACATTAACCTGAACACTAGAGGAGATGTTTGTACTAGGTTGTAGCACCAGTGCTATTTTCCACCTGTCGTCCCTGAGCAGGTTCATTGACTGATTGTATTTAAATGACCTCAACTATCATCTATTCTTCTAGAGACCTACGTAACATGTCTTTGGGTTAGTTAGCAATGTGAATTTGTTAAACTCAAATCTGTTATAACAAGTCTAGATTCATTAGTAATAAAATATATCAGTCTAAGTGTATGACTAGTCCAGAGGTTGGCAATTATTTTAACCCAAGGGCCATTTTCAAATCCAGGCATGTGGTGGAGGGCCAAATCAAAGGGATCACTAGATTAATAAATGGTGATTTCTGTCAAATCTAGATTACTGTACGGCTATAATCATTACACAGCATTAAAACAAGCCAAGGGCCAGAGGATACAGCTCACAGCAGAAGTCACTGTCCATCTGTGTAAAGAGACTTAGGGCCAAAACATGCCGTTGGGTGCCACCTCCCGCCGCTCTCTCTCCCTACTGTGAGTCTGTAAACCTGAGGGCCCCTCTTGTGTCCCCCTGTATGCTCAGCTGTGTCGTATATGTGTGAAGAAGAAGAAGAAGAAAGACTTTGTGTGGTCTACAGCTTGACTCCCTTTTGTTTCCCTCCCACCCCCCCTCCACCAACTGTACTGCCCAGGGGGTACTGCACTTTCTTTGGGCGTGTGTTTGTGTCCGTGTGTGTGTGTCTGTGTGTGTGTGGGTGGTGGGGGGTCTGCGGACAGGACAGTGGGGCTAATGAAAGGGGCCGAAGGGGTGGCCATTATCTGGAGGAAGGGCGCGAGGCTTATCACAACAAACAGTTCCCACAATGCACCGGGGCTGTCGGCACCTCCGCGCCCCCCTCCGAGCACAAAGCGGTCAGGAGTGTATTGGGCCTAATTGGATGAAGTTTTTGGACTTGAGTGGGGGTCAAAGTTCAAGCTGTGTAAATCATTGAGCTTAAGAAGTGTTGTCGGAAAAGCCACAAGGGGGAAAGTGCCGGCAATCTGTCAAGTAGTTATTGAAAATGATATTCGCAAATCGGTTGACAGCATGAATTAAGAATTGATTTCTGAATTTGAGAATATTTTGACCAGATTTGAGTAGGCTAGAGTATTTTCAGTAAATATTTGTCAAGATTCACTTACATTTGACTAAATTTGAGACAATTTCATGTAGAGTTTTTGTGTATTTTTGATGAGATTCAAGCCATTTTCATAGATTTGACTTTATTTTATTTTTTTACCAAATTTGAGTTGATTTTAACTACTCTCTCACTCGCCAGTGGAATTTCCTGAAAGAGCAGTCTGTTAATAGTATTCTTTCATTAGATACACCAACTTCACGCTATTTTAACTTATTTTGTCATTTGTTTCTCAACTCCCAAAACTTAAAATGAAACCAAAATATGACACTTTTCCAGTAGCTAATTAAAGAGTTTGAAAATTGCTCTTCAAAATAAAAGCTTGAGCCAAAATGAGTTGTATCTACAGTGAAGACCTTTATTACGTACGCAGTAAACCGAACTTCAGAGGAGGTTTACACAAAGCTAATCAATGGCTAGGCAAAGTTAGCATAGCTGTAAATGAACTGAACAGAGAGTTTTGTCTGGGGCTTTCATTACAAGCAAACACACCTGGGCTATAAAAATAATCTGAAAATTCAATGAAAAATTTTAAGTAAATCAGAAAAATCAGTTTTACTTGACTGAATTGTGTTATTGTAATGTTTTTTTGTAATGCGTGAGTGTGGTGACTCTCAACCGCTAAAGGAGACAGATGTTGCAGTGAATTAGCAAAACCGTGTTACTTCTCAAAGGTGTGTCCTGTGTTGTCAACTGGTCAAGGGGGTCACATGAAGGTGATTTTCAGCTGGGAATGTTGTAGTTTTAGAGTAGGGTGGCCAGATTTTCAATTCTAAACTTAGACACACCCGGGTTGGGATGGTTGGTATAAATAAAACTGTGAAAAGAGAGTGGAATATTGTGCCTTCTCATGTCAGTCACAATCTTAGAAGCTTCTGTCACTGCATTTTTTTGGCTTTATGGTCATTCGCAAACATGGATTTCAGTAGTTTGGCTAAACAAATGACAATTTATGCTCCTCTTTACTGTTGGTGGGGATTAGATTAGTCAAAAAATTGTGATAGTCCTGGTTTAGTCCTGGTTTAGACCTGATGTAGGCCTGGTTTAGCCTTAGTTTAGTCCTGGTTTAGATCAAATTGGTCAAAAATAGGAACACCTGGGACATTTCTTGTAAAAAACTGGGATAAATCACTGGTTTGGGGTAAATCCACCGGGACAAGGGAAACAGGGCTCGAAACTGGGACTGTCCAGGGTCAATAGGGACGTCTGGTCACCCTATTTTAGTTAAAGTTAAGAAAGTGACATTTTTTTTCCAATTATATTATCTTGACTGAAATATTTTTAGGTTATTTTTTTATATGTACAGTAAAATCTGTCCCTGCACTAATAAAAAAGTGCAAATGCAAGTATTGGCAGCAATTTTCTGTTGTAATTATTTTTGGGGATCCACCGATCCCACTTTTTCAGTTCCGATACCCAATATCAACCAATACCAGTGTAGGGATGGAGAGTGTATAATTTTCTTAAAACACAATTCACAGATCCAACTGCATTAATTAACTGTTATTTAACCTTCAAATAAACTACTTAACAGCTTCGTATGAATACGATTTCAAACATTATGAGATGTTCTGGGACAAAATCAGCCTGTAAATAGTCTTATTACATTCACATAAAGGCCCAAACAGGATGTCTATGTAACCAATATCATGGAACCGATACCTGATCCAGCAAATTTTCTTGAATCGGCGCCGACATTTGATATTACTAAGTATCGGTGCAACCCTAATTATTTTCTGTATGAATAAGGGATTACACCCTTGTTCCGTTACTAATGATCATTTTGAAATTCCTGATATTGTTAAATCACCATGTTCAATTTGGTTTTATTTTTTAACTGGTTAAAAATACATTAAACTGATCTAAATGTACATTTCATGAAATAAACAAAGTCTGAACACTGCTCCAAAACACATACTGTAGATCAGTATTAAAAATATTCATGTTGAGAGATCTATTTTGAAAATCATTTGGCAATCCAAAAGTAAAATTTATATAGTTTCAGACAAATAATTTAGGGAAACTTTTTTATTTCAAAAAATCATTTCTTTAATGTTTAACTATTTGCAATTTGCATTTGTAAGTCACATTTCAGAGCAATTATTTGAGTCATTACTATATAACTTACTGTAACTACTATAACTTTTAATACAAACAATACTGGAAATATTACTTTGACATTACTATTTCAAAAAAGCATTTCTAACTTTAACTATTTGGAGTTTGCATTTGTAAGTCACAATTTATCCAAACAAATTTCAATTACCACACATTTTAGAATCACTACTTTCGGTATAACTTTTAATATAAGCCATACTAGAAATATTACTTTGACAGTACAATTTCTGGCCATACTACTTTCCTTAATCATCCTAAATCAACATCCTAAATTTGACTTAACAAACAACATACTAAACATTTTTCTAAACAAAACTGCATGGCTGCTTTAACTCTACCCTACAACTCTACTTACTTCTAGTTTTAAAGTCAGCAAACATGTTACCATAAATGTTATCAGTGACCAAAGTACTAACTGCAGACATAGAACTATAGAACACCCCATTTAAATAGGATAAATAAAGTAATACTGCTAATCTGCTAGCCCCACATTGTCCACCATTGTGAGATGCCATGTGAACATGCGAGTGTGAGGTCCGGCTTCTGATTGGACGCACATGGATACTAGGGATACTAGAAATAGCACTTGTTTTTGTTGCAAAGTAAACCAGCTTAACTCACTCACTGCCAAAGCATTTAATCACCCAGATATTAAAGTGCTCCAAAGTGTTAAGTATTTGAAATCAGAAATAAAACTGCATTTGAAAATATCTATCAAAATGTGTGTGTTTTGCTTGTTATGGTTTGTTAAAGTTACTAACCTCTTTCTTGGGCCTTAACTTCCAAAACCAGGAGAACCAATGGCAGCAGCAGCCTCATCTTGACCACAATTTGGCCCTGGTTTAGTAAAAAGATAAAGATGGAGCAATAAGCAAGGCACTTCAAACTTCTATAGAGCTTGGACCACTTCAAGAGCGTGCAATAAATCACGCCTGGGTTGTTGGTGCGATTCCAAAAGTGATTCCAGAAAAAAGTTGTGGGAAAAGTTGACAAACTTACTGCAGCAGCTTTGGTACCACCGGTTTAGTCCTGGTCTAGGCCCGGTGCGAACCCCGGTCTAGTCCCGGTCCTGGTCCTGGTTCGGTGCTGGAAATACTAACTAGAGGAAAGGTGGAATGCGTCGCTGAGCTCTTCTCCCGGAATCTGTCCCTCGCTCTTCTGAATGAGCCAGCCTTTATTCCATTCATTCAGAGCGGCCGTGGGGGAGGAGGAGGAGGAGGAGAGGGGGAGATGAGGGGGTGCCATGTGACTGGAGCCGAGAGAGAGGGAGAGAGAGAGAGAGAGAGAGAGAGAGAGAGAGAGAGAGAGAGAGAGAGAGAGAGAGAGAGAGAGAGAGAGAGAGAGGAGGGGGATTGGGGTCCCGGCAGGGTCGTACCATCTACACTCAGGGCCCGGGGGAGGAGGGATCTTTAAACCTGCATGAGAATAAAAGTGATGGTGAATTGTCAATATAGCCTGTTGACTTCAGCAGATTAAAACAAACCAAAAGAAAGGATACAGTTTTGATTTCTAATTGTGAAGAGTATAGATGGGAAGCAGTGAATTTACTTGGGTACAAATGGGGGAAATAGTTATTTAAATCCAAATCTACTTTATTTGTACAGCACATTTTACAAGCAAAGCAGTTTCCAAAGTGCTGCACAGAGATCACAAAATGAAGACAACAAAAAGGTAAATTGCTAAAATTTGGTCATACCAGTCCTACAACAATAAAACCAATAAAATTAAAAAGAAGCAAAGTAAAATAAACAAAAGACACAGACGAGCACACAACTCACTCAGTGTCAAAAGCCAGAGAATAAAAGTGAGTTTTAGTCTGATACACTGATACAGTAATAGTTAATTTTCTTACTTTCACTTTTTTATTTGCCTCTTTATTAACTGTAACGAGATATCTTACATGGATGTGTTTTGTGTTAACAATAGAATTCTCTAGAAAATGTTCTGCATTAGTAATGTGATTGGCTCACATATAAAATATACTGCAGTTTTGAGTTAGTCACGATCAGATGGGATGCAGAGTGTGCAGGATTTGACTGTGCAAGCTACAGAATACTCCCTGCACCAAACATACAAAGAGCCAGGGAAAATAACACTTAACACTAGACCATTGACGTTCATTTGGTCGTCCAATAAATTATGTTATTAGGGTTTTTTTTTTTCAGACCAAGAGTTTGTTTTCATACTTGACAGTTTCCAGTTTTCTATAAACTGGGACGAGGGGGCTTTGTCACTCTCACACACCTGGGATACTTTGTCACTCTCATACACCTGGGATACTGTCCTGAAGAAGTCGGGCTGCAGATGACGCTGTCATCCTGCCCCCACTGGTAGGAAGACGGTTCCAAAACCTATTTAAATCAGCTGACAAGTGGGAGGAAGACCACAGGGAGCAGTCCAAACTGTCAGGTATGAAAACAAACTCTTGGTCTGAAAAAAGAACCTGATAACATAACACTAGAATTGAACAGTTTTATTAATCATGTTTTCTGTATTAACTATCTTAATTTGGCTCTTTCTCTTCCATGTAGGGAAGTACTATATAGTTGTATATTATACAGTACATTATACATTACAGCTATTTTCTTCTGCAACTCGGTGTATGTAAACCTAGGTTTTGCATACATGTGCATAATTAAGGAAAACTGTTCTGCACTACACACTAATGTCAGTCAGTATAGTCACATTTTCTTTGTGTTTTGGTCATTTTTAAGCAGCTTTTCTGTATTTTACCTAAACAAATAACAATTTATGTCTCTCTTTACTGTTGGCAGGGATCAGATTGGTCAAAAATAGAGACACCTGGGACATTTCTTGTATAAAACTGAGAAAAAACACTGGTTTTGGATAAATCTGCGGTAACAGTGGCCAAAATAGGGACGTCTGGTCACCCTGATATACTCACATGTATTACTGCTGCCATGACAAGTTTTCACATTTTTGTTTTGTGTAGATTCATTCAAGAGAATCCATTTCCACCCCAACAGATCTACAATCAAAAATACTGGTTAATAAACACAGAGTAAGGTATTCACAATAAAAACAGTTACTCACTCCATCAAGAATAGCTCTACTTCCACAGCTCATGGAGATCAAAATAAATATAAAAATACGGTAGTGTAAAAAGTATTCAATAGTTTCCGACAGCATGATAATGATGATAATGAACAGTTGGCTAATTAGCAAAACTAGACAGATGGCGAGCTACACCTAAAGGTCAAACATCACTTTTGTTAGCTATATCATTTCTTAATTGTTTTGAAAATGTTACGTTCCTTCATGTCAGAATTTATAATAACGAGAATTAACTTTAAATTCGTGGAGAAATAAGAAATCTGGAAGTGCAAGTCACCACAGGACAGCAAATTATTATAGCATATTTTTTTGCAACCGCTAGATGGCAGTATTTGTTTAGAGATCAGCGCGTATAACGTATAACATAATTTGCGAATTATTTATTTTATTTTATCTTATTTTATTTTTTTAGGGAATCATACTCCTAATTTAAACCATGTATCCATTCGCACTTTTTATTTAAGGTTACAGGAATTTAAATAAATTAAAGTTACAAATAACTATTTTCAAAATACTGGGACACACCATGGGGCACACCCGGGTTGGAATATTTGGTATAAATAAAATTGTCAAAAGAGCGTCTAACATTATGCGTTTTCATGTCAGTTATAATCTGTTACTGCATTTTAAAATGTATTATTATTCTTTTATTTCATTTATTTCTGTTTTTTTTTTTTTTTTTTTTTTTTTTTTTTTTTTCCCTTATTGGTCATTCGCAAACACGGATTTCTGTATTTTGCCTACACAATTGACAATGTATGCTTCTCCTCTGGGGGTCAGACAAAAATTGTGACAGTCCTGTTTTAGTCCTGTTTTAGACCTGACATAGTCTTGGTTAAGTCTTCAGTCCTGCTTTAGATCAAGCTGGTTAAAAATAGGGAAACCTGGGACATTTTTGTAAAAAAAAAAAACCGGGACAAATCACTGGTTTTGTATAAATCTACTGGGACAGGGGACACAGGGCTCAAAACGGGACGTCTGGTCACTCTAAATTATTGAGCTCGTCCAATGCGGAACGTTCATGCGGCTCCAGTGGTTCCTACCCGGAAGCGTATACTAAAAGCACAGTAAAAACATGGCAGCCAACATAGAGCAAATCTTTCAAGATTTTATTTTGAACAAAATCAAAGAAATTGAAGAACAAAAGGAGGAACACACGTAAGTCACGGCGCTGTTTTGGAGTAATCTATCGGGGTTTACGATGCCTCAATCAAACGCTCTGATAGTACTAATTACAACAAATAACGCTGGTATTAGGGATTAATGGAGCAGCATTGGTGGACTCCGAACCCTTGAGTTATGGAAAAAAAGGAAATGTTCTTTGTATCTCGTTAATAAATCGTCTGTGGCAGGTTAACAGCTCTTGTTATGACTTGTTTCTAAACTTTGATTATGTCGATTGCAAGCTGCGATGCAAAACCTGTTACCATGCAGTTTTAGGATGAATTTACCTCTCCTGGGGTTTAGGATCGCTGACAATTACAAATTAGTGTCTAGATTAAGGTGTCCAGACGTCCCTTTTTACCCAGGACAGTCCCAGTTTTGAGCCCTGTATCCTCTGTCCCAGCAGATCTATCCAAAACCAGTGATTTGACTCAGTTTTATACAAGAAATGTCCCTGGTGTCTCTATTTTGAACCAATCTGATCCCTGCCAACAGTAAAGAGAGACATATATTGTCATTTGGTTCGGTAAAATACAGAAAAGACTAAGAAAATGTGACTGTACTGACTCATGCTAGTCATGAATAGGCCAAGTGCAGAACAATTTTCCTTAACTAGTCACTCGTTTCACAATTGTATTATTACCAACCACCACAAACCGAGAGTGTGCGTTTTTTTATTTTGAAAATCTGGTCACCCTATTCTAGATGAGACAATGAATATTTACAAATCAGATTATGCAAGATTTTATATGAATGCACTTCATCTAACCTTGTGTTTTGTTGAGGGGCCACTACTGCGACTGCTGCGACTTAACTTTGTCACTGTTGTTGTTGTTTTTCTCTTGAACCAATTCTCTTGAAGTTCACTTTCACTACTACTGCTTTAATCTGTCAAAACTGTTGAAGTGCAATAGGAAATATGAATATGACAAAATAAACAATATAATGAACTCTTGAGCCTTCATAGATATTGTTAATTTCTCATTTAATCTCAGCAGAAGCTCCTCAGTTTCACACCGCAGAACCACGTTTGGACAGTCGGCCTTCTCATGTCAGTAAACTGTAAACTATGGAACTCACCAGCCCCTGAACTAAAGTGCATTAAGTTTTGCACCTCAAGGCTCAAGTCCTGGTTAAAATACTCAAATACTAAAATACTACTTTATGCCACTGACGCATAACAATAAAGCAGGATAATCCTGGTAAATAGTGTTTACATAGACTGTATCATTAAAAAGCCTGAGCTACAACAAACAAATAGCAGAACTACCTGATAATTTGCCATAGAAGTGACTTATTCAGCCCTCTACAGCTCAAATCTTTTTCAATTCAAATTTCAAAAATCTCCCCATTATTGCAAAGAACTTGTACATGTGATAAATCTTGAGTCCCAGAATGTGCAGTTGCAGCTTTTGTATATTAAATGATATGAGTGTAAACAGTAATTATAATGACAGGCCAAGGTTAAAAACAAACCAAAGTTGTGCCCATCTGTACTGTTGTGTGTGTGAATGTGGGAATGTCTGAAATGTGACACTGTGCTGTTTGTGCTTTTGAACTGTTTTGTGCAGGGAAATGCACAACCAGGAACAAGAGTTGAGAAATAGCACTAGATATATACTCTACTGTATATGTATCAGCTGCATGCTTTGCCTGTGACTGTGCATGACTACACTGTCCCTGTGAAATAAAGAAATAGCAATGAATAAGGAAAGGCAAGTTTATTTGTATAGCACAAATCGTACATAAATTCAAAGTGCAATAAGAAAGAGACATTAAATGAGAGAGAAGAGAGCAGAATGAAAAATGAAAAGCTTTCAGTCATATGCTGCTGAACAGAACTGTTTTGAGCCTGGATTTAAACAGAGTCGAAGTAGAGTCTGTCTCACATGTTCACGAAAACTGTTCCAGGTTTTAGCTGCATGAATCTGAAATGCTGACTCCCCGAGTTTAGTCCTGACTCTGGGCACCAGCAAGAGGCTGGGTTTAAACCAGAACTAAACCAGGACTACATCAGGACTAAACCATGACTACACCAGGAGGCCAGTTCCTGAGCTCCTCAGAGTGCAGATGGTTCATATGGCACTAACATGTTAGTGATATACTTTGGTGCTCGGCCATAGAGAGATTTGTGCAAGCAGAGCCACTTTAAAGTCTCTGAGCCATAGGGGCCAGTGCAGAGACCAGAGCACAGGACACATGTGCTTGTATTTCCAGGTTCATGTCAGGATCCGTGCTGCAGAGCTCTGGATGTTCTGCAGCGTCTCACAGTGAGCAGAGGCCGTTACAGAAATCTAACCTACTGGAGACAACACATGGATAAGAGTCTCCAAGTCTGCTTTAGACACTATACCTGTGATTTTTGCTGTTTTTAGATGGTAAAAGGCTGCAGATGTTATTGATTTGATGTGGTTGTTAAAATTCAAGTCTGAGTCCACCCCGAGATTTCTAGTCCGAGAGAGACTGGAGAGATGACTGCTGACACTGTCTCTTTGTTTCTGTGGGACAAACACTATGACTTCAGTCTTGTCTGAGTTTGGCTGGAGAAAGTTGTTTTTTCTCAAGCTTTCTTTTCTCCCAGATATAAATGCAGTGTTAGTTAGTTAGTTAATTTTTCTTCACTCAATTTACATAATCATTAATCACAGTTCCGGTACAATGATTTAACACAGAAATGATGCATAACACAAAAGTTATTCTACAGACCAAAGGGGTTTAGGCTGAAGTTTTAACACTTATTTTGCCAAACCCTATTACATTACATTACATTATACAAGACGACAGAACAATTTACAGAAAAAAACTCATCTTTTATGAGTGCAGGAAAGAATACATACTTCTTAAATAGTTTTTTTGTTTGATTGTTTTTTTTTTTTTGCAATACAGACACACAATCCAGTACACATCGATGGTCATATACACACACATACACGCACACACACTGATGCCTGACAGACACAAGTCTTCAACTTTAAAATGTATAGAACATTTTCATTTGCAATTATCTTTACGTAAAAAGGTAGTTTGTTGCTTTACTTGCAGTTGCTTGTGCTTTCTCTAAACGTGAACACATATTATAGTATTCCTTTATTTCTTCTCTCAGTGTTCCTGTTGCAGAGAACAGCCACACAGAGGCATGCCGAAAGACCAGCTCTCCTGAAAAACGCCCTCGCAGCCCCAGTCCGCAAAACAAAAAACATAAGAAGAAGAGCAAGAAACACAAGAGCAAGAAGAAGAAGAAGAAGAGCAAAGGGAGGGATAGAGACAGTAGTGATTCAGACGACAGCCGTGGTAAACATCACAGGTACGCTTAGAAATGGAGGGGGAAAACGGACCAAACCAAGTATACATTAAGACTAAAGTGGAATCAAACCAGAACCAAGACAAGTGTAACAATGTGTAACCTTTCTGGTGGTTGTTTCTTTTGTCACCTGCTTGTCTTTATGGGGGTACAGTATATCTGTGCCTGGAAAGGTCCACAGTCCAGCTTCAGTTCATTTATTCATTAACACATTTCTTATTCCAAAAAACTTAGAAAACATGCATTTTCACATTGAACGGGGTTGCCTCTCCTCAGATCTGACCTCATCTCCATGAAGACAACTAAGTTTAATGCCTTAGCGTGGAACATTTTAGGCTAAGCAATTACCATAGACACAAGCAGGTTGCAGATCCTCTAGCAAAGTTCTTAAGTGAATACTAGTACTAGATTGCAATTTAAATTTGACCACTTGTTTTGGGTAGTGAACTAACTTATTAACAAAAAGCAGGATGTTTTGTCCTTTACATTTCATGGTGCATTTGTTAAGCCATATTATCTAGACACTCTTGACTGTGATCACCATTGGGGCAGTTTTAGAATGATTAAAGGGCCACTAAACACCAAAATCACTTTTTCTACTGATCATCTGTGTAAATGGGTCTAAAATAGAAGAGTATCTATGTCCCTGGCCTTATTTTGGCAATTTCATGCATAGTTGTTAAAAATGGGACTTCTGGGTCAAAGTCGTGTCTGTATCGGCCTCTTTAGGATCAACTACAGCCAGAACATTTGAATTTTGGGGTTGGACTAACGATGCCGATGAGTCATATGCAGGTTATTACATGACGAGCGCAGACACTGGTGTCTACGGGCTGTGCCAGGTAGGGGTGGGGTTGGGCTCCCCACCTCACCCCTACCTTGCACAGCTGGTCCTGCAATGTCCTGCTGTGTCTGGAGAAAAGGGAAATGGCGTGATCCAAGAGCAAATGTCCGCTCTGTTTTAAAGTCTGGAGTGCATCGGTTTGCACCGTGATTGTCGTGGCTGTCAGTCAACTGTCAATCATCACTCCAGAGCCCGCCCCACACCCGCTCCTCCCAACCTGCCGGGCACCGATTTTTCAGATTTTGCTTAGGGGTGGAGTAAACTTTCGGGAGGGGGTTTAATGCCTCTTTAACATTGTTTTCTCGTCATATAATTTTATTGACGTACACTACTGGTCAAAAGTTTTAGAACATCACACTTTTTCCAGTTCTGTATTGTTTACTGTTGACCAAAACATATTCTAAACTTTTGATTGATGTGTGTGTCCACCTTTGGCAGATAGAACAGCTGAACACACTCGTGACTCGTTCTTTTGACAATAGAAATCAAATATTGTTGAGAAAGTTCTTCCCAAGTCTGTTGCAGAAGTTTCATAAATGTGTGGCACTTGTAGGTTGCTTCATTCTTCTGTCCAGTTCATCCCAAACCAGCTCCATGGGGTTTAAGTCTGGACACTGTGCTGCTGGACACTCCAGGTTTTCAAGCTTTACCATCTTGTTCTTTTTTCCTGAGGTGGTTTTGGCAGAGCTTGGACTTGTGTTTTGTTCTTTTATCATTTTCTTAACACCTGTTTGTTCAGTTCTTACCTTTGTACCATTTCAATCTCTTCATTGGACTTGCTGGAAGAATTAGGGTGTTCTAAAACCTTTGACCGGTAGTGTGGCTTAATTAATAACAAACATGAATGTTATTATTTCACCATGTCTTTAGAATGGAAGGTTTTCATTCATAACATAATTATTTGTTTTCTTAGATCAAAAGAAGAAAGGGAAAGTAAAGATAAAGGTGAGCATGTTCATATTTTAAGTCCACAGATGGTCCGCCTATGCAATATTTTAACTTCTACTACGACTACAGTATACTATCAGAATTTATGAAGCCATGTACTCAGTTGACATCGTGTTTGTGTATCTGGGTGCAGACAGTGATCGGACATCGAGCCGACATCGCCACAAGTCCCCAGATGAAGACAGGAGGAAGAAGAGGAGGAAGAGGAGTAAAGAGAAAGACAGTTCTGATTCAGACAGCGATGGGAGGGAGGCCAAGAGAGACAAGACTAACGGACCCAGTCACCAACCACAGCTGCCAGACATCATCCCCAAACAGGTACACCAGAAACAACTCAAATTACCTGCTGAAATTGTAGCATGAAATCTGTTAGTAGTTAATAGAAGTGTAATACCTCCTCTTTAATGAATTATTCTTCACTATTTTATAGGAAAGTTCAAGTAAGACGAACAGGAAACAAGAGTCCACACACAAGTCCTCCCGCTCCCGGACAAGATCAAGGTCTCGGTCTCATTCCCGATCCCAATCCCAGTCCCATTCCTCTGCACCTAAGAAAGAGTCGGACACCGGAGACCACAGGAAATCCAGAACAAGATCTAGGTACAAATATAACTTTATAATAAATCATTGTCACATATTTTTGCTGCATTTGGGCAACAAGTCAATAGAAACAGTATTTTACATTTATCAACCAAAAGTGTCATTGTCGTATTTATCTTTTCAACATGGATTTAAATGTTTTGATAGATCTGCCGAGAAAAAGCCCCCCTCTGCTGCTGACCCCCCTGACCCCGCGCCAACCTCCACCGCCGAGCCCGTGGGTGTTGAGGTACTCCCCAGCTCCACCGAGCACCAGCCCACAGAGGAGGGCCTGACCACGGTAGAGCCAAGCGCACAGCCAGCCTCCTCTGAGAAGGAAGAAGAAAAGACGGAAGATAAAACACAAGAGACACCAAAAAGCGAAGGTAAGAGATGTGACAAAATCTAAATGTGATGATACTGGGGGTATTCCATTAAAGTCGCTTAAAATGTCTAGGCTTATCCTGATATCCAGAGATCAAACCAGCTCCATCTCCAGTTTAAGCCTCAAGACAACTGAACTTTTCTTGTCATTCTGATCCGAGGAGCGAGAGGAAAGACATGACTCCCCCACCTCTCCTGTTTGCTCACTCTCCTCTCCCGGTCACTCCGCGGTTAGAAAAGAGGCTGACTGCAGAGTCTGGTTAATGCAGAGAACAAAGTTACCTGACCCTTAGTAGTCTTCAGCGTGTAGAGATTGTTCCGCTGTGCGTAGAAGTAAAGCTGTAATGAAAATTGTGCCGAGAAAATCTGTGCAGACGTGTTTGCAGTTTGAGAGGGAATGAGAGACGGGGGAAAGACAAGAGAGAGAGAGGGACAGACGTGATGAAGGAGCAAACAGCCACAACCCACTGAACACCAGCTCATCCTCTCTGTCCAAACCAGCGTCCCACGCTTAGGGGCATACGGCCGGTAAAAATCTCAAGCGACAGACAACTTTAGAAGTCACTTTTTAAACTATATGAGAGGGAGAGAGGTGTTCTAACACAGTGTGTCACTGCACATGCTTCTTACTACAGCAACTCAGCACCAACTCTGGTTAATCACTTTGGTGGACGGAAATGGAACTGAGGATTTGATGAGCTGGGATAGACCAAATGAGCCAGGATTTGGCTTTAACTCACTTTATAGAATATCCCCCCGTGTTCTTATTGCACCAATAAAGTAAACCCCAGAACTTAAAACTGACAATCCATTTTTAAATGAACCTATTTTTTGAAATGTACCTCTTTTTTTTAAATATTTGTTTGTTTTAGGCTATGGGCCTAAATGTGACTAATCATGCCATATACTACATATATATAAAAATATAATAATAAATAATATACTTAATAAATTGTAATTATAGACTTCCTATGGGGTCCAGTCAAGCAGTAACGGAGGGAAACAGGGGCAGATTTCTGACATTCAAATAGCTCTTATTCGGAAACTAGAGGAACTATTGAAATAAGTAAAGTATCAGAATGTAGGAAAGAGTTAACACTCTTGCCTCTTACTTTTTGAGTCATGAGATTTTTTATTAAGAAAGGTCATGGTAACGGAGGGAAAAGTAACGGAGGGAAAATTGTGCAAGCAAATAGAAGGTGCAGGATTTTATATCATTTGTCAGTTTTTTTCTTCTGAATACTTTAATATTACTTCAAAATGAAAGGAAACTATTTCTATAAAATATGTCAGTCCTTCCAAGCAAATTTGTATCATTTTAAATACTTTTTTTTTTTGAAAAATCATGTACCTTCATCAACAGTTCAAAGATGGAATAACACAAGATATGATGAAATACATCCATTTATTTACAGGATTTGCAGGTCTTTGAAATTTGGGAAATAATTTTTGTTCCATGTTTCATACATGGTCTGTTTAAAATGTATGGAACTTTAGAACCAAAAATGGTACAGAAAAAAGGTCAACAATTTCATAAACTAGAGTACATATGTATCTGTTGAATACATATTTATATCAGATGCATTAACTTGAATTTTTGGCCTTGCTGTTTACTTCTGCTTGACCAGGTCCTATGTCCTTTTTGCCACATTGTGATTTGTTATTTTCCTTATTATTAACAGTGTGCAGATAAGTCATATTCTGTGTGGGTTTTGAGAGGGAAAGTGGAGGAGGGCCCTGAGCACCACGACTGCTCCTTTAACATGAGGTGGATTCTGAGTGACCGTCTCTAAGCACCCACTGTGTATTTGAATATAGATAATGAATAAAAGTAACCAGAGAGAGGCAGGCAGGCCTGTTGTACTGCAGAATTGTGTGTAATTTGTAATAACAGTGTTATATTATTTTAGGTCAAAGTACATCTCAATCCACTACTGCCAAGTTGGTTACTGAGGACAAACCCAAACGTACATCGTCTAGTGCAGACTCCCCATCGAAACACCGGAAGAAAAGCAGCCGCTCGCCGCAAAAGAAGAAGGAGCACAAGACCTCCAGGAGAGCCCGGGGGTCCAGGAGCAGGTCCACCAGCAGGTCCGCCAGTCACAGGAGGCGCTCGAGAAGCAGGAGTCCACGCAGGAGGAGGTCACGGTCAAGGTCACTATGGACTTTTAACTTGGGACTGTTTAGCAACATTTGCAACGAGGCACAATCTATAAGCTAGTTAGTTCTTAGAATTAAATCAAGATTTAGATTCTGTCATCTCTAATCGTCAATGATCAGTTTGAGGTTTTGTGATCCAGAACTCCACATCCAGTCCTCTATGAGAAAAACAAAACTGTGGTTGGGGGTTCAGACTTTGGACCAAGAAATTTTACAATTTCCTGTGTTAAAAAAATCGTTCTTATATATATCTAAAATAATAATGCAAATAATTTATATAAAAAACTTTTAATCCATAGTGTCTTGAGTTTTTCAAGCTAATTTAGAAAAATCGATTCTGAATCATGAATCAAGAATCACTTCAAGAATTCAACCTTCTCACTTTTATTTGCGATGTGGTTGTGTGTGAAGGTCGAGAGGTCGGAGGTCACATCGTACCCGTAGCCGCTCCACGTCCAAAGATCGCCGGAAGAGGAACCCGTACAGCCAGAGGGACCGCTGGAGGAGGGAGCCCAGTCACTCCCCCGTACTCATCCTCCGGAAAAATCGATCCCCCGCAGGAAGAAAACACGGCAGCTCCAGCCCCCACCGCATCAGCGACCTTGGTCAGTCTAGTCCTACCGTATGGGAACTGAAAACAAACACATATCATGCTTTTTTGAACATATGTTCATTTTGTAACACAATAGTTTTAACACAATTTCATGAAGCAGGTCCATTGACTTCCTGTTCAAATTCACAAAATGGACAAGCAGCAGATTTTCATTGAATTAACTACAATACAAGACATGTGTTGTAGTCTGAGATTTTTTTTTTTTTTTTTTTTTTTTGAATAATCACACAGTGTAGCCGTGGGGTCTTAAAAGTCTTAAAAAGGTCTTAAATTTCATGTTCCCAAATTAAGGCCTTAAAAAGTAAAAATTTTGTTGTCCAAGTCTTATTTTTTTCACAAAGGTCTTAAATTCTATTAGCCTATTTTTTTGTTTACTCAACCAGGCTGTAGTGCAATGTTAAACAGAGGGAGGAAAAAACAACAACAACAACAACATGAATGAATGTTTAATTTGGAGTATGGGCAAACAATACTTAGTTTGTCTTGTTAGAATGTTATAAATGATTTTTTGGCCATTTGCAAACAATGCATCCTACTATGAATGAGTTTTAAATGAGATTCTATAATAATACTATTTATTGTTATTTAAAGCAGTGAGCAATGGTCACTATTAGAATTGGATCTGGTGTTTCTCTCCCGAATAATGGGTGCAATGTTGGTCTTAATTTTCAATTAAGTGGTCTTAAAAAGCTCTTAAAAAAGTCTTAAATTTGGGGTAGTCAAACCTGGGGATACCCTGTCACAAGTAAGTACAGAGCAGTGGGTGGATAGGGGGTAATTGAAAAGAGGAATTTTCTTAGCACTCAAGCTTCGAATACAGGACTACACAGGATTACGCAAACATGCAGGAATCAGTCCAAAAACAACTCTGAGTAAACTAATGGTGAAAAGAACACAGTTATGGTTAAAAGTACATTTTGCGTAATGTTTGTGTTCTTTTGTGTTTAGATAAGGAGCAGCTGTTGGAGATCGCCAAAGCAAACGCTGCAGCCATGTGTGTGAAAGCCGGCATGCCTGTCCCCTCCAGTCTGCGCTCAACAGCAGCTCCACTCAACCTGCCTATGGCCATGAACCCGGCGATGGCCAGTATGACCGCAGGTGAGGCCACCACTGTTACTCATGGGGTACTGAGATTATTATGTTTATGTTTATCAAGCACATCACAATCACATTAAACAAGCCAGACATAAAAACAAACAAGACACATTAGTTACATACAGATACAGCATTATTACATTTTGGTTGGAAACATACAATAATTTTAATTTACTTTTAAATTTGTTGATATTGGTTTCCTATTTTAAATCAGCTGGTAGCAGGTCCACAGTCTGACCCCTTTGACAGAGAAAGAGACTGAACCAGAATCTCACTAGTCCCACCACTAGTAGCATCTCTTCTCTTCATCTCTTCTCTCATCTCTTGTAGTATCTCTGTGTGTACACTTTATGGTCCTGGCAAATTCTGAATTCAGTGGTGTATCAGACACTTAAAAAAAAAAAGATGATTAAAATTGGTAAAAATATTCAATAGGTTATGTTTCTTTAAAATATCAAAGTGGTGCCAGTGTCTGTCAGTGGCTTTTTTTCAAGGACCTTAAGGGTCACTTTCTAAAATGAACAGAGAGGTTTCAGTTAGAGCTGCTCGATTATGGAAAAAATCATTATCACAACTATTTTGGTCAATATTGAAATCACGATTATTCAATTATCATTATTTTTTAGTTACACAATGCATTCAGCATTTCTCTCTCTCAAAAAAAAAACACTTTGTTATTGATAATTTAAGCAAAACTGAAGATAAATATAGGCGTGGAAAAACATAAATGTGTCCAGAATAAACTATATTCTGTTCTACAATCTCTGTATTTAAAAATTTATATTTAAAATATCCCAAAATAAACTTTGTTAAGCTTTAGTCATTTCAACTCAATTATATGAGTTTGGAGATCTTTTGACATAAAAATTGAAATCACAATCAAAATTCCGTGACTTGCACAGCCTTAGTTTGAGGTGATACAATAAGATCGATGAGAGAAGATCACTGCGTTCATGAATAGTTTTGAAGTCAGGAGCGTTACATCTTCACGTATAAAACGAAAGTAACTGAGACTAGTTTTAATCTTTTTCGTTAAGTAATTTGTGTGACTGAAAAATTTGACATTTTCATCCAGAATGAGGCCAAGATATTTAACTTCTTAACTTTGCCTGTTTGAATTTTCTCATTTTGAATAGTCACTTCAAAATCACAGTTTTTTTGTTTGTGTACACACTGAAGAACAAAGAGAAACTGTTTTTTCAAAGTCAAGTGAGACGTGCAATGAGACTCAGATGTTCGTTTTTGCAGATACATACAACACAGTATCATCAACATACATTTCAACTTTAACTGTAGGACAGCATTAGAACAAAGTCATTCTATTATATATTAAAAGTATGTAGGTGTTCTTGCTTTCTTTGGAATGTTAACATTGAGATGCTGCCAAGAAGCCAGGTCAGCTATGTGGAGAGGCAAAAACTCTCAGACATAATGTTTTAAGGTATTTTTGGCAATAAATGCAACTGTAATTGAAAAATGCAAGATATAGAAGTTTTAATGCCATCAATTTCCATGGAGACAAGCAGATGTAAAGTTCCATTGTGTACCTTTTAATATCTAATAATAACATTACATTCTGTTTTATTTGTGAAATATATGGCACAAGCATCATATCATTTTACATGTATGAAATATTTATCAACTATTAGTTTAGTTTAGTTAAAGTTTAATCTTTACTTGTCAGGGCCTGTGTACTAACTCATTAATCTTACCCAAAAAAAAGAACAGTACCAGATTTTGCTACTGCTGCTTCCCGTCTGCAGCTCCCTGGGCCGGTGAACACATTCAAAATACACATTACATTACACAAGACTATCATCATTCATTTTAGCATCATTACACAATTGTTTTCCTACAAATACCTGTTCTTTTGAGTGATTTATAAAATAAATGTGTGAACTTCAATGAAAAAGGATATGTCCAGTCATAACTTTCTCTCAATAATTCCCAAATCTCCACAAAGAACTCTACTTCTCTTCTAACTTTACCCTGTCCTGTCTCACTTTCAGCCTCCATGACCGCAGCCCTGTCCAACATCAGCTCCCTCCTGCCCTCCCTGAGCAGTAAACCCTCGTCTGGCTCCGGCGCGCTCAGCTCTGCCCTGGAGGAGGTCAAGAAGAGCGTACAGAAGCAGGCTAACATCATTAGCATCAAAGAGTTCACCGAGGTAAAGACCAGATCATTGCAGAATTAATCTGCTCTTACTAAAAATGTGTCTGTTAAACATGTATTAAATGTGTGTGCAGAAATGTAAGATGATCGTGGACAGTAAAGGCGAGCTTCCGGTGGCGGCTCCTCACGTCTCAGATGAAGAGGATGAAGGGAAACCATTTGGAGCAGCAGCGGTTAAAGAGCAGAAGGCTATCCGCTTTAGTATTACTGTAAGAACAAATCCACACACTGCACAGGGCATTATTAGTCTGATAACTTCAATTACCGTATTTTGTGCAGTGTAGGGCGCTCTGGATGATAAGGCACTGTCATTGAATGGTCTATTTTCAAACTTTTTTCACATATAAACCACACCGGACTATAAGGCGCATTAAACCAAACACAACAGTTGGATAAGTCAGTCAAACTTTATTTAACACGTTCACAATAACTCTCAACTTTGTTCAATTGTAACGTGTAAAAAAAAAAATACTGTCTGAGATGCTAAATTGTTAGAGTATTCACAATAAGTCATAATAGTTGAAACAGCTGGGTGATTCCGGTGTCCACACGTCCACATCCCTCTCGTCATTATCCGAGTCAGTGTGGTTATTGTTCCCTGGCAGTTCAGTGATGATTCTGGTCTTGGTGAAAGCTCGGACCACAGTTGATACTGATCCTTAGCCCGGGCGTCCACGATCCGTTGGCAGATCGTGGCGTTAAGTGGCTCGGCGCTGTCTCTCTGTCTTGGTGAATGTGTATTCTCCTTCTCTCATCCACTGCTCCCACGCAGCTCACACTTTCACTTTAGAACAGTCTTGAGTTTAAAGTGGGCGTTGTAAGTGTGTCTCTTGACTGGTGCATTTTGATATTAAAAGGAATCAGTATGTTTTACTCCTGATGCTCCTGACTACGGGAGCCATAATGCTGCAAGTGGAGCGGCTTTGTAGTTTACTAAAGTTGTACTAAGACACTCCAATAAATTCATATATAAGGCGCTCTGGATTATAAGGCGCGCACTCATTTTTTTTATGAAATTAAAGGCTTTTAAGTGTACCCTTTAGTGCGGAAAATACGGTACCTGTTATCAACTTTTAGTTCAGTTTAGTTCAGTTTACTCTTCACTTGTCAGGGACCATGTACAAATTCATTATCTTACACATTACATTACATTACCAGACTAACTTAGCTCATCATTAAAGGTGCATAACTTTTCTGGAATGTTTCACAGTATGGCATTAAACCTTTCTATCATCACGAAACCAAACCAGACCAAGTTACAGGTCAGATCTGTGGAGAGGTGACCCCACTCACAGTCAGAATCCCTGTTTCTTTAGGTATTTTTGAGCTCTAAAACCAATGTAAACTAGGGCTATTTAATGTCACACTGTGGAAAATTTCAGACAGAGCTATTACATATCTATAGAAACGAGCAGGTGGTGGACCCTTACAGTGCACCTTTAGCAGTAAAATACAATACACAATGGCAAATACATTATAGTTGCACAAATGTAAAGACTTGGACTGTGAATATATTCGTAATAAACAAAACCATATTTGAAGTTAACTAGAACCAGCGCCATTATCAGTTTCAACGCACATCCATATTATTATTTCATAAAGTATAGTTGAGATTTTTTAATGAAATGGACTATAGCACAATCTTATTTTATACAGTTAACAGAATTAAATTTCTCCTTTGCTTTGGATCCTACCTGAACAACACAAGCACTTATACATTTGCATCACTTTGACATACAATGTTTTTATATGCATTTCTGTAGTTTACTGCTGAAATGAACCTTTTTAAACTATAAGACACACAATAAAAGAAACCACAATTCCAAGTTTATTTTGTATTATTATAACATAAAAAAAAAATATTTTGTAAAGTAATGTTAAATGTATTCCTTCTTGTCCAGAACATGGGTGTCCGTCCAACTGTCAGGAGCGACGCAGGCATCGCCAAAGAGTTCCCCGTGTCCTCTGGGTCCCAACATCGAAAAAAGGTTTGTCAAGTAGCTTCTCATAATACTTTGTGTATGATCATTCTTTTGATGTTATTTGTTTGTACGTGTGTGCAGGAGGGCGAGGGGCAGGGCGCGTACGGAGAATGGGTCCCAGTTGAAAAGACCAATGAGAAAGCAGCATCCAATCCCAAGAAGAGCTCCTCGACGTCGGGCAAGTCATCAGCAGAGACTGGGTCTGGAGCAGAACCAGAGCCAACTGTGGAACATGACAGTGTGTTCCCAGAGCCCCCACTACAGGTAAGACCCCACACTACAAGTGACTTGAAAGTGTGTAATATTTACAAAAATGAAAGGTGTATTATGTAACTTTTCTGGTGGAGGGTTTGTAAAAGTCATATTCTAAAAGGTTTATTGTCAATTCTTCATACAAAACATTGAAATTGTATTTCTCACTTCCAAGCGTGTAAATCAATTAATAATAAATGGAATAAATGTGTGGGCCCACACAGTGATGCAGCTGGAAAGGATGCTCTCAGTGGTTCCTCTGTAGAAAGTGCTCATGATGGTGGTGAGGCACTTGCCCATTTCAGTTTCCACAGGAAGTAGAGCTGCTGCTGGGCTTTCTTCACCAATGGTGCAGTGTTGATCCAGGAGAGGTCCTCACTGATGTGCACCCCTGGGTGTTGGTGTGGCCTCTCTGGAAGTCTTGTTGACGTTCAGCTGGAGGTTGTTGTCTCTGCACCATGTGGTCAGAAGGTCAACCTCTTTCCTGTAGTGATAGTAGTACAGATGTAGTGTAGGGTTTGTCACCTGCTTATCTCCATGGAGTTGTCATTGCTTTGCCTATAGAATTCTCCACAGTATAGCATTAAAGATATCAATTTCCATAGAGACAAGCAGGTTTCATCAACACAAAAATGCATGTTTTACGAGGTATTTTGAGCAATATGATGTAGAATTGAAAAAATTTAAAATAGATCATTTTCCTCCCTTATTGTGGAACGTTGCAGGTTAAGCAATAATTTTCACATTTCTGTAGAGACAAGCAGGTAGTGGATCCTCCCCCAGAAAAGTTATATAGTGCCCCTTTAATATGGGGTTCAAGAACTGCAACAAATGTGAAGGGAGATTTTACCACAAAAAAAAGCAATATTACAGATTCCACTGCAATTTTCTTTCTTTCTTCTTTCTTCTCAGCTCCTTTTGTAGTGTTATAATATTTTTACACACAAACACTGCACATGCTACAATAATTTCATCTGTTTGCTATTTCTGTTAAATCCCCACCACTAATTTGACATTTTATTTTGCAGCCTGTCGATATCTCCCAAGCTGTGAGTGAAAGAATCAAAGCTCAAAGACGATTGGCTGAGAATCCCTATGACGTCAGCGCCCTGTGTATGCTGAGCAGGGCACAGGAGCAGGTGCAAATATACTCCAACTCTAGTCTGAAAAAAAAACAAATACAATTACAATATTACAATAGTCATTTACAATTTTCTGTTTTGATTCAGGTGGATGCGTGGGCCCAGTCCAACACGGTCCCCGGGCTCTTCACTGGTTCTACAGGAGCTCAGGTCCTCAGCTCAGAAGAACTCTCCTCCAATGGACCTCAGGCCTGGCTCAAGAAGGTTAGGAACGGGAGCCGCTCTTGTAGAAGAACTTATAATGATGTTTAAGTGGTTTAAGAGTTTTAGATCTCAGAAACTCTTAAAAAATGACCCAAACTTTTGTTCTCTTTGCCATAGGACCAGTTCCTTAAAGCAGCTCCAGTTTCAGGGGGTGTGGGGGAGTTCCTCATGAGGAAGATGGGTTGGAGAACAGGAGAGGGTCTGGGGAGGAACCGGGAGGGCACAGTGGAACCAATTATCATCGACTTCAAGGTGGACCGCAAAGGTACACACACACACACAGCGCTGCCACCACTCACTCCAGTGTTAATTAGAGTGGAGGAGCTTGCTGGCATTAATCACCACACTGACAGAAATGTGTTAGAATGAAGTGTGTAAGTCTGTTGTGTCTGTGTGGTTTTAGGGTTAGTGGCTGAAGGGGAGAAGCCACAGAAACAGACTGGAGGACTGGTCGTCACCAAGGACCTCATGGGTAAGTTCTGTGTACAGTTTTCTCCAGAGAGATCCTCTTGTCTTTATCATTTAGTGCAAAGGCTCGTTCACACTTGATCTTGATGTTGTCCTGGTCTAGTTTCAGGTGTAGGTTGAAATTCAGTTCAGCTGGTGTCTGTATTATAACAAAACTTCTTACTTGGGTAGTTGGGTCTCATAATGTTTTTTTTTTTTTTTTTTTCAAACTTTGTTTATTGAACATTTGAGGGTTTCCTGCGGTCATGGAAATTGAAAATGTAATTTTTCAGACCTGGAAAAGTCATGGAATTTTAGTATCTCTTTCACGCAACTCCAGCGTTCTGTTAAGTTTTCATGAGACTATTCTGATTACCGTATTTTCCGGGCTATTAGATGCGCTCTTAAGCCTCTAACCCCATCAAAAAACGACAGCGCCCCACAATCCAGAGCGCCCTATACACGAATCCACTCAGGTGTCCCAGCACGACTTCAGTAAACTACAAAGACACACCACCCACAGAACACACAAACACACACGGAGCAGACAGCGACCGCACAGCGAAAAACACCCACAGACACACTCATCACTCCACGCCGACGAGGAACGGAACGGAGGAACGAACCAAAAAAGCGAGTGCAATGTGCCACTTCTAGACACAACTGAACAACTGAGTCACTGCGAACACGTCCGACAATCCGTTGGTCCCAGACAGCACCCTCCCTACACGCCACAACTGAACAAAGCCCAGAGTCACCGTGAACGCCACAAACAAACAAAACCACTCACCCATCACACTGTTGTGTTTCCTTTAAAGTCCAGTGCGGTTTATTTGTGAAAAAGTTTGAAGATAGACCATTTAATGACGTGCGTCTTATAATCCAGAGCGCCCTATAGTGCGGAAAATACGGTATTTCTGAACGTCTGCGCCTTTTGTTTAAAAGAGATGACAATAAATGCACTGACAGTATTTTGAATGTTCAAGAACTATAATCCCAAACCATAAGGTGAGTGGAAAGAGTTCACATTTCATATTTAGCCCTAAAAGTCTGAAAAAGTGATGAAAGAGTCATGGAAAAGTTTGGAAATTTTGTCAGTGAAAAAGAGTGAAAACCCTGACATTTTTAACATTAACAAACAAACAGAGTGCAGTGTTGAATAGTATTATTACACAGTAATATCACAGTAATACAGGAGGATATGTCTGAACGTCACCACCCCACCTCACCCCCATCCACTGGCCAAACAATCTAAAATAAAAAATAAACAAATCAATTTAAAAAAAAAAGTCAATTAAACATGATAATGATAATGAAGTAAATAAAATTGATAGTAGTGAATTGATAGTAGTAACAGTAGTAGTAGATACATTTAATAAATATACAATGTAATAATTAATTTAAAAATAAATCAATTAATTTAAAATAGTAGTAAAGTAGGAAGTAGGGATGCGAAAGGAGGAAAGAAACCCAAAGAGATGAAAGTGAAAGAGGGGAAAAAAGAGGGGAAGAAATGATTATTTCCTGTATTTTAATCATTCTCCAGACTCTGAGGAAGGGTTAAAGAGTCAGTGTGACGTAAAAAGGCGTCAGAGGGAGCGTGGAATCATTTAACAGAGCCTCTGAGTGAGAACCTCAGTTTTTCAAGCTTAAGATTGTAAAACACAAAGTCTCATAATGTTTTTAACTTTTAATGTAGTTTTATTAGCAAAATGGGCTCCTCTTGTAATGTGTTAGCACTCTGAAGGGGGAGTGACTTAGCACACTTATAGTGCTAAGAATGTTGATATGTTGTTTTTGGAGAATACAGCACTTTGAAAACAATAAAAAGTAACACAACAAAATCAAGTATACTTTTATTCCCTGCTCTGGTATTTGTTGATAGAGAGAGTATTACTAATTCAAAATAGAATGTTTAGAATGATTTGTTCATTTTTTCATGCATGTTTATATTAATGCTGAACTGCTGTGTTTGATCCAGGGAAGCACCCGGTGTCCGCTCTGATTGAACTGTGCACAAAGAGGAAGATTGTGCAGCCGGACTTTGTCATGGTTCACCACAGTGGCCCCGACCACCGCAAGAACTTCCTCTTCAAGGTCCATATGTTTTCTTCAGCAACATTTTTATAGTTTTAGTGACAAAAAACACTTATAACAATTGGATGTGGGTTTGACATAAATTGTTCATATTGTCTAATAAATTGGGATGTTATTCTGTGGTGCAGGTGACGGTGGGTGGAGTGGACTACCAGCCTCAGACGGCCAGTCCCAATAAGAAACACGCAAAGGCCATGGCTGCTACAGTGGCGCTGCAGGCTCTGGGAGAGGTATGGCACAATACATACAGGATGGACTATTGTGATTCTTTGTCATATGTTTTCAATGGGTTGACTTTAAAACTGAGCTGGTCAGAAACCACAGGTGAAATTAGCTGTTGTCAGATTGCAGATTTGTTGACCTGGTTCATGGTTCATATCTCTGTAATTACTGGTCTGTCTTCATGAAAGAAAAGCTGGCACAAAGTTCACCGTCTTCTCCATCAGTATAAATCGGGGGCCTCCGGCCTTTTTCCTCTGGTGAGCTACGTTTACCAAAAGAAAAATGCCAAAGAGCTACTTATAGCAGTTACAAGAAATTTAGTATATATAAGACCCACCGATAGGGCTGGTATCATTAAGAAGTTGACAATGATGACAAATATGATTTATACCTCGATACATAGGCCACGATACAATACATATCAATACAGTGCACTTTCAATTCTATACAATATTTTTCAAAATTGATTGGATACTGTTCAATAAAAAATAAAGGCTAAATCATATCTGTGCTACTAAAAGTCTTTGTTAAAGCACTTCTTATGCAAAGTTCATATGAAACACAAACATTTTAATCATCAAAACAGTAAAAATGACAAATGTGTTGCATAAACGAGTTTCCTTCCTCTGAACAAGCAACAAAACTGTAGCTCTAGCAAAATAATTTAGTAAAATACACCAAAAAATTGACTGCTGTATCGATATATTGATACAGCAGTCCACAATATCGATACTGTATCATCACATTAAATAATATAATATAATGATATTTTGATGGGGAACAGGTAGATGCCTATAAAATATAAACCTTTATCCATTTATAAGTGCACAAAACTGGGCATTGATTTACAATTAAAAATAGAATAATCAAATTTGACTTATTCAGCCCAAGATGTATAATTCAGAAATCCCTTTGAGAGCTACTTGGAAGTGATAGCTTCTGAGTTACAGGTTGGAGACCCCTGGTGTAAATAAACAAAAATGAAATCATTTTTTCACAGTAACTTCACAATGTGATTGCTGTTTATTTTTCCAAAGTTATGGACAGAAAAAAAAGTCCATATAAACATATGCCATTCCATATGTACATAGGTATTCATGGGTTTCAAGTTGTTCAAAATATTAAAATTGTCAGTCACCATAGCCACAGTTCCAATTCCCATAGATAATCACAGGTTTCATCTTATGCAAAACTTTCGATGCCTTTTCCCATTCGAAAGATATTATAATCTGTTGAAGTTGTTAATCACCACGGTAACAGTCTTAAAGTTGGTGTTCTCTGATATATTGTATGTTTCAGGTCCCTGCGGACGGCCCTGGTCTATACACTGGCCCTGTGTTTACGGCTGCCTCCACCGGACCATTGTTTTCTACGTGATCGGCAAGCACACGTCACCACGCGGACTGCATTTCAAAACGTTTAACACTTGAAGATTTAATACGACTATGAAAGGGAGCAGATGTCCACTTTGCTTTTTCATAAACAATATTTCAAACGTAGAAAACTGTGCAAGGACTGCGCAAAGGGCATCAAAATCTCTCCCAACCCGTGTTTTTTTGTACATGAAGACATTGTATCATATGGAGTAGATTTCTGTAATGTTTTTTGATCTAATTTTGTTTTAAAGTGATGTAAATAGTTGTCTTTTAGTCCTCCATGGTTCTGTTCATTATGTTCCCAATGTGGCCGAACTCATTCAAAAGCTCTGATCTGTATAGAGCAAACATAAATAAAGAGTATATTTATATTATCTAAGTATTTCAATAATGTTTCCTGTCTTTAAATATCTAATTTAAACTAAACCAATTGTATTACTACCAAAAGGGCGACAAAAATACTGTGGTCCTAAAGTAGAGCCTTGTGGTACTCCGCTGGGTGCCAGGTGCTAAGAGGGATCAAATAAAGTTTCATTAAATAAACTTCATGTGAAATGTACACCTGGAGAAGTACAGTAAGCTCATTTAAGGACCTTGAAAGTTTGTGGTTCAATCCCCGCATCCCTCGGTTTATACTGCCTATGTGTCTTTGGGCAAGATGACATGCAAACCTTGCCTTTAGCGCAGTGGTTCTCAAACATTTTCATCGCGACCATTGGTATGCGCAAACCTGAAACACAAAAAATATGCTGCCTGCAAAATGATAAAGTAGCATTAATATCTAATCTCTGATTAAATTTTTCATAGGCCTACATAAATTCATTTGAAAATAGGCTTTTTACCACTGAATTTTAAGTGTGTTTGGCCTTGATTAAGACTATTGCATATATTTTGAATTTTTTGTTTGTCCAGACTCCCAGGTTGAGAACCACTGTGGAACTGAATGATTGTGTGAGTGTGAATGGGTGAATAGTTTCTTTCTATGAAGTACTCTGAATGTTCTGTACATTTACAGAGATACATGACTTAAACGGACACTTTCCATAGCAGCATTCAGGTGCATCCTTTGGAGTCTGCTGACATATTAAAATTATATTGAACCTTAAATGATGTGTCGGTGTCTGTTTTTTAGAACTGATTCATATTACTGTTTTTATGGAGGTTTTTATGGAGGTTTTGCTGGTCTCTGCCATTCAAAGAGATATTTAATTACAAAGTATGTTGGAAATGCTGTTTTGTATCTCAGTTACCTAAATACAACATATGAATCAAAATGCAATGGTCCCAAAACTGACCCTTGTGGGACATTCCAGTTTTTCATTGCAATTCAAGTTGTGCAAGTCCAATGAAGAGCTTGAAATGGTACAAAGGTAAGAACTGAACAGACAGAGGTTTAAAAAAAAGATAAAAGAATAAAACACAAGTCCAAGCTTTGCCGAAACCACCTCAGGAAAAAAGAACAAGACGACAAAACTTGAAAACCTGGGGTATCCAGCATCACAGTGTCCAGACTTAAACCCCATGGAGCTGGTTTGGGATGAATTGGACAGGAGTGAAGCAACCGACAAGTGCCACACATTTATGGAAACTTCTGCAACAGACTTGGGAAGAACTTTCTGAACAATATTTGACTGTCTACTGGATATTTGGTGGCAACATTTATGAATCAACAGTTTCAACAGGATGAGGTCCGAAACATACTGTGGGGCCAGTCCATTCGAAGCTTTAAAACAAACAATAAAATCATAAAATAAATTCTAAAATTAACAGGAAGCCAGTGCAAAGATGCGAGGATTGGGGTGATGTGCTCTCTCCTTTTTGTTCCTGTTAAAAGTCGCGCTGCAGAGTTTTGGACTAACTGTAGTCGGTAAAGTGCGTTTTGCGAAATGCCAGAATAAAGTGCATTACAGTAGCCCAGGTGTGATGAAATTAAAGCCTGCATAACTTGTTCAAATAGTTTAAAAGATAAAAAAAAGCCGCAAATGATAAAAACTTGATTTTAAAACATTGTTAATCTGTTTGTCAAATTTAAAATCACTGTCTAAGATGAAGGTTTGTGACTGTGGGACGAACATCATTTTTGAGGGATCCCACATCAGTAAGGGAACTGTTGGCCCCAAACAGTATCACCTCAGTCAACATGATCGTACCCACGGCTCATTGGTCTGGAGGTGTGATTCCCATGATGCTTTGGTGTCGGTAAACCTGGGTGAAGACGTCCCTCTGCTCTTGTCCAAAGCTCTGTGTCTGTGTCTTTATGTATGTGGTCATTTGACCGGAGAGAGCAGAAGAGCAGCCATGGTGAGTTGGATTTGACTGATTAATTGATTTATTTTCCTAACATTGAAAATATTAAGTAAGTAAATTGATTGAAGTAAAATTTCATTCTTTTTTTTAATGAAAAACCCACAAATTAAATAAGACCTCGTTAAAATGACGTCCCTTGATGTAATTAGTCGGTATAGTCTGAGTCATCCATTTCTTTGTAATTGCCTTTTTTTCCCTGCTGCCAAAAGTATGGGAACATTCGTAATCTCAATGTCTATTTTTGGAAGAAAAAAGTTTTAAGACATCAGAAATACCCCATGAGTATTAGTGTAATAGAAAATATAGCAGTATGTAAGTAATAACAGAAGCCATAACCATTCTGAGGTGGAATAATAAATGGATTATTTGTTGACCTTGAATGTTTTACTGTTAATAAAAGTATAAAGTGTAAAATGTTTTCTCCTTTTGTCAGTACGGTTTCATCAACAGTTGTCTGCAGTCTCTGGTGGTGGAGAGGTTTGGACAGGAGACATGGAACACTCTCAGGTCAGAAGCCACATTAAATATAGTTCAGCTTGAATAGGATTTATACATAAAACTGTATTTATTATGGAACATACGAGTAAATTGTGCATATTTTTGTATCAGTTCTCTGGCAGGACTGCAGGATCCTTTTATGACCTACACTGTTTACGACGACGCTGTGACGCTCAGGCTGGTGCAGGAGGCCTGTGCATTGCTGGGTAAATAACATGTCTTGACAGATTCTTATTATGACTGGACACCTTTACAGACAAACAAAACAAATGATTATGAGTATCATTATTACTGTGCACTACAAACCCTGTGAGGTCCGGCTTCAATTAGACCAGAGAAAGATGGCCGACGTGCTAACAAGCTCCAGGAGGAGTTGACCTAAAAGTCTTTCCAAACAAAGCGGCTTTTTGTTCAAGCTAAATTTAACAATGTCATTTATATTAGATACAAATGAGATCCATAAAGAGGGAGGTCGAATGTTAACCACTGGATACCACAGAAAAAATGGATGTTAAGTTCATGTCAGAGGAACGGAAATGACTTCTGTGCAAACTGAATAATAATAACAACAATTTAACGGCTTGGTGCATCTGCTGTGAACAGTCTCTCTAAAGCTGCACTGTGTAATATACGTCGGTGTTGTACTCAAATGTTAAACTAGATTTTTATACTAAGGAATAAACTCAACACTCCAATACCAATCCCGATACCACAGTGATAATTAAAAACACTCTTTACATAGATGGATTTTCTAAATTTTCAGCATTTAGTTAAAGTGCACTGCAAATCTGATCTGGTCAAGATTTTAAAACTAAAACTATCAGGTTCAGCTTGTTTTCAGATTTATTATCTACTAACTAGTTCTGTATCATCTTAAAAATATTTCTTCCATGACTCAACTCATCAGAAAATCTTAAATTGAGGTAATACATGTTTAAAAGAAGCTACAATCCATTCACCAGAATTTTCCCTGCAACACTTCACTTGTTTTTAGATTCAGTGATACAGATTTGCTTGATACTCTAGTATGTTGATCTAAAACTAAAGCATCCATAAACTTATTTCCAGCTCATGAACACTGACCACAGACTGCTTCATTCTAGTCTAGAAGAAGTTATTTTAAGAGAACTTGTAAAGTAAAATGATCTTGCTGCATGAACAGATCATTTCACAACTTTTAAGTCATTTTCTGATAGATTTAAGTGTTTATATCTAAAGTTTTGGCCAAGCTTTTTTGCAGTGCACTTTCTTTTCCTCATGGTTTTATATGTATGTAATCCTCAATGGTCCAGTAGGTTCATGTTGGTCCATGTGTGTATATTAGTCTATGTGCTCTTATACTTGATCTGATACAGCTCAACATCATTCTGAAGTCATTTCGGAAAGATTCAGTTCTGTCCTAGTGTTATAGTGTGTGTGTGTAGGTGTGTGTAGGTGTGTGTTTACAGGAAACGTAATAACATCTCTAAGGAGATGTTATTACTTTTCCTGTAAAGTTCCACAGTGTGGTGGCATTCCCATGGTGATATTTGAGTTTAATATTCTAGGCAAAACAAAAACAGGAGAACTCTCCACTGCTTTAAATACATACATAAAATAACTACAGAATGGACAGCATGGATTTATTACATGAACTCAGCAAAATTTGGGAATACAGTGTGTTCACAAAAAAATTTCACATCATTTTAAAAACAATTATCTTGAAAACTACTGAGTCTAGGTCAATGATGATGTTGATGTTGGTACCAGATCCTTTAGTCCTGCTGAAGCAGCTGGACTTTTTACATTTTGGTACCAAGTCCAAATTTGTTTTTCAGTTGGTGAAGTTTTTCTAAATATTGTATTGAAGCTGCACAGTCTTGGGTGAGTGTGTATGAGCAGATTCCAAAACCCAAAATGATTTCTCTCTGGGAGTGAACAGCTCAACCTAAAAACAGAACAAAAATAAAACATTACATATAAAATCTTGATCTGTTTCTATACATTCTGTGAAAATTTTAGACTATTTCAACAAGAACTGCCAAAATGATTGGCCTGTGAAATGATGTCAAATTTTTGGGACACCCTGTACAATAATATGGTAAAAAAAAAAAAAAAAAGTATATTCATAAAACATATATATAGGACATTTATTTATTTATGGACTTATTATTGTGGTGTTTTAATCTAGTTGATTCAAAATCAATAACAGATAACCAGAGCTGTAGTGCTCACCCAGGGCTGTCTCCAGGCTCTCATTAGGACTCCTCCTGGGAGTAAAGGAGGAACACAATATTTGTTTACTATCTCTGCTTTCACATATTCATTAGCGTCTTTTTCCAATCCATACAATTCATATAATGACTGTGTTTGTTTTCCAGACGTGCAGGCCGACGTGCTGCTCACACTCTTTGGAGAACACTTCTTCAGCTTCTGCAAACAGGCCGGCTACGACACCATGCTGCGGACACTAGGGGGCGATCTCGTTGAGTTTATACAGAACCTAGATGCACTTCACTGTTACCTGGCTCTGTCCTACCAGGTGTGTGTACTATTACCACAACTACTACTATTACTTTAGCTGTTACTACACATTGCTCAGATGTTGTTGTGATCACAGGAGATGAACGCTCCGTCGTTCCGGGTGGAGGTGACAGAACAGGGGGACATGTTACTGCACTACTATTCAGACCGCAAAGGACTCTACCACATAGTCCCAGGTACTACCAGAATACATAATGCTGTCACTTTTACATGAAGAAAATAATATGGCCTTAATATAACTTAAAACAATTGAAAATGATTGATGGTGTCAGGCAGAAGATACAGGATCCCAAAATGTAAACTGAACAGATTCAAACATTCTTTAGCGCCATTCACTGCTCATCTACTACGTTAAAATATAAAAGTAAAAGGTTTTGGGAATGTGCAATCAAAACTGCACAGAGACTTAGGGAATGTGCAATTATTAATAGAATACAAGACTGCAAAATGAGTGACGTAAAAGTCTCTTTGGTGCATCACTCATGGTCTCTTATTTATTTCTGTTCTATGTGGGATGTTTGTGTGGTGTTTATGTTGCTATGTTGTCCTGTCTTTGTGATAAAGCTGTGATCTCCTGTCTCAAGACAAATTTCTCTCGTGGGACACATAAAGGATTATCTTATCTTATCTTTAATCATTCCACAAATTACAATACATTTCATTATAATTAATAGAAAGAGCCTGATCCTGTGCAGACATGAAATCCAACAATTCTTCATGTATCCATGGGTTCCAGAATGATTAAAAATGAGCACAGCTGCCATAGCAATTGATCATTTAAAGCAATATATGGGATATTTTATGAATAGTCTTAAGGTTTAGACACAATGCATGCCAACGTAAATTCATTAAATATACACTATGTCCTTTTTCTGGTAAGGGGGTCTCCTTCCATAAAAATGTCATGATGTCAGAGGTTGGACCAAGTTGTTATTTTGTGAGTCTCAAGTAAGTCTCAAGTCTTTGACCTCAAGTCCAAGTCAAGTCCCAAGTCATATAAGGGCAAGTCCAAGTCGAATCTCAAGTCACTGGTCCTTCAGTCCAAGTCACGTCCAAGTCGTCTACTTTGAGCTTCAAGTTTTTAAACCAAAATACCAAATATAGCTTAAATTTTTGCAATTGATATAACTTTTAAACTAAATTGTACTTAAAAAGGCAAACAATATTTATATATGAGTATTTATGTAAGAGTTGTAGAAATGTAAGATTTTTTTTTTTCTTAAGTATCTTAGTGTGAATCATTAGAGTCCGAACTGAAGTAATTCAGATTTAAAAGTGTTAATACCAGTTACAAGTCCTAAAAATACTAACTCAAGTCTGACTCAAGTCCAAGTTATGACTTGCAAGTCCCCACCTCTGTATAACCTTGCCGGAATGTTCCATGATATGGCTTTAAACTTGCATTTACTTTATTACAGATGAATGTGTTGAAAAACAAACATACATTTAACAAAACATACAGTTTACCTCTTCACAAATCTGATCTGACTGAAGAGTGTGCGTAACATTCTAGAGAAAGCAGCAACATCTCCAAGGAAACAAGACCACAAGACCTCTGCCGAAAAAGTTACATATTGTACCTTTTACAAAGACAACTACTGCTTTTATAACTAATACCACTGCCATTAGTTTAGGGTTTAGGTTGAGGTGAGGTAAGTATCGACGATGGTTAAGGCGCGGGTGTCCAACCTTTTGTCCTCTGGTGAGCTCCTTTAAAAAACTAAAATGTCAGAGATAGGGATGAGCATTGATTGAATCGATTGATTATCGATTAATCATTAACGTTTTTATATTAAAATGATCATCATTATTATTACTATCTGCACTACTAATCTGCATAAATAAATTCAACTTTACGACATATAAACCGTAAGGACTCTAGAGCCACATCAATCCGTTTGACATTATAATGTGTTTAATTCAGTTTTGTTCAAATCTCACAGAAACGAAACTTAAAACCGCATCGCTAATTTGCATAAACTCAGAGAAGATAAAACTCCAGCTCTTGTGTCGCTGATGTGGTCAATTTCTGTTGGATTAAAAGACATGACTCAGGTGAATACAGGTTAGTGTGACCAGATTTGTGTTTGTCAAAACCAGGACACCGTACGGGGGGAGGGAGGTGGGGACTCGTCATCGACATTGAGCGACTCTCACCTGGTAAAACTTTTTCCCACTGGACACAGAAACATATGTGCTGCTCTGTACTCTGTGCACATGGACTCACACTTGTCCCGAACGCAACGGAAAGCGTAAAATTTCTTGTACAAGTCATCGTTAAATCCACATTTGTGCTTCGGTAAGTTGCAGACTGACCCACTGTTTGTGTCTCGCTCCTTCTGATGCAGAGACACATGTACACACCTGTTTGGTCACGATACACACAGCAACCTACATTTGGTTTGTCGATTAAAATGAACATAATCGATGAAATTCTTAATGATCAATTATCGATTAATCGATTAATCATGCCCATCCCTAGTCAGAGAACTCCTCATTTTAACAGACGCAAGAAATAGAGCAAATATCAGAGTTTTAGATGGGCTACAGTCTGATGCCTATAAAACATGTACACAACTATGATCCATCTATTAGTGCACAAAGACGGGCAATGATATGTTTATAGTAATAGTAGTAAGGCATAATAGGCATTAATGAAATCAGTTTGTGACCAAGATTGTGATTTTGAAATAAAATCTTGTGAGATGATGGACAGATTCCAAGATTAGACAGAGATGCTCTGCTTATTAGGAATCCACCAAGGACTACCAAGGAACATCTTCCCAGTGCCTCCCTTGGTTAGTTTTAAAAGCAGCCCTACTCTCCATGACAAACTGGTCCACAGCTACCAGCCACCTGCACCTAAACATACGTGGCTTGGACCTCAACCAACAGGTTCTTTGAAGTGTAACAGCTGTCCCCACTGCACCAATATATGTCAAACCAAGTCATTTCTGGACTATCATTCACAAAAAGAATATACAATAAAACACTTCATTAGTTACAAAACAACATTTGTAATTTAAAGACTTGTTTGCCTTACTTGCAAGGTGTTCTATGTAGGGATGACCAAAAGGCACCTGCAAGAGCGCTTGGCTGAGCATAAATATGCTCTTCGCACAGGCAACACCAACTATCCTATGGCCAGACACTTTTTGGACTTTCATGACAGCAACCCATCTAATCTGCAGGTACAAGGAATTGATTACATACCAGACTCTTTACGAAAAGAAAACCGGATTAGTAAAACTCAAACAGTGTGAAACCTCCTGGATTTATAAATTACAGGCAACAAAATATCCTGGGCTCAATGAAGATTTGGACTTCTCTGTGTTTTTATAACTGAATTGTATATATTTTCTATATTTTTGTAAATAATGAGTTTTTATATACCCTATGACGTCCCACAGTTCTAACACTGCCGTCTTGTGGCGTTATCAGGTGGTGTCCGCAGGTGAATCTCCACTCCTGGTTTCCAGGTGGAGCAGCCCTGTTGGTGGGTTTCTTCTATTTAATTCACATGGTTTGCTCTCAATTCTGCTTGTCCCCTGAGGAAAGCCATAGGTTGAAACGCGTTGGGAATTTGTAAGTTGTCCATTAAGACATGCCGTAAATTAATAAAGGCGTTTTATTTTAACCAGTGAGTGCCTTGGTTTTTTGCATCTATTTAATGAAATCAGATTTTAGTTATTCAGCATAATATGAATGATTCAGAAACCTGTTGGCGAGTGGCCTGGAAGGTTGGAGACCCCTGGGTTCAGGTTAGGATCAATCTCCAGGAAGGAACTGTACTTCAGTGTAATATCCCCAAGAAGCACAGAAACCCAACAAATGCATGCAAGACTGTGTGTGTGTGTGTGTGGGTGTGTGCGTGCGTGTGTGCGTGTGCGTGCGTGTGCGTGCGTGTGTGCGTGCGTGTGTCAGAATTGCCCCGAAAAATAGTTTCTGAGTGCCAATAACATTGAGTGACAAATGTGTGTACTTTGGCAGGCATTATCGGAGCTGTGGCGAAGGATTTCTTTGACAGCAGTGTGAGGATGGTGGTGCTGGAGCAGACCGAAGAGGAGCAGAGGACCGGAAAACAAGAACATGTGGTCTTCCTCGTCCAAACATGGCAAAATCTTCCAGAAAAATCCAACATTAATGAAGTGAGTCCATGACATTCCAAATATTATAATAGTTTTACTGGGACACTGTGTTATTTTTCCTGCCTGTCTCGGTGGAGATGGTGATGCTTTGTCTAGACTGTTTCAAAATGTGGAAGAAACTTTTTTATCTCTATGGAGACAAGGAGGCGACGCTACCAGGCCAAGTTACAGGCTAGATGTGTGGAGAGGTGACCCTGCTCACAGTAAGAATGTTTGCAGGGTGTTTTTGAGCTATTATAATATACCGTATTTTCAGAACCATAGGGCACGCTCTTAAGCCTCCAACTCCATCAAAAAACGTCTTTACGCCACAGTCCAGAGCGCCCCATACACGAATCCACTCGGGTGTCCCAGCACGACTTCAGTAAACTATAAAGCCGCACCACCCACAGAACACACAAACACACACAAAGCAGACAGCGACCACACAGCGAAACACACCCACAGACACACTCATCACTCCACGGTACAACACGGTGTTGTACTGGGGGTCTCCAAAAATGGAGCGGTGCAGGACTCTGCGCTGTAGGCTCCATTATGGAATAAATTAACCTTCGGTTCGTTACATAAAGAAGGAGGAAAATAACAAAAGGACGACAGCAGCAAGAAGTTTTAAGAAAGATGTATAAAGGGTTGCACCTGTCCTGTGTGAGAAAAGTGTATAAAGTGTGTGCTGAGGGGTTTTACAGACTTAAAACAGATATATTCATTGTAAAATATAAAGTTCACTACTTTGCTGGTTATTTTTAGAACGTAATCCCCGCAATAAACGAGGGATCACTGTACTCTCTCATTTCGCAACCTGTGCACATGTCCTCCCACTTGTGCCGACCGGGATGGAAAACGGAAAATTTCTTGTACAAGTCATTGTTAAATGCACATTTGCCCTTCGGTATGCTGCAGACTGACCGACTGACGCTACGAGAGACGCTCAGGTTAATGCCCCCAATGAATGGTAATGAAAACCCAGACATTTGCATCAATAAAAAAAAAAAACCCGGACGCCCAGGACAGGACGCAAAATACGGACATGTCCAGGGAAAAACGGACATTTGGTCACCCTCCCTACACGCAACTGAACAAAGCCGAGAGTCACTGTGAACGCGCCAACCAAAGTCCCACTGACCCATCCAACTGTTGTATTTCATTTAATGTCCGGTGCACTGTTCAAAAATAGACCATTCTACGACAGTGCGCCTTATAATCGAGAGCGCCTAATACTGCGGAAAATACGGTAATTTTAGAGAATAAGTTCAAGCTAGATAAGTTTTATACTGAGAAACATTCCAGGCACAGCATTAACAACACAGCAACAAACCCGCTACCAGAAAAGTTACATAGTGCAGCTTTAAATTTATATAAAAGGTTTATTTTTATTTTTATTTCAGGAAAAGTTATTGACCAAAATGAAGGAGAGATGCCAGAAAGTGAAGACGCGCGGATGGGACTTGATCAAAACTGCTGTTCTATCAAAAAAAAGTAACTCAAAAAAAGTAAATTTACATGCATTTACAATTTATGTTACTAGATTTTATTTTTACTGTTAATTGTTGCTTATATTTGACTTCTAGGCCAAGCCCAGTCCTCCTGTAGCCCGTGTTACCCTGACAGGTTGTGGATAGAGGAGAAGTCGTTCTGTAATGCGTTTCCTTTTCACATGGTGTTTGATTCAAATGTAAGTGTTTATTCAGTAAATTTACATGAAGTTATAATGGAACAAAATGAATGAATAATGAAATGAGCTAATATACCATTCTAATTCATTCCATTTTTTCTTGTAGCTCAAAGTTCACCAGGTTGGAGTCAACATCCACAAGTTTTTCCCCAGTCTGCTCAAAGACAACGCCACAGTGGACCAATACTTTACACTGGTTCACCCTCAGGTACTACTACTACTACTACTACTACTGCTTTTACTGCTGATACTACTCACTACAGATACCATTACTACACTTCAGCTACTCTTACAATTGCTAATAACTGCTATCCAAACTACTACTACTACTACTACTTTTCCTACTACCACTACTTTTAGTACTACTACGATTACTACTACTACTACTATGACTACTACTACTATGACTATGATAACTGCTACTATTACTACTATGATGATTACGAGTACTACTACTACTACTACAACGACGACTATGGTGACTACTAGGATTACTACTACAACTATGACGGCTACTACGACTACTACGAGTACTAGGACTAATGCTATGCCTACAACTACAACTACAACTACTACAATTACTACAACTCTGACAACTACTACTATGACTACTATGACTACTACGATGACTAAGATGACTACTACTACTATATGACTAGTACGCCTACAACTACTACTGCAACTATGAAGACTACTACTGCTACTATGACTACTAGTACTAATACAACTACTACTATCCGTACTTCTATTCATACTACTACTACTACTGCTGCTGCTGCTGCTGTGATGATTACTACGACTACTTCTACTACTTCGACTAATACTATGCCTACTACTACTACGACGACGACGACAACTATGGTGACTTCTAGGATTACTACTACAACTATGACGGCTACTACTACGACAACTACTACTACAACAACTACTACTATTACTACAACTATGACTACTACTTCTACTATTACTACTACGATGACTATGACGACTACTACTATATGACTACTACGCCTATGACTACTACTGCAAATATGAAGAGTACTACTACTACTATGACTACTAGTATTAATACAACTACTACTATCCATACTACTACTCATACTACTACTACTACTACGATGATGAATAATGCCACTTCTACTACACCTATGAAGACTACTGCTATGACTACTAGTATCCCTACAACTACTATTATCCATACTACTACTCATACTACTCATACTACTTCTACTCATACTCTACTTCTACTACTACTACTCATAATACTTCTACTCCTCCTCATCCGCTCATACACACTTTGAAAGTTGAATTGTGAACAAAACATGAGGCGTTTCTGAAGTCTATTCCCGGCATCCCCCATCATTTCTCCACTGTCAATCACGTCAGCTGAGATGAGAGAGCGACCAATCAGAAAGCAGCTGCCTCTCCTCAGTGGGTGGGGTTTGAAAGTGAGGGATGAAGGAGAGGAGGAAACAGGAGAGATGCAGCCTTGCACTCACTGACTGTATTCTATAGTATCCACACTTCTCAGTATTGTAAAGGTTACCTTCATGTTTGTGTCCAGGTGACCTTTACCATCGAGAGCATCAGACAGTTCATCAACAGTCAGTTTGTGCTGGAGAGCTGTGGAGAGAGGAGCTCCATCAAACTCAGAGGTGAGGATCCGGAGGCCCACAGATTCTAGAGAAAAACATATACATTCTGTGTTTCAATAGGCATGTTTATCTTAAAGGTTAAAGGACAATTTGACTTTCTTTTGGTGCCCTTATCAAATTTAAGCAAAGGAAGACTATTTAAATGTAGACACTTCACACTTCTTCTGTACACACTTCTTCAATACTTTACAAATACATGAATCTTGTCATAGGTGAATTTCCCTAAATTCAGATTCAGACACATTTCTGTCTTTATCAAAACAAATATGGCTGTTCATGAGAAAAAAGAAAGAACACAAATATCACAGGATTGAAATGAGTGAAGCACTAAACTCTGTTCATCTGAGGTGAGAGAAATGTTGTTATAAAATAATCAGTTAGCAGTGAGCTCCTTCATTTAACATGCACCAATGAAAAAAACAAATCAGACCTGCACGGCCATGTTTGCTCCTGGCTCGAGGTCTGACGGAGGGAGTGGGGACCAGATCAGAGGGGATCAGTCTGGATTTGCCGAGCAAAAAAATACATAATTTACTAAAAAAACATTTGGCAAGATATATTTCCTACTTTCATTCATCTGTACCTTCTCTTCATGATGAGCCCGCAGATGTGAATAATCATGATTTCAAGTCATTTGAAGATATTTTGGATCATCATTTTTTCCATAATCAAGCCAGTCTATATCTCTATCTCTATCTTGAGCTAAATGTTTTGTCCATCCATCCGTTTTCTCTGCTTATCTGGGGCTGGGTTGCAGGGGCAGCAGTCTGAGCAGGGATTACCACACTTCCACACCCCAGACACTTCCTCCAGCTCCTCTAAGGGGATCTCAAGGCGTTCCCAGGCCCGCCAAGATACATAGTCCCTTCCCCGGGGCCTCCTTTCGGTGGGACATGCCCAGAAAACCTCCAGGGGAGACGCCCAGGAGGCATCAGAACAGATGCCCTCCGCTTAGCCGCTCCTCTTGACGTGGAGGAGCAGCGGCTCTACTCCTAGCTCTTCCTGTGTGACTGAGCTCCTCACCCTATCTCTAAGGGAGCGCCCAGCCACCCTGCGGAGGAAACTCATTTCCAGCGCTTGTATCCACGATCTCGTCCTTTCGGTCATGACCATAGGTGAGAGTAGGAATGAAGTTTGATCAGTAAATCGAGAGTGTCGCCTTTTGTCCGATACAGCGACCGCACCGATCCGCCTGTCAATCTCACACTCCATCCTCCCCTCACTTGTGAACAAGGCCCCGAGATACTTTAACTCCTCCACTTGAGGCAGGGACTCTCCACCCACCCAGAGAGGGCAAGCCACCTTTTTCCAGTCGAGAACCATGGCGTTGGATTTGGAGGATCTTCATCCCAGTCGCGTCACACTCAGCTGCCACCCGCCCAGTGCACGTTGCAGGTCCTGGCATGATGAAACCGACAGCTAAATGTTTTGTATTTCTATTTATTTATTGAAGGGACAATGCATATTAAAAGTCAAGACAATGCAAAAAATAAAAAATAAATAAAAAATATGCAGGATTGCAGCCAAAGCTCATTTCCATCGTCAGTCTCATGCAGGACCAAGGCCACAAACCTGCACAATTCATAAAACATGACAAAAACACACACAAAAACAGACTCCATATGATGCAGCTGTCTCACTCACACACTCCACAACACACACAAGTACACACTCCACAACACACACAAGTACACACTCCACAACACACACAAGTACACACTCCACAACACACACAAGTACACACTCCACAACACACACAAGTACACACTCCACACACACACACACACACAACACACAAGTACACACAACACACACAATACACACTCCACAACACACACAAGTACACACTCACACACACAAGTACACACTCCACAACACACACAAGTACACACTCCACAACACACACAAGTACACACTCCACATCACACACAAGTACACACTTACATTAGTATGAAATATATGAGTGTTAAATATGTGTCACACACACACATTATTACTTTTACTACTACTACTACTACTACTACTACTACTACTACTACTACTACTACTACTATGACAACTACTACTACTACAACTACTACAACTATTACTACTATGATTACAACTACAATGACTACTAGGAGTTCTACTAAAACTATGATGACTACTACCACTACTACTACTACTAAGACTGCTATACAACTACTACTATTCATATTGCTATTCAGACTACTACTACTTTTACCACTACTATGACTACTACTACAACTATTACTATTACTATTACTACTACTACTGCTGCTACTATGGCTCTATGGTGCATATTTGGTTTTGGTGGTGACTAATGGCATTCTTGAAGTAACTCGTGTATTTTGTGTAAAACATTTCACTGCTGCTCATACTCTTGCTCTCAAATCCTGATCTCAAAGTCTGCCCACAAATTTCCTTTTATCAGTGCAGCTGTGGACTGTAGTTGTGCTTGTTCATTGGTCTGGATAGTTTGTGCAGTAAAGGAGAGTGCAATGCAGTAGCACCTTGCACTTTTAAGTATCTAAACCCTCAAAGCACTTTAATCCTGCACACCTAAGCACTTAACACTAGTGATGGGCGAATGGAGCCTCGTGAAGCATTGACACCTCAGTCACAATATTGTCTCAAATGGTTCGACATGTCTGAGGTCTTGGAGAAACACTGACCTCTAGTGGACAAATTTAACCATTGCACACCAGCACACAACCCATGATTTGGGAACAGAAAAACTATTTTCTATTTTATTAGAAGTCATAAATAGTATATATTCTATTTTGAACATTTAAAAAAGAAATACAACAATTTATATATGCATGCTGTAAATAAGAAAATAGGTGTTACCTTGTTAGGTGGAATTAGATCAAAGTGATCCCAAACCATGGATCGCTTTTTTCCACTTGTAGATGCCATCGAAAATGAAAAAATGCCAAAAGTCACCAAAATCACCACTAACGTCACACAATCCTCCTCACTACCCAACACTTTTAACAAATATTGGTGCATTTTTTATACTGTAGTAGTTTAGTGCTTGTCAAACCACGGAAGTGCGCTGAACACTCTGAAACACTCTGAACCAATCACAGAGCGGAACATTCGCTGAGCCAATGAAACGCTTCGATACACTGAAGCGATTGACACGCAGAGTGAAGCAGTAGGGGGAGGGACCGACACTTCCACACTTTGGTCACGTGAGCGGCTCCTGCGAGACGAGCTCCGAGGCAGAAAGAACGAGACGTGCTCCAGAGCTCCGACTCATTTGCCCATCACTACTAAACACCTATAAAAAAAAACAAAAAAAACAACTCCAGCACTTTTATATTGTATTTTGCACAGCACTAGCACTTTCTTTACTGAAATATAGGATTTAACAGTTTAGTTTTTTTTGTTTTTTTAACGTTAGGTTTTGCATTATTCATTTTGGTTGGTTGTGATGTAATTTAGTTTTTAAGATGATGGATTATATAAAACTTTGTACAATTCCACTATACACCGTTTATGTCTTTTGGTTTTGCTTGACTTGCCTGTTTTATAAATATATCTTAGTGGGGACTCTTTAGTCTACCCAAGGCTACATTAGTGTCCAGTCCTTTCTCTGTCCTTGTCCAGGTCAGATGCTGTGGATGGACTCTCTGGGTTGTATGTTGTACCTGTGTTCTCCTAAACTGAGGAGCCTCCAGGAGCTCCAGGACTCAGGGCTGCACCTGTCTGACCTGGCCCAGCACGACGTCACCAGAGACCTGGTACTGCTCAACCAACAGAGGCTGGCCGAGATGGAGCTCACCAACCAGCTGGAGCGCAAGAAGGTGAATGCTGAGTGGTGTTTAATTAACCTACATATAAGTGAGTAGGGTGCCAGGTGGCGCCCTCTGCAGGTGGGTGTAGAGTCGCTGCCTCAACTGGAGGAGTTCAAGTATCTCGGGGTCTTGTTCCCGAGTGAGGGGAGGATGGAGTGTGTGATTGACAGGTGGATCGGTGCAGCGTCGGCAGTGATGCGGTCGCTGTATTGGATCGTTGTGGTGAAGAGGGAGCTGAGTCGAAAGGTGAAGCTCTCGATTTACCATCAATCGATGTTCCTTCCCTCACCTATGGTCATGAGCTCTGAGTAGTGACCGAAAGGACAAGATCGCCGATACAAGCAGTCGAAATGAGTTTCCTCCGCAGGGTGTCTTTGCACTCCGTTAGAGATAGGGTGAGGAGCTCAGTCACACTGGACGAGCTCGGAGTAGAGTCGCTGCTCCTTCACGTTGAGGGGAGCAGCTGGGCATGTCTCGACAAACATATATTGTTAAAAGTGAGATATTGTCTTAGTGTTTTCTTAATGTATTATAACTGAAGTGTGAAAGTTCGCTAAAGCGGTGGGAGGAGACACACATCACACATGAGTTTTACCAGAGCACGAGTGTGATCAGTGCTGACTGTTCCCAGGAGGAGCTGAGGATCCTGTCCCACTTCCTGGAGGTTGAGAAGGAGAAGACAGAGATGCTGCTGTACGCCATGCTGCCACGCCACATCGCCAACCAGCTCAAAGACGGCAAGAGTGTGGAAGCAGGTCAATCATAGTTTTATTAAACCATTTGATAAAACATTTGTTTGAAATATAAACAGTATATTGGATATCGAATAACACAATTCTCCAATCCCATGTACATGTGAGTCTGGTGGAATTTTGGATCAACTGTAAGTGAGAATGTGGCATGTGTTACAAACGTCTAAAAGAGAGGAGATAAAAGCATCGGTGACCTGTTCAAATGATTTAAAAGATAAAAACGGTTTAATTTTAGACAGAAGTTACAAATGATAAAAGCCAAATTTTACAACCACATTCACTTGTTTGTGAAATTTAAAATCACTGTCAATAGTGACGCAGAGGTTGGTGTCAAACTGTTTCACCTGCTGTTCTTTGTGTTTTGGTCATTTTTAAGCAGCTTCTATGTATTTTACCTAAACAAATGACAATTTATGATGTGATGATGTGATGCTGCAGGACACACAGGAGGGACACTTTTGGCTCTTCCTCTCCTCAAACCACCCTGACACACACCTGCAGACCTTCTCTGACCAGTCCTCCTGTTAAACTGACCTCAGACCTTTGACTGAGACACAAAGGACACTCAACTGCAACAGTCTGCTGCAGAAAAACTTGTACGGTGTTATGATTTGAATGGCGGAGTGTGCAGACGTAGTGGTCTCTCCCTCTCCCAGTCGTTGTCTATGCATGGGATAGAGAGAAACGTCATTTCGATTTCTTTGTATGTCTAATACATGGGAATAAATTGACAGTACAGCTAACTTTGAACTTTGAACTTTGAGCGTATGCCTGTCTTTACTGATGGCAGGCATCAGATGGATCAGTTATTTCTTGCATAAAACTGGGACAAACCAATAGTTTTGTATAAATCTGCTGGGACAGGGAACATAAGGATCAAAACTGGGACTGTCCAGGGTCAATATGGACGACAGGTCATACAACAGCTCACACGTCAGTTCTGGAATTACATTTCTCATTCATTTTCCCCATAGACCACACTGCCCGCCAGCTACAGATCAACTATAAAGACATTATTTATGTAAAATTTTGTTATCATTGTATATTTTACTTGTTCTGGATTCAGTGTTTAAGCAAAACTATTGTTAAACATTTATTTGAATAAGAAAAGGTTTAACATATCTCGAAAGAAGAGAAAAGATGCAGATGTTGTTGAAATTTTTCAATAAATATGTAGTTTGGCCCACGACTTAGTCCCAGTTTTTAATTTTGGCCTCTGTGAATTTGAGTTTGACACTCCGGCCATAGACTTTTTTGAAAAATATGAGTGTTAAAACTTTTGAAAGCTCAGTCTGTTCTAATCAGCTGTGTGGTAATTAATGACCACAGGACCTGTAAGTTTATTTAAAATCTGCTCCAAAAACAATATGAACTGCTTATTTATTAAAGCATTTCACCAAATCTTAAGACTGAAACTCTTAATATCAACATTTTTTGAAAGGTCTCTGGGTAAAATTTGTGGAAAATTTACTGTAAGTGTACTTTTATTTGAGTACAACTTTTCAGTACTCTTTCCACCTTTGCTTTCTGGTTTGTAGATGATAAAAAGCTCACATTTTGACCTTAAGAGCTGCTTTTACAATATATCTGTACTGAGGTGAAACAATTTAGACTTCATTACAGAGCAAATATCCAGCACAGATCTTTTAAATTCAGTCTACATTAAGACACAGCTGGGTTTTACTTGCAGCCGTAGATCATTTTGATGTTAATGTAAGCACAGGTGACTGTACAATGTTCTGAATTATACTACAGTTTCTTCCTTATTTTAGGAGAGTTTGAAGTCTGCACCATCCTGTTCAGCGATGTGGTGACGTTCACAAACATCTGTTCTGCCTGTGAGCCCATCCAGATCGTCCACATGCTCAACTCCATGTACTCCAAATTTGACAGGCTCACCAGCGTACACGACGTATACAAGGTACTGCAGTCACTCTTGTAATACTAGTACAAATACACCACTACTGAACATTCAGACTAGATTGCGCACTCAGTTTGTTTTCATTTTGAGGAATTTACAACCTAGTATGC